GCAACCGTCGGGGAGGATCCATGAATAGGGTATGTCTTAGAATTGACAGAGCTCTTATTACATAAACATAAGGCTCTTGACCTATAGTCTAGTCCGGGAACACGGATTTTAAAGTAATGAGGCGTGGAAGAAACGATAATATCGAGCCTTTTCTTTCGTAATGTTTCCTAGGAAATTCTCACTAATCGTAGTCCGCTTTAGTTATTAAGAGTAAATATGACAATATGTCAACGGAAGCCATCACTTAGGGCGTTGCTTCTGATTTTTAAGCATTGTAGACCCCAAGAGTTGGCGGTCATAATCATAAGAGTCGCCTTCAGTGCCTAGAGCATTCTTAGCTTGATTTCAGTAGTGCGTAGAGCCATCCCTACCGTTGGATCCCGCACCAAGACGGCCGAACGGGGTACTGGCATTATAGCTGCCGTTAGACAAGACCATGTTAGGGGGGCCACCTAGAGGCGCGGCAGGAGTACCGCCATAAAGGCTACTCGGGTGCGAAAAGGCGAATGTCGATCCGCTTCTCGTAGGTTCCTGGAGCCAAGGAGATTGTGGTTGCTGGACTGGGGTAGGAGGGCCGGGTGCCTTACGTCTGGATACTGATCCCTGAGGTCCTAAAACTAAAACGACCGCCGGATCGATGCCGGCGGGGCTCGAGGCATTCGGGGGATGGCTGCGAGGGTCTTGAAACCCACTATATGTTCCGATTGACTTGCCGGACCAGCTTGGTCCAGGCGAGTTTTGCAGATTAGACGTAGCCGCAAGTTGACTAGCAGAACGTTCCATGGAAGTTGAGCCAATGTTAAGTCCGAGATTGCTCAAATAAGGCGATTTGGACCCCGGGGCAAATGGCGAACCTGACGTTCCGGGTGTAGATCCCCGGGCCCCTAAATAGGGGCTAGCAGCCACGCGGCTCGCAAAATTATCTGAAGACTGCGTATCATTGGGGATTAACCCATGCTGGGCATAAAGAGAAGCTGTCAAACTACCAAGAACGGCAGTTCGCGATGCTTCGAGTGAGTCGCGAGAGCCTTTTGTTTCATGTCGATTGAGAGCCGGCGAAGGTGCCATGGTTATTCCTGGCTTGCCATAAACTTGATATGTACCAGTAGCTAGACCATTAAGATAAGATGATTCCAGGCTATCTGATTGACCGTGAGCGCTCCTAGGTATATAATCGCCATCAGGGGGCAACTGATTATTAGATCGACTACCAGAACGGTGCGGAGTCGGCTTATAAAAATAATCCCATGGAAGACTAGGGATAGTCTTAGATACTGGAGAAGGTTGTGCAGAAGTATGCTCAGAATTAGCGCCTAATTGGCCAAAGACCTCATTTGCCGTAGTAGTATTCATGCCATAGCTTGTATCAGCCTGTGTCTGGCTCGATTGAGGTCTGCTGTCTTCAGTAGGATCCAGAAGCTTATTTACCATGCTGACCATTTCACTATCTCCACTCAAATCCGTATCTAGAAGTGAAAAAGGGGCTCGTTCGTCGACCGACTTCCCTTTATCAAGTCGATGCTGCGTCTTAAGGTCCATATCACTATCGTCGCCATAAGATTGTTTTGCATCTGCCGTAGTGATACCTGAGTTTGAAAACTCTAGGTCTTTCTGTGCTAGATCCTCAGGCTTAGCTTTCGTCTTACTAAGCTTAAGCTTATTCACCATACGTAGCATGATCGCTTCGCTGACGGGAACTCTCTGAGAAGGTTCGTCAGTAAAATCCCAGCATTCAACATCTCGTCCCTCATGCTGCTTAAGAGTCATGACGAGTGAGCAGCCCGAACTCTCTGCTAACAGAACACCACAATACACGATGTCTCTGATGCGCCAAACCGCTTCCGTATCAGGTCGGTATTGGCAGCCAGAAGCCCTTTGATGGGGCTTGCGAGATTTGGATTTTTTTGGTGAGCTTGGGCCCAGCAAGTCTTCCAATCGTGTAAATAGTGGCAGGTTTTCGTTGGAAAATGGTCTGAGCCCAAGAGACTCGACATCTTCGGGTAATAGATACTTGGACGTGGCTGTGACCGCAACTTGGTCGATGATCACGTTGAGTAAAGTCAGCGTATCACTGAGGAGTCCGTATACGTCACTAGCATATGGCTCTAAGAATTCTCGGTAGCTGTTAATATCGGCCTGAGAAACGTAAATCCATGAGATATAAAGACGGATGAAAGGGAGAAGCCGCTTTAGAAGCTGGCTAAAGTAGATAGGACTCTCAGCACTGTCACGGTTCTCTCTTTGCTTCTCGGAAGCTGGAGACGTTGCAGATTCATCCAGTAAACCGGCCTTTAGAACTCGAAGGAGAACCACAAATGTACGGATATTGAATCTCAATAAAAATTGAGCGGATTGGGAGCCTTGTATTGTCCAAGTAGCTTTTGGTTGTAGTCAGCATATAAGTCAACAATAACTGAAAGACAGTCCCGGCAAACTCACCCTTTACTTTCTCCAGAGCAACGTCATATGCCGCGATGTTGACGAATGTCATTCTGCGTAAGATAGCGTCATCAGGGTTAGATTTGATTGTCATCTCTATGCGATGTAGCACTTCCTCTTCTAACTCAGACTGCTGAGAAAAGGGCTCTCCTTGGAAGAAATACGCATGTAATCGGAGGAACCAGGTAACCATAGTCTCACTCGGATCTTTTGGCCCCTTGCGAGCAGTAGAAGGGTTTTCCAAGCCCTTGAATTCCCGCTCAAGGTTAGTAATCCCTAATTGGTGCGGCCTCGCGATGCAAATAGAACGGTGAAAGTGATAGACAATGTCAAGATGTCGAGCTTGAAGTTGATACAGTACGGCTAATTGGTGGTGGGCGGAGCCGTCATCGGGGTCAATGGCGTTTGCTAGACCGTAATACTCCAAAGCTTTATCGAAATTCGTACTGGAATTCGAAAGCTTCTCAGTCATCTGACATCGATACCTGACTAGGTCACCGAGGTGAACCAGAGTTATCTGGCATGATTTCAGAATCATTGCGCGAAGCCGAGACGGAGGTGTTGAATCGGGAGGAGGAATCGCTTCCGGCTCGATATCCGTACCATACGCAACTTGGTGAAGTTGCGGGATATAGAACCGGCTAGATAGTCTTTGAATATAGACACGGTAAAACGATTGAGATGTCCTCAGAAACCCGCGGTACTGCTTCTCTAGCTTCCGTCTCACGACAACTTGATTCTGTGCCAAGAGGCGGCTCATAACTTTTCGGTACTCTCCGTTAAGAAAGGTGTGAGCATGCCATAGAAAGTGCTCAACATTCTTACCGGCTGCATACTCGAAATCATGGTTGATGACGTTCATACAAGCTAGACGGAATCTAGAGTAACGATAGTGTTAATATCTTCTATCTTCCGGTAGCAGGAACAACACGGAAGGGGAATTCATACTCAGCCATCGTCTGCTCAACTTCCTCGAAAGCAGTTGTAGTGTTCGTAGTTCCGCGTTCTTTTTTCAGGCTTGATATCTTTGCCATTATATCAGTGCGGATCTTCTGGGCGTCCCTGCCACGCATGTTAATGCAAAAACCAAAACTGGCGCATCTGACAAACATAGACATACCCCCAGCTCGCCCTGGCTTTGTCTCGCGGGTTCTCCATTGTGGACGAAGACGGCTTACGATCGTAACGTATATGTGACGTCGAAGCGTGGTATAATAGCGCTATTAAGTCACCGTCGCTCTAGGGCGCGGGGTTTATGTTTTGACTGGGAAACTGTTGCGACAGCTCACAGCCAGGAAGCAGGATCACACGAACTCGAACCGGGCATGAGGATGCGGCGGATATCCATAATTTGAGGTGTGCGACGAGAGGCAACTGAGGCGCGCCGTACAAGATTGGGAAAAGGTAGCTTTCTCGGGGTATGATATCGGGTACATTTGCGGTTAGTTGTTAAGAGAAGGGATACCTCGTAGAAGAGATGTCCAACACTAAGAATCAGACGATCAGACAGGTAGAATTAAAGTTAGGAAATCGTAGGCGCAGACAGAAGCACGGATAAATACTACGTCTGCGACCAGGAACGAGAGCTTCTTATAGACCAGGGCGTCTTATTGGGTATACAAGAACCTATGGTAAGGTTAAGGGGAAAGGCGTGAAGGTGAGGAATGAATGGATGGAGGGTGAGGCGACTTGAATGGGCTCATAAAGTTGTAGTGTAGATCGTAAAAACGCTGGGAGGGTCGGCGCACACCAATGATGTGCTAAAATCTGCGAGCCTGCCCAAGGACCGATGTAGTACAGACAGGCAGGGCTACATATATAACACCAGACCTGATGTATTGTACCCAGTAAATATTAAACCTTAAAAAATGTACCTTGCTGGGTATTATATACAACGCGTACTGCCTACAGTCAGGTATGATAGGTACCTACCTAGGTACCTTATAGCACTTGGGCAGACCCCTCGTTGCTAACCCCCGGATTAGTTTAGGGGTCCTTTTTGGCACATTTACATTTAAAGATACCTATGTACTCTGTACGCTTGCAGCCACTAAGCTTGGATTCACACGCCGTAAACCCTGTCCTTGAGTCCATGCGGCAGATCAATCAGATCAATCGTCTCTAACTCGCTGCATTCAGTCGCTAGTAAACCTTTTTTAAGTTTTGAATTTCCCACTTGGCATTTTATGGAATCGACGAGTTACGATTCAAACTCACAGACCGCCTCCGTCGAGTGGGCATGGGTGGCCCAAAGTTCTCTTCCATTGTTCACATTCGTCATCAAACTTCGTAACTTGAACTTTAATATATTGTGTGCCAATAAGTTTATTATGCCTTTTGTTTCGTCTCTTTGACCTTTGAGTAACTATCGCTGCTATTTTAATACCATTCATCATCTACATACGAGGACCCACGAGTGATAAAGAGTTTATCTATTCAAACCGTCAAGTCTCTTTCATGTACAGTACATCGCTTTTAGAACCCCACCAAGTGACTTTGATACTTACACAGACTTGACCTCATCTTCAAGACCGTCGGCGACCAAGCAATCGAAACTTTATGCTTAACTGCTACCAAATTTCTTGGGTCACTAGCAACAGTTTCTGTTAATGTAAATTTACCCCAAATTTCCATACTAAGTCCACAACGCAAATATGAAGCGCTCACGCGAGCCTGAAGAAGACGAATTATCGTCACCGGAACCTGAAGCTAGCTCGGACAAGATTTCGAATAGCGCAAGTCCACGAGAAGTAGAAAGACTTCCACCGGCGAAAATCACAGAGCTTGACGAATCCGCCGTTGACGACGACGACGACAATAATACCTTCATAATGAAGTGTTCTCTACCCCCGCACCGAGACGTGCTGTCGTTCAAGACGTATACGGAATATGAAGCACACCATAACAGGACGCATATGAATCGATGTGTAGAATGCGGAAAGAATTTTCCGTCCGAGCACCTGTTGAATGTTCATATCGAAGAATGGCATGACGCCTTCGCCGCCGTGAAGAGAGAGAAAGGCGAGCACACGGTAAGGGTGCTCCCGGAGCCAACCTGGTTTAAGCTTATGGGACTAATTACATTTTGGGTAGTATTCTTGTTTTGTTGAGGGTTGTGATAGGAAGTGTAGAACCCCTCAGAAAAGACGAAGCCATCTCATCGACAAGCACATGTACCCGAAGAATTATTTCTTTGGAATTACTAAGGATGGTGTCGACGGAAGACAGTCACTACTAATCGAATATGGGCATCGCCGACGAAGGTCTTCTACGGCGACCAACGGTAATGGACCAAAAACGACAGGCCGACGGCAGAGTCTTCGGCAGACGGAAACAACGAAGCCGGAAGCACAGCAGCCAGGAACAGAACCATCGAAAGTGAGCTCTCCTCAGGCTGAAGCCCCAGATATGGAAATGGAGGATCTGGCTGGCGCTATGTCCGCACTCCAGTTTGTCCCCACGAGCATACGCTTTGGCCACAGGAAAGGAATAGCTGGATTCGCAAGACGATGATGTGACGAAAACAACGATAAATGAGGACACGAGAGCACGAAATTATGAGAATGAGCATGAGCACGAGCCCAGTGACCTCAATAGCTATGACCTCAATAGCTAGCATTACATACCATACGAATGATATTCTAGCCCATGATAAATTATGCTTTTTGAATTGAGTCTTTACTCCATTATCTTCCCTAGAAGCTCGTGATATCATGCAGTGAAACGGATCGCCCGTATTCCAATAGGTATAGTAATGCCGGAAACCAGTATGTAGAATGAACCCTAACGCCGTTATGCCGCGAAGCCCAACCAGTGCATAAACTCAAAGACCATAATTTAATCACTCGAGGCACAACCTCTACAGCCACAGCTAACGCATTGGACATCCTGCTCGTCCTTCAACTGGGCTTTGGGTACTCGGCAGACGCACGTCGACTGAAAGTTCGTCTCCTTGGTCTGGATGCAGCGAAGACAGCATAGCTATTAGAGATTCCAAAATTAGCAAGATGTCCCAATTTGCACTTTGAAAAGTTTCGGTATGCATACCTTTTCGTAACCCTGCTTCTTCCATTTAGCAATTAGCATAGCGTCAGCGTACCCGTTCTTGAGCAGCCAGTCGTATAGCTGCTTGCTGATAGCCTCCTTCTCGTAGTAGAGCTCGTAGACATATCGGCTCCGCTGGTGAGAGATCTGGAAAATGGGCCATTGCGCCTGGTGCTTAGGGATGTTGTTGGTAGGCAAGTTCTGCGCGTCCTTCATCTTGATGTTGAAGATCTCGAGGTCATCGCGGATGTCGTCGAACCCGGCTGGCGGCTTCTTGGATCGTGACGAGCCGAGGGATCTAACTGGTGGCATATTGTATGTAATAAATGTATCGGATTCGGTGAAGGAAGGAAGGAAGCTTAAGGCGTATTCGTGAACTACGTGGGTAGTTGTTCGATTGCCCGGCTTCTAACTCCTGGAAAAGTAGGTAAACAGTTCAGCAGGGTAGTGGGGCAAGGCTGAGAATTACAAGAACGAAGCCTTCTTGGAAGTGATGTTGAACTCGAATGGAATGGTACGCGATTATGCAAGATGACTAAGAGAAAAAGCTAAACCATGAGGTACTTAAGTACTTTTCAGTATAAGTGTGGCTAATGTGGCTAATGCAGCCCAACTTCCAAGGCTCAGTTCCCACCTTCGCTTGAGACAATTGGAAGCTAAGAAGTTGGAATGAACTTCAACGCTACGTCAAGGAGCATATCTCACCTATCATGCCGGTGACACCTACACAATTCGCGCGGACGACGCGGACGTGTTAGTATATACCTCCCGCTTCCATTTTCGCCTGCTGACATAGTCCGCAGCGGCCAATTGGAGCGACGCAAGACGACGAGTCCTGGCGGCTTATCGAGAATGGATACGAGCGGTACGGATCTCCCCGGAGCGGAATACTTCATACCTATATACAGCTGGAACGAAGCGCAGGGTGGTTCCTATATAGAAGGGAGGCTTATACAATTTATTTTCTAGGCTCCTGAAATCCAGACGATGTACTCGATCCCCTTCCCTGTCTCCGTCATCCGTACACGAATGCGACAGGAGTTTGAGCGCCATAGATTCGTCGACAAGCTACCGGTAGTCGATGTGCTCCTTGTGCAGAACAACGCAGAATATCAGGTCAGTAAATAAATGGCATGATACGCGGCCACGGGTACCAAGCGTACTGGATATAAAATTGGGGGTATGGCAAGTTCATCTTGGGAGCATCACTGATGGATTGTGCAACAGGAAACCATGAATTTCTGGAAGCAGACTACACATGTCATGTCTTATTTCCCTAGCGAACACTTCCGAGGAGCCGACAGACTACCGAAGAGCTTTATGCAGGGTTTCTTAGAGGCAAGTTTCTATTGCGAGATCCCTCGCACGGGAACCTTCCTGCTAACAGTGCCTTAGGGTCGCAACTAGATATGGGTATCGTCCCGCTGTATTGTACATAGCAAGACCCGAAGTCAAATCCTAGACCTGAGAAAGTTGTTCTTCTATCATACTCCGAACGCCGCAAATACCATATCCTCTAGGTTGTGCCAAGATACTCTTAACTAGTCTGTGCTGCCTGTCTTCTCCTCTCAGCTTCTTCTTGCCTCTTGCGAGCCTGCTCCGGGGTTGCTTCGAACTTCTCTCGCTCTGTCCAGAATTCGTCGGCAACGACATCACAGAGGTCTTCTATGTCCTGGAGACCCTTGGCCAAAGCGGCAGCGGCAGTTGTCGTGTCTGCAAGCAGTCAATACCGAATAGACGAGAATTAGTTTCTAGGATATCTCCTACCGTATGTTTGGATTCTGAGGTTCATCTTGTCCTCGGAAGGATGGGGAATAGCGTACGCGCAGAATTCGACGTCCGGGCTATGATCATATTTAGTTAGTCGCTTTACTCCCGACAGAACAGAACATCAAACGTACTTCTTCATGATTATATATCGCAGAGCATTACCAAGTGTGTGACCCTCCTTCAGGAATTCGAAAGAAGCTGCCGTTTCAGATGATCCAGGTAGCTACGTGCAACATTTCGTTAGTGATTTGCTCCCTTCAGGCCAGAATGTAGGCCATTTGAACGTACAATTCTAACTCGCTGGGGTTCCTCCTCTTCTTCTTCCTCAACGGGTTCCTCGTCGCCCTCCGATCCGTCCTCCTGCATGGCATCTCCGTTTTCCTCTTCCACAGGCTGTTGCGCCGAGGTGGGAGCATCGTCCATGGAGGTATCTACCTCCTCGGGCGCATCGTCGCGAGTCTTCGTTCTTCCAGGCATGGCGCGCGGTATTATATCAGGAGCAGTTGATATTTACGGGAGTGGTGAAAATGGTCGACGACTTATACCGACTAGACGCAACTTTACTGGCGAAAGTGTAGCGCTCAAGAATTTTGGTGGGGTCCGTTATTGGTCGAGCTCCGACGATAAAATTTAAGGTTAGCTATCACAGGGAAGACTTTGATTGGACGACTAAGATCATTGGGTCCGATGATTTTCCGACCGTCCAATTTACATGTAGGCTGGAGTAGGTAGCCACATACATATCACCGCAATTCAAGAGCAACTTTAACCTTTTCTTCAGCTTCTAGTATAATTCAAGGGTATAAACATACTTAATTCTACTAACTAGTTCTAACATTCTATCGAGTTACAAGCGCGTAAACGTTATTTCCACGCCATTCATTTTCAAGACCTCGTTGAAACAGGGTCAATTCCATCAAGGTTAAAATATTCTCGCTTTCCGAGAAAAATAAATTAGCATTTAATTGTTACTCTTTCTAGCTATTGGAATAGATGATCCAATTTGCATCTAGGTCTAAATTATTATTGTTGTTGTTGTAATAGTCTTGAATAATGGTACTTATGCATCAACATTTTTTGGCCATATTATCGTCAGTTGTTAGTTGTGTTCCTGGCAGGGACTCGTGCACGCCGAGATATCATCATATGTTTGGTCAGATATCACCTTTTCGATCCCCGGTGGGAAAGGACTATCCGGAGGTGCTTCCAGGGGCAATTCCGCTTTCACAACCACTTTGATATGGGTAGATCCGTAGAGACGACATCCGGCATATACGTGGTCATAGTGGATGCCGTGGCAGACGATGGTGAGTTGTTCCAGGTTTACCAAATGAAGATTGATAATATAAAACAGTTCCTGAAGCGCCAATTGGAAGCTTGGCGCATAATACGAGAAGTGCCACGTGAGCATCGAATTGCTGATAGCGATATGGCGGATACGAGCCATATCTTCCGGGTGAAGTTGAGACATGAAAATACTGAACCAGTCTTTCGGGCATCCTAATACCATGCTTGGTCCAAAATAGAGCACATCGCTTATGGGATCAACAAGGCCTCCAATACCAAAACGTAGACTATATTGCTTCAGTGCCTCTTGTCGCGATTCTCTACACACGTGCAGATTTGCAGGGACTCTACACACGTACGTATAGTGGCATTCTTGTTTACTTAGTTTCAGCTGGGGTTTAACGAGCTGCGTAGCTTTAATTTCTATACAACGTGGCAGTAAGTTATATTCCCATATCATTAGCCGGAGTTCGGTGGGGAGTTGAGGAAAAAAATGCTTGAATACCTATGTTAGCATGTATTCATACTTGGGTATCGTTAAGACTTACGAAGACTTGGAATCCATCTCTCGGTGTTGGCTTTACGCCATTAGTAGCCTTCGTGAATCGGCGTCTAATTAGGGATAGTACTTCATGCATTGCTGATTAATATGGGATTCCGAAGTAGCGGGAAACGTAGAAGCCGAGTTGAGTAAAGAGATAGAAATATAGAGGCTACTCATATGTACCTAAGGTACTAATAAGTGCCAGTAAGTGCGAAATCCATAACACTCAACTTCAATGCTTAACTATACAGTCAGCCCATAAAAGAGATAGAATGTACTAACAAAGCAAATACAATAGGCACTAAGTCAGAGGAACAAGATCCTGTGTCCTTTCAACATGTAACAATTGCTAACAATATGATTTTAATGAAGGGAAAATATTTTTAGAGTTGCGGAAGGCTTAGGTGACTATGGAAAGCTCACCGCTCGGACTCGGAAGACAACGCGTTGAAAATCGTCCAACCCACAACGCGTCTTCCTGCGATTGTGACGCGTTAAGCTCCCGTATTAAATATTTCAATTAAACTTAGAAAGCCCGGGCGGTTGGAACCTCATTCTAGCAACAGGTAGTTTGGTAGTTACATATAGCTACCTATATAATAGTTTATTATGAATTCCTAGAACATTTTAGTTATGTTAGGTAGTTATGTACATAGTGTACGTAGATCTTAGATTATACATGCCAAGAATGTTCAAAGTTTAGTGAGATCCACCAAACCCGACAGTTCGGTCACGGCAGTTTGAAGCCTTGTATCAAGCAGGGAAGGTAAACCCCTCCCTCCTTTTATAGTATAGTAAGTATTATACTATAGGCTTAAGATGTATAAGATCCGAAATACCTTGACTATCTACCTAATGTATAAAGAATAATTGGACTGAATATGTGCTCAACGTATCATAGGATAAATACTACCTAGGTACATATTAGAACCACACTACCGTACCAAGATCGGCTGGTTGCTGTTAACGGTTTTATAATTGTAAACCGTCTTTTTACAGTTACACTTTTATAAATATTCAAGATGATAAATGTTAAGAAATATTAACGTTTAACATGCTTTTAATAACAAATCAAATCTAAACGTTTAAAAGGGCTTAAAACATTCAAATATATTAATACTTAAATATTTTAAATGATTTAAATGATTTAAGCGTTCGAGAGGCTTTTAAACGTTTAAGCGTTTATCTCTTTCCCGCTACCCCTGTCGATCTACCTAAGTAGCAAGAAGCCTGGTAAGAGGCTCTTCGGAATCATCTATATAAAGGCCTCTCCCCCCTTCGAAAGCGATTCTTCTTTCTTTCCTTCTAAGTCTTCAAACCTCAGCCAGCTAGCTAGGCTAGGCCAAGCCATTATAGCCAAGACCCAAGACCCAGGAGTTATCGTAGCCTCGTAGCCTCATCACGTAGCCTCATCACGTAGCATCGTAGCATCGTAGAATTGTAAAATCTTCAATAACCTAAGTCATAATCCTACTGCTTCTAATTGCGTTTGTACGCTCGTTTGTACGTATACGTACCTTCCCGTTAGCTCCCGTGGCTCTCCCGTCTCCTTTTTATAAACGCGTAAACGTTTAAAGTTAATTTCAACGATTAAAAAATTAAATACTTCGTTAGATTTTAATCATTTAAAAATATAAATGCCCGAAGTGCTTTCAAATGGTTTAAATATTTCTAAACGCTTGCTAAAGTTATTCAACGTTCAAGAAGTTGGAATTTCATTAATAAAAAATTTTTTTAATGGTGAGAAGACGGTGAATTAACGGTTTATTGCAACCAGCGGATCTCGGTACTGTAGGAGGCCAGCATACGAAACCATGAAGTTGGAAATACTAGCAACTTCTCTCGTCAACTACCTACTCAGGCGGCCAGCTAGTTAACTTTGGCTGCTATTTATTTGGAGGACTAATCGAAGCGTCTAATTTGCTAAAGTAAAACTTACATACATCTATCAAAGCAAGGCCGCGCTCAGATTAACCACAATATGATTAATAAGTCGCGACGTGGTCTACGGGTTTACACAGCAGGGCTTATGCCTTAAGTACTCATTCAAGTTGTTATGTCACCTGTAATATCGTAGAACATGGTTGGTTGGTTGGTCTACGCCGCGTCGCGCTGAGGTAAACCGTGATATTGATTCACCCTTTAGAATAATCTTGGTAAGACCGGGAATAAGAGGCTAGCAATACCTACCTACCTATCTATAAATCGCTGCAAACCCGCCAGGGAAGCGGGACGGCGCAGTGGAACTCTATAGATCCTTCCGAGCACCCTTACCCCTTACCCCCGCATACCTAATTCCCTCCGAATGTTCTGCATCGGCCCAGCTACACGGACGGACGGCCGGTCCCACGACCCTCCCAAAGGAAGACGCCTGCTCTAAGCGCAGCACTTGAAGAAGATCAATATCTTCCAGCCAATTCCCAGAGAACACTTCGCAGGGGGGGTGAATTCCCGTGGTGGTAGCGAACGGTGACATACATTGGCGCCGGCCCTTGTGAATCGTGATTGGCTATAGTGGTGCCGGGCCTCCACTTCCCCGAGCGTGTAAGCGCCCGCAAAGGTCTAAATTTGGGTGCCTCTGGGCCAATCTACGATGGCCCGAATCCAAGTATGCCTCTTAGGCCCCCGGCCTCAGGTCAATCACACGCGTCTAGCGTGTGCATGGGCGCATCGCCTTCCACGATTAATCTCCCGGGCAGAGCTAGATATGTATGAAAGGTATCACCCGGGGTACTATCCTTAGCATTGCGCATGGCTACAAGCGCTCAAACGGTCCACGAGACTAGGTCTAGATGGGATGGCTTCATCGACTACAGTCGAATAGCTGAAGGCGTATATTCATTCATATTCGTCGCATTTCGCCTTCTCATCAGGTTTGTCAAGTTATCTCTTTTCGACATCTCATCAAAGTTGCTCGTCTTCGGGTTATCCATTTCCTTTTTTTGGTCACTTATTTTCTTTTCTATATCTTGCTTCGCTTCGTTTGATCATATTCATATTTAACTATCCTTATTCCATAGTCAACATTCTGTGAAGGTTGAAAACGGATAATCACCTATATATTTTCTCGCTCTCTCTCCATCTATCTATCCCCACCATGTCTTCTGATAACAAGGGCCGTATCCCCACGCCTTACTCGGACGTGGATCCTCAAGATCACCAGTACCAGAGTCACGTGAAGAAACTTCGTCTTGTTGATAGTGCTCGCATCGGTCTCACTGGACTGGCCCTCCTTTGCGGCCTGACTATCCTCGGAACTGCTGCCGATACCCTGGCTGTATATAATGCAACACACCTCTCGAGCGATTATCACTTACCACTGTGGCCTGACCAATTCGATCTCCGGCCCACGGTAGCGCTCGTCGTTGGCAGCACTATTGTGGTCATTGCCAATATCGTATCTTTGCTATGTAGCAAAGTCAGGGTGGTAAGTACAACTTCATTAATAGATCCCATTTATCGTAAGATTGGATTCGTGCTAAAAATCTTCAAGCTTCGCAACCAGACCTCGGTTCACACGCCTCTTACTTTTGCTGCGCCCTTTGTTGGCTTTACGGCTGTCATGATCGGCATGATTTTCTTCTATGCTGTTAATACATCAGCCACAAATGATACGTTACAGAGCTGGAGCTGTCAGTGGGGATTTGCGAGCATGGGCGCGAAGCCGCACTTTGGCACTCTATGCAACGAAAGCCGGGTAGCCCTGTATCTGTCTGTTATATTAGTTCCCGTCGAGTTGATTGTCTTTACCATAGCCGGCTACCAGTCGATCTTGGAAAAGAAAGCGCTCGGTTTCATCCCGTCTCACAAGACTGGCAGTCCTGTACCATCAGCGTGAGACTCAGCGTGAGACAGTACCAGGCAAGGAGTGGACCCAACTGGTTCTCGACCTGCACACACCCGCGGCCGCGGGCTAATGTCCTGCAATATGGCGATGATCCATGCATGGTTGTCGGAGTCCGGTCATAACGATAGGTAAGGTGCGCAAGGAAGATAGTTTACGAACGACCGGTGTATAATAGCTATAATAGGCCGTCACCGAGAAGTGGCGATGCAATAAACATTATCTGAATCGACGCTGCGGGTTGACATTCTAGGTCGTCTTGATTTGTATATAGGAGGATAGGTAGACTGATTGGTGTAATATCTCGGTTCTCGGTAGCCCACAATAACAATTTATTCGGATTTGACCGCTACCACTTGAGTTAGGTGACTAAAAGAGTCTCGGATATGCAAGCGATAGATTAATACGATCATCATGTGGGCGGAAAGCTGCGGCTCTAGTCCCTGCAACGTGTTTGTTTGCGATAAGACTCCAACTGTAGACGACCCAACCCTCACTTATATAGATAGGCATCGTCATCCTAATATAATTGCGAGAATCAGTGAAACTCAGTGATACTGAACGAGGGGTGGTCCGTGGGATTCGAAGTCATGGACCACCCTGATTTCTAAGCTTCCACCAAGGAATTCTCTCGGCCACTGGATGCAATGTCGCTTTCCTAATTGCTATCATCGATGGATAAGCGGATGCAAGCGACCAGAACGGGTTGTAGCGTTGCAGCGTTGCACGGAAATGTTGTGCTCCCATTGGCGTCGATTGTAGCCTTCCATGTCCTACCTAGATCCAGCCTGTCGTGTGCACCGTGTTACAGTGGTCTGATAAGGGTTCAAAAGAATAAGGTGATGGTAGTAGGTTAGATGGAATTTCGAAGGTTGAGATGGTGGGGGTAGATAGGAATATGAAGAGCCGGGTCATTTATGAATAAAAAGAGAAGATATCCGGGCATGGGAAGTATAAGTATTTAACCTTATGTATTAATGATGTATGATGTATTACATAGTGTCAATACATTAACCATATTTGAATGTAAGTAAGCAATGTTGGGGCATAGTAGTAAAAGGGAGGTGCCACTAATTCAACCACTCCAGTCGGTACCTGCCTCATGCATCCTGACGACAACCTGCCTCTGCTTGCCTCTGCTTGCTTTTGCCTGCCTGCCTTTGCCTGCCTTTAGGTAACCTTCCTTTAAGTAACCTTCCAGACTTTCCAACATTAAGTCTTTGCAAACGACCTCCATCGGGTTTAGGTATTCTCTGACACCTCACTTCACTTCTCCTTTCACCACCATTACTCCATCGGCGTTCCAAGGTTCCTATGTGCCACTAGACTTTTGATTCGGCCGAACTAACTCAAACTAATCAAACAATCTCAACCTTTTATAATATCTACCACACCAACTCACGATAAAAATAGGAGTTAAGTTAGCTGAAGGTCACCCACTCGGTTTTTATCATACTATATTGTAGTACTGCTCCACGCTTACGGTCTACTTACGAGGGTAGATAAGGCCTAGATCGGTATTCCCTCCCCCAAGGGCCCAAACAGGGAGAACCAGTCCCCACGTCCTGTACAGCTCAGTGCCCAATACGAACATCACATGCGCTAGATCAATGCAAGACAATCTGCCCTACAAGCTGACAGGACGCTATCTCAACTAGGAGACCCAAATTCACCTATAAGGCGTCGCACTTGGCAATACGCGAGACAAGATCTGACTTGACTTGACAAGACTTATGCGCGCTATTGAACACTCCAACGCTTGTACAACAATGGTTCGACCAGATTCTTTACCAGCTAGGCTGCCTCGTATAAACCCGCCCTTGACAAGTAACAATTATCCTTCAGCTGTTCCCGACATCTCTTCCACGCAGCGAAAAGGCCATTCTTCACGCTCTTCGAAAACAAATATCGTCGAAGGTAACAAAATGATGCGCAATATTGATCGACCCCCACCAGGCGACCCAACCGGCAGTCGCAAGTCCCAAGTACATCCAGAGCTTAGCAAGAAACGAAGCGCCTACTTTGAGACTGAATTCGCAGCAGCGAACCGGGGTCCGGACCCGGTTAAGGCTCGAATACAGAATGAAGCTATTGTGATGGCAGATCTAAGGACAAATGTCATAGTGAGTTTATGCGTCTACTCCATCAACGTGACCTACTAATACGGGCCCCTAGATCAAGGACGAATTTTCTTTTATAACTGATCTCTCATACAACCTGTCCAACAGGTATCAGCGACCAATATCTTCAATCGTCATCAACTTGAACCATGGCTGCTGCATGATGTTTGGGGGTTCCTTTGACCCAGCATACACCTTAACTATTCACGCGCTTCCGAGTCTCGTTCAGCCTACCACGAATAAGAGAAATGCGGCGCTTATTCAGCGACATATTCAAGAGACCCTAGGTGTCGTGGCGTCGAGGGGTTATATACGCTTCGTCGCTACCCCCGAAGAGAATGTTGCCATCGGGGGCAAGACAATTGCTGCTGAAATAAACGAATCCGGTAATGCCATGGCCGATGACAAGCCCACCGAGACTAAAAGAAGTGCCAAGTCAAATCGGAGGCTTGGTGTAAAGGTATACTTTTCCTTCCTCTTCCTTGGCTGCGGAGCTCAAAGTCGGCTTATAGGACCGATAACTAATACATTAATAGTCTTTTGGGGGTTTCAGATCCGCTTCTATGGCTGATCTTGCGAGGGTTCCTACGCCACCCCCGAGTACCTCAGATGAGACTGCACCCATCACAACCATTCCCGAAGTGCCTCCTACGCCGCCCGAGGACGATAAGTTAGGCGACTTAATTGAGCACAAGCCGGTCAAGACCGCATCACGTCGCAGAAGCCTGAGATTTGGTCTGTTTAGTGGGAAGACAGCAGTGTGATAGAGTAACAGTCACAACCGCTTATTACTGTTGTGACACTGAACCTTTTGGTTGAGATGGCCTCATTATGTTGCAACACCTGGTTGAATACTTTAGTTGCGTCGCAACTTTCATAATGCGACGATATTAAATACGGGCTGGCGTACATTGCATTGCATCGCTTGGGGGAAAGCGTTGCACTGGAGTTTGGGAGGGAGAAATAAGCATTCTATCCCGTGGGACATGATATTATTGCTATGTTGTATGTGCGCGTGACGAATTGCGATCGGTGTATGATTTATTGAGAAGCGAGTCCTGATAAGCTAATACCTAGGTAGGGTCGGTAGTTGATAGTCTAATGAGTATATCCCGCGGCAAAACATAGCTACTTACCGAATCAATTAGATTTTGTTAAGCTTCTTGACGAGGCGACCAGAGGCTGCCGTGTATTAGGATATATTTCTGAGGCATGGATGTTAGAAAGTGAATGAGAGTGAGCGTCACTGCGTAAAACTGAAAGAGAGCAAGAGTGGTAGTTATGTACCTAACATATAAAATGAAATTGAGCTTACTAAGGTTGGATGGATTGTGGTTTCTTGCTTGCCAGCTGAAATCGCATGGCTTCGGTCAGCTGATAACTGTCAGAACAAGATTGTCGCCAGCTGATAGTAACTTCGTGCTCGTCCTCCCTCAAACTCCACCTTGTGCTCTAACTCTCACATTTATGATTTGACACTATTATTTGAAACGAGACTAGGTATACCTGAGCTTATACCTGAGCTCTAGATCTTGAACGCGAGGGGAACTTCTTCCATCTACATCAATGATTTATGGCTTTCCGGACTTTATCACTTAATGATAATTCGACGCGAAACTGCATTCATTCATTTAATAAGTTCAGTCCATTTCGTATTTCGGAATTGCAGCTGTTCCCTCGGAAGCCATCGACGTCGGCGGAACAGAAGTAGCTGAATAAGAATAACCTGACATCGACATCTTCCCGGTCTACCGAAACATCTTGCCGACGCTGTGCACAGCCGTGTTGCCTGATGATTCTCGTCGCTATTTATTGCAGCCACTAAAGAGCCAGTGCTACATAAAAGTCATCATTAGCGGTGCAACTGTTAAAGGGTGAGTCAGCCCGTGCCAGCCTGTTGGTTTATCTTGATTTAATAACTAAGCGAGTCTATTCGTCGCTATATAGAAGCTGACTCAGAATCTATCATTCCATAGGCTAGAAAAAAAAAAACTCAAGGCGGACAACCCGCTTGCCGTCAGTACGCACGGGTCGTCTCTTTCTACATCTCGTCCATGTCGCCGGGGAAGAGGGGAGGTTAGGGTTACCGTGCGTTCATTGCCCGGCGTAACAGCTAGATCCCGGTATCTTATCTAGTTTCGTCTTCATTATGGAGGTGAGACATTGTCTTTTCTTTTCTTTTCTTTTCTTCAAACCTTTTTCCTAGTTATTTCCTTGCTTACGAATTAAAACACCATCCGAGCTGGTATTGCCTAGTGGCACAGGAACACCGCCGCGTATCATCGTCGACACTTTTTTTTTTCTCTCTTTAGTTCGGGCAGGGTCATCGATCCATCGACGGGTGCTCGTAACCAGTCAGCTCCTCTACCATTATATTCTCTTTTTTTCTTTTCCCTTTTTTCTCTTTCTTACCATACCACCTCTGACACGCAGTCATGATGTGCAGTGGTCATTACCGCTTCCAGATATATCACCATTATTGTTATTTTTGTTGTCGTTAGGCAGACGTCAGGTATAGAACCGGATTTACGGACGGGGAGATTATTATGACCTGATTACCACATATCCGAGCTCTCTGAGCGGAATCCCCGAGTCGTTTAATTTGTACCACGGTGAGATCAGCAATGAAATCATCTCGCTCTTCATAGATTATCAGGAGCGATATGCCCTGTTTCGATCGAGCTGAACGTTCCGAGTCCGTGACCTTTTTCCCGTTATGAAATTTGACGTATCCCCTGGTTGAAGCTGCCTACATGCAGCCACCCAGCTGTTGCTGTTTTTTTCTCATCACCACGACCTTGCATTCCCGTCTCCTTGGATTCGGAGACTTCGTTTGCAGATTGGCTCGCAGGTCTCCTTTAAACGTATCAACAAACGACGAACAATGAACATCTGCCTGTTCACATTTTGAGATTCGCTTGAGATAGTTGCCTTCTTCGTGTCATTCAGCAGAGATGTACCTGGGAAAAATATTATGCTCGTACGAGGAGCACATCCACTTCAGCCAGCTTGGTCCTTGACGTATCCAAGCCGTTATCGTTCGCTCTAAAGCTTCACTTCATACCTCTTCGTTCTTGTTTAACTCTCTTTATTATCATTATGTCTTCTCGGCTTCGTGGTTTGGACGCGTTCGACCCCGACGTTGCCGGGGAACAACCACATGGGACACCGTCTAGTCTTGCGCAACAGGCTCTAACGCGTGTATATGAACAGGACCAAAGGCTACGGAAAAATGGATCGAGGGTGTCCGATCAACCCCCAGATCTGTCATCGAAAGGGAAACCTAGGTTGCTCCTGATGGGGCAGAGAAGGTAAACTATCGTATATCAAATACCGGAGGACTAGGCTAACCCCCTTTTTAGGAGTGGTAAATCGTCGATATCGAGCGTGGTTTTTCACAAATTACCCCCGAGTGAGACTCTATTTCTAGAGTCAACTGCGCGCATCCAAAAAGACACCATGCCGTAAGAAGCTGATTGCTTGATATATGTGATTTCTCCTTCTAATATGACACTATAGGTCTTTTATGGATTTCCAAGTATGGGATTTCCCAGGTCAAATCGACATCTTTGATAACCCAACCTTCGACATCGATGCCATGTTTGGCGAGATAGGTGCCTTGATTTGGGTCATAGACGCTCAGGATGATTATCTAGAGGCAGTAGCCCGCTTGAATGTGACTATACTAAACCTCCAACGGACGTATCCGAACATCAAAATCGAGGTGTTCATTCACAAAGTTGATGGATTATCAGACGACTACAAGTTAGATATCCAAAGAGATATCACTATTCGGATCCAAGACGAACTCTGCGACCACGGGTTTGAAAACGCGCCGGTCACTTTTCACTTGACTAGCATATACAACCATAGCATTTTCGAGGCGTTCAGCAAAGTGATTCAGAAGCTTATTCCTCGACTTGGTATACTCGAAGCGATGCTTACTAACCTCTGCCGTACTTGTCGTTTCGAAAAAGCCTATCTATTTGATGTTTTGTCTAAGATATACATTGCGACCGACAGCGAACCCGCAGATATGGCAAGCTACGAAATCTGCTCTGACTATATTGACGTTATAATAGACGTCACAGAAGTATACGGAAGCTGGCCCCGCACTCAGAAGTACCGCGAAGCTCTGGAAGGCCCGCCTTGGAACCAGAAGATAGAGGATCAGGTGGCCTCGGGATGTGCCGAGAGCTGCATGGTATTGAGCGACGGAAACAAACCGATCATACTACGTGAGGTCGACAAGTACCTCGCACTAGTTGCGATCATGAAGGAAGACAGCTACGACAAGATGCCACTTGTCAACATGAATGTCGAGGTTGTTGTGCAGGGTGTGAAGGAGTTCTTCGAAATTACGAAGCCAAAATAAACAAAAGCCCAGCCATCAGTTTGACTTTATAGCTTGAGATGAAGCAAATTGTTGCAGGAGCAACGCCAAGGGATATTCATGTTCTATGGGGTGGACAATCATTCAACAAAGAATGAGACACCGTTATAGATTCGAGATGAGCTATTCTGCGGTCCATGTCAATCTGACATGAGTAAAAACCAGGCTCCACGAGTGCGTATCATAGGATGATCAGATTTGTGATCTCAATCACAACTTGAATATAAAAGGTAGTCTACAAATAGCATACCAATTTGATATGCTTACTAAATGTGAGACTTGTGAAATCCGCCATCCTCTCTACAAAACAGCTTATGAGGTAGCTATTCGTGTAACTATTCGTGTAACTATTATATGGTAAGTCGCTTTGTAAATTGTGTTATGCTAACACCACCAATCATAAGGGCCATCTGGAACGCGTGGGCATAATCGGAACAGTGCTTCACAAAACAAGGCAGGATATGGTCTTCTCTTCTTCCCGTCTACCGTCCAGCCTCTCCGCCGCTTATTCCCCTGTCCATCGTCATTTAAGATGAACACAACACAGCCTCAAACCCCAACAACGTAAAACCTCATTTGGTAAAAGGGAAAGCTCAGATCTAATTGACTACCTAAACTAAAGTGTAGATCGCTCTACGGACGTTTTAAAGGCGGGAGAGCAAGACGGGGATTAAATCTAATAAGCAGAATTAGTTTTAGTATCCGCTTGCGCATAGAATTCCAACGGCGTTCGTTCAAATAGCACAGACAATATAGTCTCAGCATGCGCTGTCCGTCCGTTCTACTACTGGGCTACGCAGCGGCCGTAGCTGCCGCGGACCCAAGCGGCGCTACCACCCTCGGCCAGCTCGCGCTACACAAGGTCCTACAGGATAGCCGAGAGGTCTTCGGCGTAGAAAGCGATAATAATTCGTCCCGGCCGTACGCAAACTGGATGTCCAGCGTCCCCGACGCCACGCCCCTCGCGCATCTAAACATCCCAGGCACCCACGACGCCGCGACCTGGAACTACAGCCAGGCGACGCAGGACGCGCTCGCGTACGCCACGCGCTGCGACGGCGGAGCCGGGCCGGCTCCGGCTCAGGTCTACCGGACTCAGCGGTACGGGGCGGCTGCGGCTCTGGATGCCGGGGTGCGGTTTTTCGATCTGAGGTTCGCGTTTGATCCGCTCGATCGGGATCTCGTGTTCTGGCACGGGGCGGCGCTGCTCTCGGCGCGGGCGACGGTGGACGATGTGCTCTTTGCGTTTTACGCGTGGCTGGAGGCGCATCCGGGCGAGGCTGTGCTGTTGAGTTTTCAGTACGAGGGGGGGACGAAGGAGGGGGCGGGGTTTGACGGTGCGGTGAGGGATAGGTTGAGGGGGGTGTTGGGGTCGGATGCGGCGAGGAGGTATATCCGGCAGGATAGCGGAAGGCTAGGGACGGTGGGGGAGAGCCGCGGGAAGATTGTGCTGGTGAGACGGTTTGATATGGGGGGTGATGGTGCGGAGGACGAGGTGTTGCCGGGACTGCATTTGGGTCCGGGACAGTGGTTGGATAATGACCGTAGGGGGTTTGAGTTGGTGTATAATAGGACGAGTAACGAGACGGCGTACGTGGAGGATTACTACGAGCCTTCGGACTTGGGGGCTAATTCGACGGTGGCGGAGAATATCCAGGCGAAGATGGACGCGGTGAAGACGCATCTGGAGAAAGCTGCTGCTGCTGCTGGGGATGCTGCGGATAGCTTGTTCATCACGTTTGCGTCGGGCGAGAACGATGCTAATGTCCCGCACGTGTTCCCGCAGACGATGGCGCTGGGGAACGGGACGGAGGTGACGCCGGATGGAGGCGTGAATCACCAGTTGGTCAAGCTGCTGGGGGAGATGCGCGGGAGTAGGCTGGGTGTTGTGGTTTTGGATTTCTTTGACGAGCCGGCTGAGTTGGTTGGGCTTGTGTTGGGTTTTTAGATGGATATACATAATGAGCTGGGAACCTGGCGGTGTCTTTAGTTGGACGTTGCTTGATCGAATCTACATTGAGGGCTAGCTATATACAGTAGGGAGTTTAAGAAGCTGTCATGGCATGTTCTACTACAGACTTCTAATTACGTAGAATAAGTAGCGTATGAAATAATGTTTATAGGCCATGTCAAGTCGGACAGCAAATCGTGGCACGTCTTTTGGCTCTTTTCCTGTTCTTGTGAAGGTTATATTAGGTGAATGTTCTATGTGTAGCTAAAGGTCGGGTTCCGATATTGTCCTTCATAGTTTCCGCAGGCTATTTTCTGTACCTTAGAACGTTTCTGTGGATGTTTATATATGTAATTGAAGCATCATGGGATGCGCGAAGTAATTAACACGGTAACTATGGATCTTTCCCCGACGATAAACTGCCTGGCAAAGTAAATAGAGTTTATGAGACTCCATCTTAGCATATTCTGAATATGAAGGATACTCTTAATGATCATAAACATTGCTCCTATCTATTTAGAACTCTTACTACGACCAATAACCGATAACTCTTCCTGTAATATGAAGTGTACCATACGCAAAATATGGTGTGCGTTGAGCGATAAAAGATTTCCAGATGGCCTATCTACCACACGTAGAGTAAATCCAATCTCTTGCCAGGCTGCCGTGAGCTTTTCTGGAGCAAAGTTCTATTGAGGCATTAACAACTGGACGGCCCGGATGGCGCTAAGTCCACTTACATGATAATCATTTCCGCCAGCATCCTCAGCGATATAGGAGCGAGATTAACACCCGGTGGAACAAAGCCGAATGTACTCTGTCTCGAATAAATTACCACGATAAGCCAGGCATGTTGCTAGCTAATCTGTGCCTGACATGACAAGACAGCCCCTGAATTCCCAACGTAACTAGTCAAGCAGCTAGGACCTAGTGAGTAAATGATCCGCCTATTACCGAAAGCGAGGCATAATTATTGTAACAGGAACTGAGTGTAGTATACCGGCGTGGGTAGCTAATCGCTCCTGGCGAAAAGGATACATCCGCGCTCACGGTTGGACGCTAGAAAGTCGAAATTAGTTCCAACAGGGCCGACGTAGATCAGGTACACAAAACAATTCAGAACGAATAGTATCGAAGCCCGAGGACATCATGTAGTATAGAAGCGCGACGATTTGTTGGGAAGTTCTCGATCCCGGCCTAGTCCTGCAGTTTTCGTCCTGGGTCGTGCTGCTCGATCCCTTGCAGTCCACCGGAGCTGACAGGGCTATGAGATGACAGCGTCTGAAGCCTCTATACGCAAAACTACCCGGCTACTGAGAATCGATGCAATTTCTCCCCTAGTATCCACCAGCCCACTCGAGCAGACGTCAACTGTCACCCCGGACTTCGTATTGCTAAGCATATAGTCAGAAACTGCATCGTCATAATCGAGAAATGACGTTGCAAGATCTAGCTCCTGCGCCACCGGCTCGGTCCGTTTAAAGATTGACTTATCTAGGGAGGGTATCAAGCTTTTATATTAAACGTCTCGATGCGTCGCGGTATTTGGAATTCAGCCAGCGAACTTGCTATAGGCCCGGGAGTTATCAGCGGCCCGGTTTCACCGGCTCCGGTCCGCTGGGGCCGGGTAAATTCAGCCCCCTCTGCAAAGCGCCGCTAAACCCGCGGCGTATATGCGAGGTCCTCCCGGCCGTAGACGTAATGATGCCCGTCGTTGCTGAACCTTAGGCGAGACGTCAGGTGTCAAGCATCTGCACTGCTGCTCCCGTATGTATGTATGTCCTGCTTCGAGAATATGTCTATAAATTGGGGCGCCAAGACAAAGCTGTAGGCAGTCGATATTACATACAAGTGACTAGAATAAGATCAAGTTGTGATCTACATTCTCATCCTGTTAGCAGCAGAATTTTCATTTTGCTACTCGAGAAATCCTTTAAACGGCACAAAGTGCTATGTTGGAAGTAGGAAGATGAGCTATGAAGCTATCCTGTAATGTGTTCGAATGGTAGTAGATTTGATGCTCATGAAATCAGCAGGTGAGTTGGATATTCGATTCTAGGGGGCGGATTCCTCGGAGAACGAGTTGAGTGAGAGAAAGTTCCAACCTAGGGGATCGCTCTCATCCTAATGAACATAGCTCGCTATGCTACTTCAGGGGGAAGAAAAGTGGTAAGCGGCAGGGTAGTATTGGATGTGCATTCACTCGTCAGCGTAGTTAAACGACGATAGTCTTAAGATTATCTTCCCCATGCCTATGTGATTACGCGCATTGCTCGAAGCTACCCCGTAATAAGATAACTATACGATGCTATCTTTAACCCTGAATGACCAATATTACCGCAATAATTCCGCCATCAGTTCAATGCTAGAGGAACCGGGGTTATAGCCGAGGATGCTATCAACTATTCATATGATAGAAAGTCATTAGATCTAATATTGTACTAACCTAGAGGTAACTCGTGGGGCCGGCATTAAGGCGTCTGAGGTATACCAGCTGACTGGCCTCAAAGCTGACAGCCTAATCCAGGAAGAGATATTTACCTATGTATGTATTCTAAATCGTGCAGCAATGGTCTAGAAATGGCACGAGATTACATACTCGAATGACTCGTTAGTCTAAGGTTCCTAGAGTTCGTGGCCCAAGTCGATGGATAAGAGCTAACCCTTAACGACAACGCCCTCATAAGACATCAGCCATGGTCAAGACGCTTACAATACATAAATAGTACATAGTAACTACCTACCTACATAGTAGAACAAACAAGTCCCTGCGCAGGTGCGGCCCCAGTCCGCACCTCTAGTTAGCTCCTTGAGGGTAGTTGTTCATATTTCAGGCTTCAGGTTGAGTCATCGTCAGTGACGGTAACACTTTCAAAGATATGCAAGGGGCCATTAGCAAGTGCTTTGTGGGGAATTTAGGAATCAAGATACTAAGTTAGTCCTGGCGTAAATGTAGAAGTTATTTTGGCTTGGCGTCGGGATGGAGGGATGTAATTCGGGGTTATCGGTAATGTTGGTTTTGGGTGAGGCTGCGCCGTGGGAATACGCTTAAAAACCGGACCGGACCCTTCATTTTTCCATAGTTTTTCCATAGTTAAGGTATACCCCGCTGGATTATGTAAGTAAAGTGGGATTTGCACAAAATACTCTCCAACTAGTAATAAGATGAGTAATAAGATTCCAAATGTTCCATTAAATTTCCCTTTCCACAGTCCTTAATACATAACTTTCGAACTTCCTATCACATAAATTCATTTGCCAGATCAGACGCGTATGCACGTGATACAAATGCGATCTCGGCAATCAGGTCATCAATGCATACCCCTTAGCTCACGATTATCGGGCGTTTACCACATACCATAGCGGCAAAATGTGGTTTCGTGGAATGATTGCTAAAATTGAAATGGCTTAATAAAATGTAGAACTTATTACAGATTTAAGGCCTTTAATTGGTTAATAGTTAATAAAAATGGGTTAAAACCTAGAATTATTCCGTAAATATCGGAATAATTTTTAAAAGTAAAATAGTTTTATTATTTTTTTTTTTAATAAAAATTATTAAGTTTTTTTTATTATAAAATTTATAAAAATAAAAATTAATTAAACTTTTATATTAATTTAATAAAATTAATTACTTTATTTTATTAATTTAAACGTTTAAACACCTTATTATAAAATAATATAAACGTAGGAGTTATAAGTTTAAAAATTAATTTTTTTAAATTTTTAGCGTTTTTTTAATTTTTAAACCTATTTTTTTAAATATTCCACATTTTTAAGATTATTTTAACCCTTTTAAAATTATTCCAACCTTTATAAAATTATTATAAATTTTATGGAATTATTATAAGCCTTATGGAATCATTTAATTTAAATTAAAACATTATTATACATGGAATCATTGTAATGGGTTGGAACCATTCCACGAACCTACATTCTGCCGCTATGGTACATACAACATACTGCGTTCACCGTCAATGTTGTGGGATGGAAACTGATCATGCCAAGCATACCGAGCGAACCGAGCGAACCTAGGTAGCTTTCGTAATCACTGCAACTATTGCAACTATGTCCCACCGGGAGTAGCCAAGATCTAAGATCCGGCCGTTTTTGCGTCATCTAAGGCCACTACCTATTCGGCCTGCCCTTGAGATATCTCCAATAGAGATAAATAGGTCCATCTGCCTAACCCTCTCGGGTTGCTTTCTCCCGCCCATTATCTAATGCCAATCCATTGTTAGTTATCTGGTGAGTTATGTAAACATGTGAGAATCATTACCTCAAGGAGTACTCCTTCAAGCGGCGGCACCGCATACCGTGGTCCACCCGGAGTTGCCTCGAACGGCATTGGTCTGTTAAGTCTTAACTCCCTAGGTTAACAGGTTAGGCAGCTTACGATTGGTACCCGTCTAGGTCTCCATTTTAATTTCATGCAAGTGCCGGCTTTCCACCATGCCAGCATGCTTACAAGGATGGATCTTGGCCGTCTTCGCAACGACCATACCCGGGAGGTTAGATTGAACTTCCTTGACCCCCAAGGACCACATTCGAACCTTGGAAAACTTCAACCCATTAATATTCTACCTACAAACAGCCAGGTAGCGGGCCAACGGTGTGTATTTTCCCCGAATTGTAACACACAAACCGCCACTTCGATACCACCATGCATACTTACATAGGTAGTGATATGGCCGTTCAGATAGGAACCCCGTCGAAATATCAATTTGAAGCTACTTAATGATATTACTAAACTACACACCGTATCTCCATCCGTTCCGTATGATTTTCATATATCGATGCAACACAATAGCGTTGCCATCCCGATTCTCAAGCTCTCTGTTAGGTCACACACAGCTTGTCGTTAAGCCAATTGAGCTCATTGATTGGGTTCGGTCGGGTTTGGCCAAGACATGATTGTCTTGGCTCCAGTCTTCATTTTCTTTTTTTAGCTTTGTAAACCGTTGATGGTAGGCGGTAGGTAGGCGGGTTGCATGCATCATCTCTTAAGAACCCCCACACCCGGATCACGTCCATGCAAAATTTCTTGTACCTGACAGCTGTGATTAGGTTTGCAGACGACTGCTTGATACGACGATAATATACCGCTTCTGTTACGACAAGATTCAAATTTGGCAGGTGCCTTTCTGTTACGGATAGGAATTCGATTAGGAGTAAGGAACCAATATCCTTCACCTCGAATTTCGGTCTGTTTAACAGTAGCCTTTACTTCTTACTGCCGATCTTTGTTCGATATTACTATTGGGCGCCTTCGTTTTAGTGGAAACCCTCCAATGAAGTCGAGTGCTATGTCATCATATTCAATAGCGCTCTACATACATATGACCGGTATAAATCTCGCGAGAACGCAAGACATTTCCTTTGTTAAGCACACGGCGCAAACGGCACACATGATGAACAGCCATGACGCCAGCCGAACTTTATCGGCGGGATAAAGCTATCCCATGATATTATCACATCAACGCCAAGTGGCACCGTCTCCAGCCTGTCACGCACGAGATACTGTTGGTCAACCAGCTTACATCCTGTTGCAAGCGCCTATGATTTCCGCCCCTGTGGCACGGTTGAACTTCCCTGGACCTTACACTAGGTACTTACCTTCGGGATTTACGTACCATCGAACTAATCTTTCTGTTCTTGGCATCTACCTCCTTAGGTAGTATAAGGCATACATAGGTACGTATTATATGTACCATTCGACCCTCTCATCTCGTCACACGTCGAAGCATGGGGTCCGGGCATATTAACTATATCCGATTCGACTTTGCCATCATCTTCAACCTTACTAGCAGCAGCTCCCAATTAGCGGTCTTTTTTGTGGAGATTACCCTGGCCCGTAGATACCAGATGGTGGGTGAAAGAAATGGGATACTAGGGTAGAACAAAGGCGTGTAGGTGGGTTAGAATGTTTGTAATGCGTGAAACCTGATTAGAGCCTCAAGCAAACCGGACAAGCGAGGTTGAGTCTGGGCCTCGGTAGGTTACGTAAATTTGATCCTTGTTTCTCTTATTTATTATAAACACCGCGTAGATCCCTCCTCCCTCTACGAAGTTATTTTTGCTTTCCACCTTCAAGCCGTCTCCTTGCCCTTGGCCGAGTTCCATTCAGATATACATTTGAAGGGACTGGGATAATCGAACATAAGACAAGATGGGCCGCGTATCTACTCCCGCCGCCTTGCTAGGGCTTCTCGGACTTGTCTCGGCGGCTGGTTGCCCCTTTGCTGACCCGGCTGCTCTTCGTGGTCGAGCAGAAGCACCTACCGGAGACCCGATACTCGAAGCCACTATTGATGATAGCAGTGGCTTCTTCACCGATGACGTGGGTGGGCAGATTCAGGAGCAAGACAGTCTTAGGGTTGGAGATAGGGGTCCTACCCTGTTAGAAGATTTCATCTTTCGTCAGAAGATCACACATTTCGACCATGAGCGAGTAAGTTACATTGCCTTCCCCTTGTTAAGTCCTTACAAGTATGAGAGCCTGTGATCACCGTCATATAATATATGTATACCTATGTATATACTATGGATTCATACTAACACATCAATAGGTTCCTGAACGAGTTGGTATGTTTTTTTTTTTTTACTGAGTTCATATCTCATATTTAGACTAACCTCGTCAAGTTCACGCAAGAGGTGCTGGAGCTCACGGCACGTTCACAAGTTATGGCGACTGGAGCAACATCACAGCTGCCTCGTTCCTAAGCCAACCCGGAAAAGAAACTCCGGTTTTCGTACGATTCTCAACCGTAGCTGGATCGCGTGGAAGTGCTGACACAGCGCGTGATGTTCACGGCTTTGCGACGAGATTGTAAGACTTGCCACCTTATCATACGTTGAAAGCACACTAATATGATTCATGAAATTCAGCTACACCGATGAGGGTAACTTTGGTATGCAGATCCAACCGCTTAGTTTTACTAATTTTAGACTAATATTTCCAAGACATCGTGGGGAACAACATTCCGGTGTTTTTCATCCAGGATGCTATTAGGTTCCCGGATTTAATCCACTCAGTGAAGCCAAGCCCCGATAATGAGATACCTCAAGCCGCCACAGCTCATGACTCGGCCTGGGATTTCTTTTCTCAGCAGCCGAGTTCGCTCCACACACTATTCTGGGCTATGGCTGGGTTCGGTATCCCGCGCAGCTTCAGACATATGGTCAGTCTTGAATGGATACACCGATTGGATTCCATGCTGACTTACGCAGGATGGCTTTGGTGTTCACGCGTTCCGTCTCGTGACTGATGATGGCCACTCTCAGTTCGTGAAGTGGCACTGGAAGACAAAGCAGGGAAGGGCTAGCTTGTACTGGGAAGAGGCTCAGGTCTTAGCCGGCAAGAATGCAGATGCCCACCGACAAGATCTGTTCGAAGCTATCGCTGCCGGTAATGGTCCCGAGTGGGAGCTTGCCGTCCAGCTAGTCGATGAGGACAAGGCCCTCGCGTTCGGATTCGACTTATTGGATCCTACCAAGATCATCCCTGAAGAATATGCCCCTCTCCAGAAGCTTGGCGTCATGAAGTTGCACACAAACCCAACGAACTACTTCGCGGAGACGGAGCAAATCATGGTAGGTTTTCTGGTCTCATCGAGATCGGTTCCGGAGCTATCACATATTTATTTTTAGTCTGAGTACTAACACAAAACGTAGTTTCAACCTGGGCACATTGTGCGAGGAGTAGACTTCACCGAGGATCCCTTATTGCAAGGCCGCATATTTTCCTACTTGGACACTCAGTTGAACCGACACGGAGGTCCCAACTTTGAGCAGCTTCCTATCAACAGGCCAGTCGTTCCCATCCACAACAACAACCGTGATGGCGCAGCTCAGAACTTCATTCACAAGAACATCCACCCTTGTAAGTTCTCTTCACCCCCTAAATTTGACCGGTTTCTTCAACTAACGTCCGCTGCAAAGACACTCCTAACTCATTGAACGGTGGGTTCCCCCAACAGGCGGACCAGAATAATGGACGCGGATACTTCAATGCACCTTCCCGGAGCGCCAGCGGCAGACTCGTGCGCGGCCTCTCGTCCACATTCGACGACCATTGGTCGCAGCCGCGACTCTTCTACAACTCGCTTCTCCCCGTCGAGCAGCAGTTCCTCATTAACGCCATCCGCTTTGAGACCAGCCACCTGAAATCTGCCGAAGTGAAGCAGAACGTACTCGTACAGCTTAACAGAATAAGCAACGATATCGCAGTCCGTGTTGCCACCGCTCTCGGCCTAGAGGCCCCTGCTCCTGATGACACATTCTACCATGATAACACGACGATGGGCATTAGCATTGTCAACGGCACACTGCCCACTGTTGCCACACTCAAGGTTGGTATCTTGGCTAGCACAACAAGGGCGAACGGCACAAATGCGCTCGACCAGGCTAAGAGCCTAAAACAGCGCCTAAGCAACGATAACCTGACCGTGACCGTTGTAGCCGAGAGCCTGGTTGAGGGCGTTGATAAGACGTACTCGGCTGCCGATGCAACGGACTTTGATGCCGTGGTTGTTACATCCGGCGCTGACGCTGCCGGTCTTTTTACCCTCGGTACTCTAAGCCCACTCTACCCTCCTCTACGTCCTCTTCAAATCGCCAACGCGGCGTACCTATATGGCAAGCCCGTTGCCTACTTCGGCAGCAGCTCGCCGAGTGACTCGCTAGCAGCAGGCGGTCTGGACCCGAATGCGGAGGGCGTCTACGTCGATGCCGACCTCGAGAATGTGGCTACCGGTCTCGTGGACGGTCTTAAGACGTTCAAGTTCACTTCGCGATACCCCGTGGATAGGACCCAATAGTGGTAAAATGGAGAGCTCTGGGTGTTCTTTTTTTTTTTAAAAAAAAAAAAAGAAAAAGAAAAGAAAAAAAGTTTCGTGTGTATGTAATATGCTTTGCTTCGGCTACTGTATATATTTAGTTTAATATTTATGCAAATATCGTTAAACATACTGTGGTTTTGGTTTTTGTTAGTGTTGATGTTTAGGAAGATGTTGGTTTTATTTAATAATAACGTAGCAGCGTTTCTCGTTTGAGGAAAGTAGATATTTAAAGCTCTACCTTTAGCTACCTATTATTCTGGGTTGTGGCTTGCGAATGTGTACAAGGGATGTTCTACTAAAGTTATACCGCCTCGCCATACCTTATTCCTTTTGAACGGACGGTCTAGGAAATATGTATTGGGGTAATGAGTACTAGATTAACTAATTAAAGAAAGTCACGAATAAAAGGGGCTACATGCGTTTTTCCACCGTGTTTAGTTCTACCGGGTTCATATATATGTGGTAACTACCTCAGACGTCTAAGTATATTCTAAAATGCTTCTTATAATAGGTATTTGTCTCGAGTCCAGTGTAACTATATAATTCGACAGTCATTAAAACGTGGTATAACGGTAAAATCCACGAAAAGGGAGTTGTACGCCAATGTCGATTCTCTATGGCACTGTTTGTTTATATTAGACCCTAACCTAGACCTGGAGTCTCCGAGTATCCAACTAACCATACAATACGTGCTATAGTAGGCAACGAATATGCTACCTCGTATTATACAAGATATGTGTTAGGCACTACAACGTTACTATCGATTTTCTGAATGAAAATAGAGGGTTCTTTGGCTCGGTATACCTTGGCAGTGCAGAAAAGCAACGGAGGAGATGCTTAGGTACCTATACAAGCCTTTAGAGTCCCTCATACGCATCGTATCTCGAGCTTAGAGAAGCAGGAAAGAGGTTATGGGATATCTTGGTTGGTAAATCAAGTCGCAGGGAGTGATATATAACGCGACACGCATCTCCCTAGGCATGTGTATAAGTAGCATGAGTTGCTTTCACAGACTTTAGATCTAGATAGTAGTTCCTTACGGTGGCATTAGGTACCTAGCATTCGAAGCAGGGCCAAACCTATGTATATATAAACTCGATGATTTTGTAAAAAGTCGAGATGCAAGCCGTATAGGTAGTTATGACAAATCACGCATTGCATACGGAATTGTCTTTATATAATCATGTAGTTAGTTATATAAAAGGCATTTAAACTAGGTTAGTTGCTCTTTTATAAGCCAACCTACATATATCGACTTAATTTAATACCCAACCCATCCACACACACGTCTTCCCCTAAGGCAAAGCTGCCCAAGCAAATACAACCCCATTCCATTAAGGCCCCCAACAAGGCCGCAGACTCCTAGGTAGCCCTCTCCAAAAAGAAAAAAAAAAGGAGAAAACGAAAAAGAAAAAGCAATGATAGGCCAGCAATACGCCCTCTCCGCAGCATCCTGTACCACGACCCGCCCGACCCAGACTCTCGGGACCCGTCCCCCCTTTTATTTATTTATTTACGCACCTACGTATATACGGATCCACGGTCCATACCTACCACATGACCGCACCCCCATGCCGCCGCCAGAGGACAAAAAGCTCGAACTCATGCACGACATCGTGCGTCGCATGAGGGATATAGTCACGTGCGCCTGACCCGAGTTCTCGGGTCCGCTCGAGGAGCGGAGGGTGGTGTGATAGGCTGGTGGTGAAGCGGAGGTATGGAGGTATATGTACACTATGTAAAGTCGGGCTTCCGGGCTTTTTGGTGAACTCCGGTTATTGTGTTGGTTGGTTGGTTGGTTGGTTGGTAAGTTGGTTAGGACTGGTAGGTATTGCTTCTCCTGCCGGATTAGGGAGACTACATACTACCTACCTAACGTATAGTATAATTATTCTTTTCACTTTACATGTATGTCCACCTAGGTTAGTTAGGTACATACAACTAGCTCTATTCTCGTAGTTCGTCTCTTGTAATACTATGTGCATACGAAGTAAGCTAGGTACCTCTATAACATCCCCCCTCCCTTCCCCTTTTCTTTTTAACCCAAGTCGCTCTCGTGAGGTAGTTAGTTGTAAACGCAGCCCGCATTTCGGGGTTTGAACGAGAGCCAAGTTCGCACAATTTATCTACCTAAGTTATAAAAAGAATTAACGATTATTTACTTAGAGAGACTATCCGCAGAGGGTATGAGGTCTTCATCGGACGTTGGAATCCGGTATGGTACCAGGGATAACAGACCAATTTACTCGATTGTTTGCCATGCTTGAAATCTCTTCCGACAATGGCGTCGAGTACCTGAATTCAGACTTGCTTCTCTTAATGAGCGCCGCTCTTTGCCATATATTAGGTTCGTCTCTCAGCACAGGCCTGTTGCTACTTTCAGTTCTAGATGAAAATCTCTCAACTTAGCATGTTAAGAGTTGTCTGTCACTGGTCCTAAGAGATGCCATATATTCAGCACAATAATAGGATTTGAAGCAAATCTTGTTCTCAATACCCATGGAACTATTAGTTAACTCTACGTAACTAACTAACCCTTAAGTTCGACCGCCGGAAATTTAATGATATATATTAACACGCTGAGCTTATAAAAATGGTATGGATAAGCTTATTCAACTCCTTTATCTAGCTCCCTATTATCCATTTTCTAGGACTCTAGTTGACACATCTTGTGGTGAAATACGCGCTTCTCATTACACACCTAATAGCAGGCTAAAAAAGAAGAGCTCGATACCAATGCAAAGGATGACTCCCCCCCTGATTATTTGGGATGCCTCCCTAATTCATAGCAAATACCGCATTTTTATCAGGGCGAAGCGGGTGTTCCTTACGCCTCCAAGACGAAAACCTGCTCTGATCGAACTATATGAAACTTTTTAGTATGAGATAATATTGCCGAGCAGCCCGTTCCGGCTACTAATCCTCTTCACCCTCAGCATCCTCGTCCTCGTCCTCGTCTTCTGCTTGTTGTGTAGATCGGCTGTTGGCTTCCCGGTGCTCCGCGTCCCCATGTCCGCTCTGCCCGCCCTCTCCTTCTTCACCTTCAGCTTCGTCTTCTCTACCGTACGGGTGATCTCGGTACAGACTCATCCACGCCCTGATGTCGTCGCTGGGGCCCTCGACTACGACGTCCAGTTGGTCCACGTTGCGTTCCTCCATGTTCAAGTCCGCCGGTACGAGTCCTATCGTGCGAGCGATGTTCTTGTTGCGTTGGGGTTTGATAACGCTGCGTTGCATGACCGGGTAATAGAATGCTGCCTTCTGGTCGATCGCCTCATCGTCGTTAAATGCCAGCACCACCTCCTCGTCATACTTGGTTTGATTGTTGAGTTCGAGCTCCTGCGCCGTTTCATACGTTCGTACCCGTGGAAATAGGAAGTTGGGTTTGCCGTTGCTTTTGTGTGTGTAGAGACTGTCATCGTCGTGGTCCGGGTTCTCGATGTCGAACTTTTGCCGGAATCGCTCTGATGCGTCCAAGTTATCGTTGAGGAAGAAATCGTAGTCCATCAAGTTCTGCGGCTTGGGGACGTGCTGTGGATCCCGCTCGTGGGCCTGCATGGCCATCGCGAAAGCGGCCTCTTCAGCTTCGGTTTTACTGATAGGCTTGAGGATTCCGTTGAGGAGACGTTTGTCGTATACACGGGTCGCGGGGAGAGGATTATGGGTGAACTTGAATGTGACGTAGGCACCAGAGTCTGGGAAGGCCTCGAGATCGGGAACTAAGGGGTAGGCGTCAACCAGCTTGAGGTTCCTCTTCGAAGGATGTTTGACCCTGCTCTTATCCTTTAAGTTCGCAGCTGCTATGGCAAAGCCCTGATCTATCTTCTTTTTGATATGGGCTGGATCGTCAACATCTCGCTCGGGAGAGGGTCGCTTCAAGGGGCGCTTAGGAGCTGGGTTGTTGCTACGTAAAGCTCCACCATCGTGGCGCTTAGTGGTGACGGAAGAGATATACTCTGTACGTCGGAGGAATGATACGTTGGCTTCGGCAAGCTTGGGATGACCTAGGCTGCCGGGACCTCTGAGAAGAGCTCGATCGTGGGGATGGATTTGTGGTGGTTGCGTAGGAGCTTGGATAGCTGTATCTAGTCAGTCACGAAATTACTACAGATTTATAATTTTGCATACAGCTTTCGTCGCCATCAAATATGCCTGGCATTCCCACCAGGTCCAATGGCATACCCAGTTCCGCATCGGCCTCGATGTTCAGCGGCTGCTCCCTGGCTAGCCTCGAGGCGAAACCGGGGGCTGTGTATTGGCCGCTTGCGAGGCCAGTATTGGGTATATCAAGAAGCTTGGGTGGATTGGGGGGAGGCGGTAGCGCATTAGAGAATCGGATTCTTGCGATGAAATCTTGGTGGACTGAGCGGTGCTCACCGCTGCGCGACGAGGAAGCCATCCTGATGATGGCTTAAGGAATGGGTAAAACAGGGATTGGAAACAAAGAATCGGCGATGAGAATAAAGTCTTCAATAGTATTCTTTAAAAATCTCAGTGTTTGAAGTTGTGCCTCATAAGATATCTGGATGAGGGACAATCTGGAGGAGTAAGACGTTAAATTGAATATGGTGATCGCAAGTTGAAGTTATCGGTAAGGTTGATGTTCTGCGCGTCGCGATGAGGTGGATGGTGGGTACTTCCCCAAAGTTTATCAGTCGCAAAAAAAAGTTGTCAGCTGTAAGCTGAGAACAACCGCCTGAGCTTTATCGCTATCATTATCGCAAAGCTGCCTTTGCACTGCCCACGCAGCCACGTCCCCAGCACGATAACGTGATAACCGATAGAATACCTACCCAAGGTAAACAGGTACCTAGGTAATGGACTAAGCACCACAACTTTATAAATATTCTTTAATGCCACTCATGCCCTACTCGAATTTTAAGGCTGATTATTATTGTTCTTCAGTACAATGTCTAATGATGATGATGATGATCCGGAAGAGTCAAACCTGCGCCTGGTCCGCTTCCATGCTATCCTCATTCCTCGTTCTACCCCCCAAGGTCAACCAGCATCAATTCGGATGCTCACAACATTACTCCGTACCTCAGAACCCCAGCTCCTGTGTACCTCAATACAAAAAGCCTGTAACGTAATTTGTACAAGTCAATCCCTAGCATACACCACCTTAATAAAGGTAGACTTCAAAATATACCGAAATTGTCTACACTTGTAGTCTAGACCCTTTCAGTAGCCTTTCCCAGCGTTGCCCTGATTAACCCCGGCGTGATCAAATCATACTCGTAAACATATACTTATGAAGTACTGCTTTTACCATACTTCGCCTTGCCGAATGAGAATGGGACATATCGGTACTTAATCATATGCTGGATTTGCTTGCGCACTGAAGACGAAGTTAGCAACTCTAATTCATCCCCATATGAATAACAATAACTATTATAACTTACTGGTCAAGACGAAGAGAATGATCCAATACATAACTAACACAGGCCAGAAGACGGGAACGTCGAAGATCTCGAACCAACTGCACGTGAAGGCGATGGTGATAGCGCGGGTGGCCTCGTGCCAGAACTTAAACTCGGGTAGTCGTCGAATAAATGGTCGGAATTCCTCGTCCTGCTTCGTGGGCAGGCCACCAGCTGATCCATCTTCCATCTCATTGTCTAAAAGCTCGTTCGAAGGGTCGAACTTGGGCTGGAGGAAAGCCAGGAAGAGATTAAGAAGGTAAATCCCCAGAGCATACGCCACTGGACATAGTTAGCTATTGTCTGGGTGCTTATCACTATAGAAAGGCTTCCTTACCAATGTACCAGCCTTGTGCGAAGACGATGCGAAGAAAGAAGATGCCCAGAAATACACCTGTGCCAATCCATCGTTGCAAGACAAATGGTGTTGATCGATCTAATAGGACTTGATATTGCTGTGCACTGTTAGAAAGGCTCCCACTGGTTTATGGCTACCGGCGCAAAGACGTACTCGCTGGATCTTGGAAGTCTGGGCCGTAACGGCTGCGAAAGGGGTCTGATCGGACTCGACAGTCTCCATGGTGGATGATGCAATAATGCAACTATTATTTTCTCCGAACGAGAATAATTTGGATTAGGTCTGGCTTGCGTTGAATATCCCGTAAAATATTTGTAACAGGCCGAGTGCGATCGTGAAGAGAAATTGGTGACGCCGGAATGAGTAAAGAAGGTTCAATTGTCTTAGTAGCAATTTGCACGTCGCGACTTTTCGCTGGCTTGCGACGCCAGGGGATCCAACAAATCTGGCCAGCTAATTAAAACTTGACTAGCCACATGCACAGCCACCAAACTATAATTGGGTCTGTTTTAATTGGTGCCTGGGCGACTTAGAAGCTGCTGGGTTATGGGTGATGCAATGATGCACGGGCGGGCCTTTAATTTCCCCTTTAGCTGCACATAACTTGATACAAGACCTCGGGATATTCCAGTACTTTGTAGCGGGGGTTTGCTTATTCATCTATGGCTCAAATATCCTCGGCCAGCTTCGGCTTCATGAGCTCATACGTAAGGGAAACTGTACATTATTGTTTAAGCTTGAGCTTCACATAAACTCAATATTATCTTATCTTATTTGAGACATGAATGACCTCTTATTCAATACATTTCGAATTACACGCATTACAAATTAATCAATTGTCCACTCACGCTCTTCCATTGGTCCTGTGCAATCCCATTGAAAAGCTGTAACCCAAGAGTACCTGTTACGATTCATCAACTTCCGAACCATGAACACATTACGGACCTTGAGGCCACTAGCCTCACGCATCCAACCTTACACACTCCCTAGAACAGTCCGCCAGTTCTCTGCTACGGCAACTAGGTCTTATGAATATTTATTGGTATCAGAACCTAAGCCGGGTGTTGGCCAAGGTGAGAAGATGACATTTTCCTCTATGGCTATTGATTAACTTGGAGACCTCAACCAGTCACTCTAAATAGACCTAAGGCTCTCAATGCCTTATCTACGCCCCTCATCAACGAGCTCAATCAGGCCTTGGGCGAGCTCAACTCGTCGGACAGTATCTCAGCTATCATTCTGACAGGGTCTGAAAAGGCCTTCGCTGCCGGCGCGGATATCAAAGAGATGGCGCCCCTTACCTTCTCCGAGGCGTACACCAAGAGCTTCATCGAATCATGGTCCCAACTCACAACTCAAGTGAAGAAGCCCATAATTGCAGCCGTGTCCGGGCACGCCCTTGGCGGCGGTTGCGAGCTCGCTATGATGTGCGACATCCTATACTGCACCGAAACAGCCAACTTCGGGCAGCCTGAGATCAAGTTAGGTACCATCCCAGGCGCGGGCGGTAGCCAACGACTGACACGAGCCATCGGCAAGTCACGCGCCATGGAGGCAATCCTAACAGGCAAATCGATATCGGGAGTCAACGCGGCACAGTGGGGACTCGCTGCTAAGGCTTTCCCCAGCTACGAAGCGCTGATGGAGGGCGCATTGAAGACAGCCGAGACCATCGCGAGTTATTCCAAGGTAGCGGTTATCGCAGCCAAGGAGGCAGTGAACAAGAGCCAGGACCTACCGCTGCGGGACGGCGTGGAGTACGAGAGGCGCGTGTTCCACTCGCTCTTTGGCAGTCAGGACCAGAAGATTGGCATGAAGGCTTTTACGGAGAAGACGAAGCCGGAATGGAAGCATGAATAGTAAAAGTAAACCCATATTGTACGGTACGGTGCGATGGCATGACATAACGTATAAAGTATTTAATTTTCGTCACGTTTCAGGTTGAGAGATGTGAAATTTATCGATGATGTTGCTTGCTCTTAGAATCTAAGATTCCGAATTATATAAATCCTACTTCGTATATCCCTTGAAATAAATCTGGGTTTTCCTAATCAAGCAAATGAATTGAATACAATAAGTCATAATGCACGTATTTCAATATACACAACATACGCAGACGTTCGTATTAATATATTGTATACAAAGTACCTGTGTAAGAAGACATGTTTATGCGGGTCGAGACCATTTACGGAACGGCCACGGCTACGGCTATGGTCAGATGGCGAGGTCGATACATAGGTTTAGGTTGTCGGATAGGGCTGACCGGGGATTTAGATTTAAGCCTCATTAGCGTGGCCGTATATATATAGTTAAACCTTAATATAATAAATTAAATTTTTTAATGTTTTAAATTCGTTATAATAAAAATTCGTTATAAAATAAATAACTTTATTTTAAATAAAAATTAAATATATATATATTAATTTTATTAATAAATTTTATTTATTTTATTATATAAAATATATATTAACTGTCGTTTATTTATTATTTAAAGTTTTATTTTTTTACTTTTTAAATTTAATCGCTTTTTTTTTAAAAAAAATTTAATTAAATTTAAATCGATTTAATAATATTATTTATATTATTTTAATAATAATTAATATAAAAATAAAACTTTAATTAATAAAATTTTTTTAATTTTAATAAATTTAAAACTTTTATTAATTTTATTATCGTTTTTTATATTTTAAATAATATAAATTAATATTAATTTAATTAATAATTTATTATTTAATAAAATAAATTTAATTATTTTATCGTTTAATTTAATAAAATTAAATATTTATATAATTATTTATATAATTTTTACTTTTTTAAATTATTAAATTTAAATTTATATAATTTTTTTAATTTATACTTTTTTATAATTTTTATTATTTTAATTTAAAAGTATTTTTATAAATTTTAAATTTTATTAAAAACCGTTAATTTTATAAAATAATTTTTAATTATTTAAAACGTTATTTATTATTATAATTTAATAATTTATTTATATATTTTTAATAATAAAATTTTATTTATATAATTAATATTATTTAACGTTATATTAATTATATAATTAAATTATAATTTACGGTAAAAAAATTTTTAATTTTAAATAATCTTTTAATTTAATAATTAATAAATAAATATAATATTTATTATTTTAAATAACTTTAAATTAAGGTTCGATATTTAATTTAAAAAAATATACTTTTTATAATTACACCACTTTTTAATTAATTATAACCCGTAAAACCCCTTTTTTAAAATATCTTACCTTTAATTTAAAGTTATTTTAAACACATGTTTTTTAAAAAATTAACTTATAAAAAATAACATTAACATCATTTAATTAATAAAATCATTAAAAAAATAATAACGTTAACGCGTTTATAATAAATATTAATTAATTATATAATCGTATTAACTTTATTATTAAGTTTATCGATTAAATCCACGTATTTTAAATCTTTTAAAATATTAAAAATGGTTATAACAGTTACAACGGTAACTATAATAACGGTCGCAATCTTAATCATAACACCGGTCGTAACACATTAACCATAACACGTAATAAAATCGTACGGATATAAAAAAAAAACGGAAAAATTCAAGTAATAATATCATTGCTTTTAAATATAAAAAAAACTATTTTACACGTAATTATAAATATTATTATAAATATTATTATAAATATTAAAAATAACCGTAATACCGGTTACACCATTAATCGTAATAATAACCGTAATATATAACGCGTAATAAAGTTATATAAATATAAAAAAAGTAAAAAAGTTTAAATAATAACATTATTACTTTTAAATATAAAATATATTATTTTATATATATTATTAATTATATTATTAATTATATTATTAATTATAATAATGGTAATAATATTATTTATTATAAAGTAATTTTAACATTTAAAGTTATAATATAATAACGTAACGTCGTATAAATATATAAAAAATTTAAATAAATAAATATAATATATTATTAATTTTAAATTATTTAAATTAAAATTATTTTATACGTTATAATATTATATTAAATCATTTAAATATAATATTTAATTATCTTTTATTAAAATTTCACCGTAACGTAAATTCGGACTTAAAACAACTTTAAACCATAATTTATTAAAAAGTTTACTCGTAACTTATAAATATAAATATATAAGTTATACGTTTTATAACTTAAATAAATATAACCCCCGCGTTTTAACGAATTATAATTTAACGTATATTAAAATAAAATATTTATAAATAAAAATTTAATTTTTATATATTATAATTTAATCGATTATATAATTTTTTATAAAATTATTTTATAAACATTAAAATTATTAATTAATAATAAAATTTAATAACCGATTATTTAATTATTAAATTAAAATAAAAAATCTTTAAATATAAATTTAATAATTTAAATTTTTTTATTAAATTTATAATAAATAAATAAATTATTTAAAAAACGTTAATTTAAATTAAAATATTATACATTTTTAACTTTATTAATAAATTAAAAAATAAATTTATAAATACTTATATTATTATAAATATATAATATTATAATTTAAACTTTATTTTTTTTAATATTTATTTAATAAATTATAATTAATATACGATTAAAAACCATTTTTTAAAATAAAACCGTTTCGTTAATATTATATATATTATTAATTACATATAAATTAATAATATTTCGTATTTTAATTATATAAAATTTAATAAATAATTTATTTATTAATTTATTTTTATTATATTTTATATATTTTTATATATTATATCGTTTTTTAAAAATAATTAATTAATTATTTAATTAATAAAAATTTATATAATTTACGTAAAAAATAATGGTTAAAAATCGATTAAATAATTTATAAATAATAACTTTAAATATATCATTAATAATTATAATTTATTAAATTTATAATTATTATTATTATTTAAAAAAAACGTTTTTAAAATTTAAAAAATTTAATTTAATAATTTATTTAATATTTTTTTTATTTTTAAAATAAAAACGATTTAAATAAATATATTTAATTAAAAAAATTTTATAAATAATAAATAATAAAAAATAATAATAATATTTACGTTTAATTTAAATATAATATTTTTATTATTTTTATTTAAAATATTATATTTTAATTTTATAAATTATTTTACATTATTTTTTATTAATAATAAAACGCCGTTATACATTTATTAATATTATTATAAAAATTAAAAAATTTATTATTTATTAATTTATTTAATAAATTAATTAAATTATAATTATAAAATATAATTAAATAACACGTTAATATTATAATTTTAAAAATTAATATTTTAATAATTAAAAATTAAAAATTAAATATATTATAATTAAAATTTAATTAAAACATTAAAATTTATAAAAATCGTATAAATTTTAAATTTTATTTTTTTTAAATAAAATTAATTTAATTAATAAAAACCGTAAAATACACCGTTTTTTTTATAATTTTATAAATTTCTTTTATTTTATATAATAAATTACGTAATAATAAATTAAAAAATTTAACAAATTTATTATATAAAAAAATTCGTTATTTTATATATAAATTTTAAAAATTTTTAAAAAAAATTCGCTAAAGCGAGGATTTATTATATTATAAATTTATTATAAACAAGTTTAACTGTATATTTATATAAGTATGTATAAGCATTTAGTTATGCGCGGAAAACGGGTTGAAAAACGGAGTGCATAAGTCAAGTCGCTGTGAATAGTTTTAAGTATTATGTAGCTCAAGAGTTGTCATTTCAAAAGCGCACCTTGAAAGTCTATACAATACCTAAACTACCTACCCACTCTGAAGTTCGCTAATGCTATGTAAGCCTTTCTCTCTCGGGCACTTTTCTTAATAGATTGAGCCTTATATAAGCCGGCCAGTATAAGGATAAGTGTTTAATCTTGTCATCTACTGCGGTAGAACTTGCATGCAGATAAGATCGGTTAGTATAAACACGAGAAGCTGACAAGCGAGATTATTTATAAGATACTCCGACTTAGACTTTAGAAATAATCAAACCCTTAGAGGAGATATAAGTTGAAACTGCAAGTGCGCTAGCCGCTGTTGCAAATACCAGTTCTCGTATATAGCATGTTTTTTTATCACTATATCATAAGACTCAGGTAATATTGTTATAATATATAATTATAAAGGGTGAATATAATAGTTAAGATATTCATGATAGTCCATATATATATTCTTAGCATACTCTCGCATTTAAAAGTAAGCATAAACCATAGACTCGCAAAGACTAATAATAGTTACTCGTTCTATAAGAGACGTAGATATTGGATAATATGACGGTTGTTATAGAATTGATTGACTTATCAATTTTAGGCTATAACGTCAAGCTCAAGTAATAACGAAGTTTCTAAAGGATCATGTGTGATGTTTTAGATTTGCGGCTTGTGATCAGTTATGTCATTGGGCTAACTGTATTATGCCTTTGAGGCGCCACAAGAAACTTTAGGTTGGTTGATACGGAGAATAAACGTGGTATAAATGAATTTAATACAGTCTAACTTGGTCTACGCACGTTGCATTAAATCGAATAGCGCAACCAACAATTACCTAATGTACCTACCTCTGATGATCTACAATGTACCTAATATCTTCCCCCATCTTTCAATCTTCAACTCCATTTCTTCACCGCCGACTTAGTGGCTTAGACAATCGCATATGTAGATGAACAAAAGCTGACTATGGCCCTGACATAAGTCCAAACATTTCTCTTCAGTAATAGTTCTTTTCCAAGGTTACTGAGCGGTCAGATGCATCGGATGCGCAGCTACTAGCATCATGCAGTTCGATTCTAATGGTGGCGCGGGACTCGATACGAAGTACTTGGACTCGGCGGGACAGGGACATTTTAAGTTGTCCCCACCACCATTAACTCTCACGTTAACCACCCTCGTATAAAAAATAAAAACTTGGGACTTTCAATATCACCTAGTAATAAATTGACAAAAGGCGCGATGACCTCTTCAAGGCCTGGTGTCGATTTGGAAAAGGAGTTGACCTGTTCGGTAAGTTTGTATCTTATCTTAAGTGGTGGAAGATGGAAGATGGAATTCAAGGGATACTAAACGGTTACCAGATCTGTACGGACATCCTCTACCAGCCCTTGACCCTCCTCGACTGCCTGCACACCTTTTGCGGCTCCTGTCTAAAGGACTGGTTTTCATGGCAAAAGACAGTAGCAGAAAATTCACCAAATCCTGCATCGCCCGGTTCCCTAAAATTTACCTGCCCGTCTTGTCGCGCTCAAGTTCGGGACACCCGTCACAATGCCACCGTTACCACTTTGCTCGACATGTTTCTAACCGCGAATCCGGACAAAGCTAAGCCGGACGACGAGAAAGAGGAAATGCGCAAGAAATACAAGCCCGGAGATAATGTCTTACCGCGGATCCAAATACCCCAGAGATCACTCGAGGAGAGACGGATGGAGGAGATGGAAAGGCGGATGCTGGAGCACGCACGTCAGATGAGCTTGCATGATGCAGGTGTCGAATCCGCGGAGGGATCTAGAACGAGGCGGCATCATGGCCATAGCCGGTCCGAAGATGGGAGGAGCAGATCCGAATGGGACAACAGTCGTGAGACACGACATCGGGATGCGCGTGATAGACCCCTACGAGAGGAGGGACACAGGCGTCGACATGACTCGAATGGCATGTTACAACCTGATTTACCTCCGGATGAACGGCGCCGCTATCGTAGTGAATCACAGCATCGCTCTCGTGATTCATCTAGGACTAGGAGGAGACAAGTTGAGCACCAAGCGTCGATAAGATCCCTGATTAGTTCGTCCGATGTGGACTTCCGTGACATAGAGAGAGAAATAGAAGAGTTTGCGCGACAAATTCAGGAAGAAGGTCTCTTAGATGGATTAGATTTAGATAACATCGACCTGGCCCAGAATGACGAACTAAGCCGAAAGATCACCGAAGCGTACCGACGGAGGCAGAGGGATCGAATTCGTACCCAACAACCTAGGAGAAGCGACCCAGTCATAACGTCTCTTAGACCCGAGCCTCTGCAATCTTCTTTGCGGCCTCCTCCGACAGACACATCTCGACCTAGCAGCCGGCCAAGATCAAGGTCGGCGCATAGTAGACCGGCTACGAGCCAAGGCCAAGTAGACGATCGCAGCCGACCCCCTGTTACGTCAACTCATCTAGAGGTTCGTGCTGATCCGGAAAGGCGGCGGCGGAGGAGGACCTCCAGCGACGCCAGAAGCGCAACCGATCCCGTGAGGCCAAGAACGGCAGAGACAAGGCCAGCAGCAAGATCACAGACAGATCTAACTTTAAGACCGCAGAGTACCGACCCATCGTCACGCCGTCCTTCTATCACCGAATCGAGGAGCTCTAGTATGCCTACTACAAATGCGGTCGGACAGCCGCAGCCGGAAGAAGGCTCTAGACCCAGAGATCTCTCTTTTAGCGCACGAACATCTGCTACTCAGATCCCACGGACGCCCTCACCGGAACCTCATTCTGATGATTCTAGCATGGAACACCCAAAACGTGCACGACGGCCTTCAAGTCTCGTAGCTCCTCAATCACCATTACCTAGCCTTGGACTTATATCATCGCCCTCACATCAAACGCATCACCAACGGACGAGATCCCAATTTTACCAAGAGCCATCAATCACGTGTGCCCGATGCGAACGACCGCATATCGAATATGAACTTCATTATAACTGTTCAAAGTGCGCCAACGGGACGTGGAATATCTGCTTGAGTTGTTATCGTTCTGGGAAAGGGTGTGAGCATTGGTTTGGTTTCGGATATGCGGCATTTAAGAATTGGCAAAGAGTTGTAGCAGACGGAAACGAGGGGCTGGAGCCGCCGCACATGTTGACCTCATGTCGATATAAGCAACCCAAGTATACGCCAGGCGGAGCGGATGGGCGAAGGACGCTTACTACGGATGACCCGGCTAATCGCTTAGAAAGCGGCATGTTCTGCGTAAGATGCCTATCCCTGGCTAACGAGTGCTTCTGGCGCTGCGAATCTTGTAACGAAGGCGACTGGGGCTTCTGTAACAACTGCGTGAATACGGGCAAGAGTTGCACGCACCCTCTTCTTCCGCTGGCCTATGTCGCACCAGGGACAGGCTCTGCTACTCCCCCGGTTAGTCCTCGGCTACCTAAACGTCCACGAGGTGCGACGCTCTCATCGGGCCCCAACGCCGTTAGCCTTGGAAGTTTCAAGTCGCTTACTTTTACGACGACGTGTGAGATTTGCCACGGGCGTATCCCACCTGCAGACCAGAGATATCATTGTTTTGAGTGTACTAGCAAGGATTTAACGGATGGGCAACCGGGCGACTACGATATATGCGAGGAATGTTACACCGGCCTGGTCCACGACAAACGCATATCGGACGAGAACGGTCATACCGGATGGAGACGCTGTTTAGAAGGCCACAGGATGGCCATTATTGGATTCTTGGAAGGCTCACTTGGGCTAAGGCGTTGCATATTGCAAGATATCGTTGGTGGAAGGATTTTACGCAAGGAGCCGTACGAGGGAACCGGCGTCCCGGATGACGAGCAACACCAACCGAGAGGCGCGCGAATGCAAAGTTGGAGTTGGAAAGACTCGAACGGATCAAAGCTCGAGAGGCTTGTAGCTATCGACGTGGCGACGACAGCACCTTCATTGGGCACGGAGTTGTTCCCTCCCTCCGGAGGTGCAGGCTCAAGGGCAGTTGCGAAGTGGTCTTGGTACCCGCAGGCCGGCGTTACAGATGAGCTATTATTCCCCAAAGGAGCGGAAGTGAGAGAGGTAGAAGACGTGAACGGTGAATGGCTATTCGGGAGCTATATGGGCGCCGAAGGATTGTTTCCCTCGCCATACGTACGGATTATCGAGTAGCGATGGCCATGACAGTTACGATAACGATGTTGGTGTTGCATTTTGGACGGGCAAGTTATTTGCATTTATCTACATAATATGCATGGACATATACCATAGGGCGGGATACCTTGATACGTGATATCATTATGATCGGTCATGATGGACCGAAGTATAATACGGTCTTAACTAGCTAGTTGGCGTTCGTGAATATAATGAAAGAACAATTCAAATTAATAAACTTGTATTTTAATATCTTAAAGTTCTTCTGACTAGCCGTTGTGAACTACAATTTTTTTTATGTTATTGTATAGTTTAGTTAGGGGTTAAGGGGTAACTGATACGTACCGGAGGTACCTTACTTCTATAGACAGTGAACATGGGCTAAGGGAAGGTCCCGACAGCGGGAGCCGGGATGACGTGATTAAGAGCCGGCTAGCTGGGAACCCGAACCGTTGCAATTGCCACCCTCCAAAATAATTTCTAGGACTGCAGGGTCCTTCGAATTGGAGCTTTCGATCATTATTAATCTTTTAACCTTTTAACCTACCTTATTTCCAACTCTTCGCCGCTGATTCTCACATGCATCTTATCCTTTAGCGACAAAAGGGGATAATATAATATAAGGGTAGTAACATACCTAAATTCAATACAATGTTCCGGCATGGCGTGCGAACGATAACGACCACGGCGCGTAGAGCCGCGGCCGTCGCACCGGCTGCCGCGAAGCCTCCGAGTCCTCACACAATCGCCGTCTCGAAGGCACAAGGTATCGCAAAGGGATTAACTGGTGGTACGGATTTCTCTCTTCTTCTTCCCGTCTAGCCGCGCAAGCAAGCAAACCACGGGATGGTGCATATGCATATGTAAAAATGTAAAATATTTGTAAAATGTAAATCACAAGGCTAACGGAACCCCGTTTTCTTCTCCCGCGCAGCAATCGGTAACACGCCGCTCATCCGCATGAACAAACTCTCGGACCAGACGGGCTGCGAAGTCCTCGGCAAAGCCGAATTCATGAACCCCGGGGGCTCGGTCAAGGACCGCGCGGCGCTGTACGTGGTCCTGGACGCGGAGGAGCGCGGGCTGCTGAAGCCGGGGGGCACGGTGGTCGAGGGCACGGCGGGCAACACGGGCATCGGCCTGGCGCACGTGTGCCGCTCCCGCGGCTACAAGCTCGTCATCTACATGCCCAACACCCAGTCCCAGGGCAAGATCGACCTGCTCCGCCTCCTCGGCGCAGAGGTCTACCCCGTCCCCGCCGTCGCCTTCGACAACCCCGCCAACTACAACCACCAGGCCCGCCGCCACGCCGAGAGCTTAGATAACGCCGTCTGGACCAACCAGTTCGACAACACGGCCAACCGCCGCGCGCACATCGAGACTACGGGCCCCGAGATCTGGGCGCAGACGCACGGCAAGGTCGACGCGTTCACCTGCGCCACGGGCACGGGCGGCACCCTCGCCGGCATCACGCGCTACCTGAAGGACGTCTCGGGCGGCCGCGTGAAGGCGTACCTAGCAGACCCGCCGGGCAGCGTGCTGCACTCGTACATCCAGTCGGGCGGCAAGCTCGTCGAGCGCACGGGCAGCAGCATCACGGAGGGCATCGGGCAAGGGCGGGTGACGGACAACCTGGCGCCGGACGTGGCGCTGCTAGACGGCAGCGTGCACATCTCGGACGAGAAGAGCGTCGCGATGGTGTACAGCGCGCTGGACGACGAGGGCCTGTACCTGGGCGCCAGCAGCGCGCTGAACGTGGTCGCCGCCAAGGAGGTCGCCGAGCTGCTGGGCCCGGGACACACCGTCGTCACGATGCTGTGCGACGGCGCGTACCGGTATGCCGACCGCTTGTTTTCGCGGAAGTGGCTTGAGAGCAAGGGGCTGCTGGGCGCGATACCGAAGGGTTTGGAGAAGTATATCGTGCTGCCGTAGGTTTAACTAGGTACCTACCTAAGGTGCCTGCCTTGGTAATCTAGATAGATGTACCTACGCGGCTAGAAAGGGGTTGGAGGGGAGGAAAAGAGTACCTAGAGGAAGGAAGGAAAAAGAAAAAAGACTACGTATAGGGGAAGAGGCGTTTAAAGGTGAATGTATACATGCATATAACTAAGCGAGATGTTTGGTCGAAGAGAGGCACGCTTCTTGTTGGTAAATATCGATCAGTTTGTTTGTATATATGTACAAGTACAATTGCGGTGGCAGCGGCGGCGGCGGTATTATACACATCATTTGATCGGATCTGATCTGATATGATCAGATCTGAATCTATCATGACTCCTGTACAAGGCCAGTAATTTTTTGTATTTTTTTCTCCCTTCTTTTATTCCTTTTCATGCATCATTACCATATAGTTTCTGATACACCGCCTCCCCCCTCTTCTCGCCCGCCTCCTCCACCTCCTCGCCCGCCTCCCGCATCTTCTCCCTCGCCTGCCTCATCCTCTCGCTCACCTTCGCGCGCGCTTTTTGAACCTCAGCAGCGAGAACATCCCGACGGGATCGGAGCTGCGCCGCGAGCTCCGCGTTGTCGGCCTCGAGGACCTCGACGGCTATGTCGAGACCCCGTAGCAGAGGCGCGGTTATGGCGAGGAACTTGTTGGGATTCTTTAGGTACCCCATCTTCTCGTATTTTTCGTATAGCGCCTGCGGCTGCACTTCGCGGAGCTTCTTGCCTTCGGGCCATAACCTAACTACGTCCCGCGCGTGCTTGACCAGCTTGTCGACTACGGCTTCGCTGACCTCGTCGCCTTGCTTCGACACCAGCGCCGCAGCGATATGCAGCGGCGCAAGGAGGACCATGGGGTCCCTGTGCAGCGGCAGTTCTCCCTCGACCACCGGGTCGGTCTTCAGACGCTTCGGCTGATGCTCCTCCAGCTGCAGCAGCTCCAGGACTATCTCGGCCCATCGTAGAGCCTTGGCCGTCTCTTCCACCGGATCCCTAACCTTCGTTATTTCCACCAGATCCCCGTTCTCGTCGGTAAAGTTTACCGTTTCTACTACCGGATCCCCGTTCGCGTCGACAGCCTTCATCACGACGAAGTGCATGACCTCGTTGACCTTCTCGCTCGAGTCGAGGCGGAACCCCGTCCGCGCCACCCCGCGCGCCAGCTCGATGACTTCGAAGATGCGCCCCTTGGTGCCGAGTACGCGCGTGAGTTTGCAGTAGAAGCCCGGGTCGAAGCGGCGGCGCGCGTAGGCGACGCCCTCGATCAGAGGGCGCAGGTTGGCGAAGTCCTCGGGGGCCTCGAAGAGCGCGATGGCGTCGAGGACGGAGCGCCGCGTCTGGGGGACGTCTTTGAAGGGGTTCTGGTATCGGAACTTCAGAACCTCGCCGTCGATCTCGATGATGATGGGGTCCGATTGGAGTCTCTTCTCCCATTTCGGCGAGAAGATCTTCTTGCGCTGCTCCGTCGGTAGGTACGCGGGGAGGATGATCTTGTGCCGGATCGTGCCGAGGAGTTCGTCGAGCTCGGAGGACGAGGTTGGTGTGAAGTGTGCGATGCCCGCTGGGATGGGGGGTTAGAAATATTTGGTATCTTAAGTATCTCGTATGGAAGGGGAATGGAATATACCATTTCGTCGGGTGGAAGACGAGAAGGTCCGCCGTGTAGATGCGGTTATCCTCCTCGTAGCAGATTCCCAAGCGGCATTGCTCGCGCACAATGCGCTCAGCGCCGAATATCTCGACATAACTCCAGCTTTTGTTTAACAGGTAACTACCCTACCTTAGGTACTCGTCAATTATCATCGAAGTCACCCCGCGGTTGAAGTGAAGCTTCGGAGCTTAGATAATTTTATTTAATTTATTTTATTCCAATCGACTTGAAACTAAAATTTCCAATGCCGGCCCCCCGGCAGCTGCTGCTGCGCGCCAAGACCCGACGCCGCAACAATTTTCCTCCACCCGATTATCGATAAGCCCCCCCGTCGGATCTTCCAAGACCCACCCACCACCAACTTTCAAGAGTTGCGTCCTTCCATGCTTCAAGATTTCAACGAGGCCCTTCTCCAATCCGTAAAGGTTGATTCCACGACACAATGATCACCCAATCTGCGCGGCGGCCGCTGAGCAGCTGGAAGGCCGTCCTGCGACGTACCCGCCAGCAGCGGAAACAGCAGATGCCGCAGCTATTCCGCACAATGGCTACCGAAGCCACTCCCACGGCCTCTGCTTCTACACCACCACCTCCCCCTTCTCTGGCCGCCGTGAAACCCACGCTCTGTACGTCCCTCCGTCCTTCTCCCCACTCCGACTATCAACCAAAGCACAACCAATCCAACCAACCAACCAACCAACCAACTAACCAACCAACTAACCAACCTCTCCCTCCTCTAGACCTCCGAAAATCCAACCTCCCCCACAAACCCATCCGCACCGCCTTCGCAGTCTACCCCCGCGTGCCCTCAGCCCGCAAGACGCACCCCGCCCCCCTAGACTCGTACCACGCGCAACAAATCCGCCGCCTCGACCACACCGGCGCGCGCCGCGCCCTCTTCTCCAAGGCGAACCCGGACGCCGCGAAACCAGGCGACGTGCTGCAGGTAACGACGCGGCGCGGCGGCGGCGAGCCCTTCGCGGGCGTGTGCCTGTCGATCCGGCGCGCGGGCGTCGACACCGCCATCCTGCTGCGCAACCACCTGGCCAAGGTGCCCGTCGAGCTCTGGTTCAAGGTCTTCTCCCCCAACATCACCGGCATCGAGATCGTCTGGCGCCGCCCCAAGCGCGCCCGCCGCGCCCGCCTCACATACATGCGCAAGCCCAAGCACGACATGGGCAACGTCGACCATCTGGTCGCCGCCTGGCGCCGCACGAGGAACGTCTTTACGACGAAGGGGAAGGCCAAGGGGAAGAGTGCTAGTGCGCCGGGCGCGAAGCGGTAGGATATATAGGTAGGGAGGGAGGGAGGGAGTTAAGGGGGGGAGAAGCTGTAGAAGTAGATTTATGGCGGAGGATGAATGAGAGCAAGGGGGAATGAATGTAGCAACTCACTTTTCACCCGATATTAGTCTTGAACTACTACTGGAAGGACAGAGCAAGAAAGGTACATGGAATTGAGAGGTGTATTAAAATCTGCGTGTACAAAAACATGCGTAACTATTCGGTAGAGGTGCAACATATAAATATTAAATATTATATATTACATACCTGTCATGGTTCAAAGTCTACATTTCATTTCAATATATTTCAAACTTAGGCACCTATACCTGACCTCTCAAGTGCCTTGCCTCATGATTAAATATAATTAGGACATTTGTTGCGAATCACCTCACTATTTTCGCGCATGGCATTATTTCTGATCTAATATTTATTTATTTATTAAGAGACGACTGTATAATGAAATCACCTCATACAAACGTTCTGATTTCTACACTAGGTTACATCTCTCGGCCGAAATAAGTATGTGAAGGGAAGCCCGATTCCTGCTCATAACAGACAGGAAAAAAAGAAATAAGACAGATGATGCTTTCCCCCTATGATATATCATGGCTCCTACGAAGCCTTCTTGAGAGTTCGTGCAATCCAAACGCCGTGTCTGGGACAAACGCCAACCGAGAGAAATCAATATTGCCTCCTTCTCCATCTAGTATTTAATAACGTTTCTATTCCAGGCCTGAGCCCCCGTCTCTAACGTCATCTGTGCAAATAATTGTCCTGGTCTAGTCTTCTCCGTTAGTTTCCGCATTCGGCCGATACTACAAGAGTAAGGCGAGTATCTAAGTCATCCCGTACTCCCAAGATACCAGTTTACTCTCGTGCCTCGCTGCCACCAAGGATTGCGGAATATCGGCAAGGTTCCAACCTGCTCTATATCGTTATTGCGGATTGGTATCGGCTGAGAAGATGCTCGTATTGGTTCTCCACCCACGGGCCCTTTTGGCACTGGCGACTTTTCCCATCCCGCCGTACCTTTCCTCCCCTAATGATCAAAGGTTGGCTGTGTATCAGCTCTCTTTCTACGTCTCGGAATCGGTTCGTGCGCATCGCCATTTTCGCCCTTCCCTGGGTCCGTGATATGCTTCCTTAATGTCTCCGTCGTGTTAAATCCAACTGAGCTATCCAATCTCCCCGATGAATGATGAGACTGGTAAGTCGGGCCGGGATGTAAGAGACTCGTGAGAAGGTGTCTCTTATCTACGCTGCGGCTACGGCCTCGCTTCGGACTCGAAGGCCGGTGGTGAGAGAGCTGCCCAACCGACATTGCCGAATGACGACGTTGAAGCCTTAATTCAGTTTCTTCGGCCTCCGTACGGTTAAGGTATTCGCTAGGTAGAAGAACGGCCCGGTCAAGTCCGTATGGTAAACCACGATGGCGGCCACGAATCTGCATAGCGATTACGATGAGCTTCCCCAGGATAGTGAACTGCGAGCATAATGAGGCGTTGACACCGGGGTATCCCAAGCTGAGTCCAACAGTGCCGTAAGCGCTCACAATCTCAAAGAGTACAGCAAACATGGAGAAATCTCCAGTCATAAGCTTTGGGCCTTCGGTAATAGTGAGAATAAAAAAGCCGACGAATATGTACCACAGATCGAAAGAGAGTTGGCGACGTAAATGGGTTCCGACATATGATATGTTGCTCTTGCCAGCGATGTCGTCGTCATCATAGCCTTCACTGTAGACTCCAAGAGACTTCTCCTCGTAAACGTTCGTCCTACGAATTGAGATAGCGACGGGGAAGACGGAAATATACATCATGATGAGGTATGACGTTTGGACAGCTGGGTGAAGAGCAGACAGAGTCACACAGGAGAATCCCGCAGTTCTAGTAGCTGTGGCTTGGAACCATCCATCAAGAAAGCGGACATTTAGCGGCAGTCCGGCGACCGCTTCACCGTGTAGCTAATTAAACATTAGTGATGGGCAACGCTGGAGGTCTACCATTAGATACTTACGTCGAGGATGATGAACAGAATCAAGTCTATCCCGTTAAGAGCGACCAGGATAAAGAATAGCCACCAGGTAGCATTTGACGGAAACAAGAGGGTAAAACACCGTCGCGGGTGGTCTAAGAGAAACCTCAGCTCTTCCCAGAGACCAGACCCGCGGGGTACAAAAAGAGAAGCCAGCCAGATCATGAAACGAAGCATGATAGGGAATCCAGTGTTTCCGAGTATAATCAAGAATGACATTATGAGGAGCGGAAATATGGCCGTATTAAATGAGATCATGCTGTCGGGAGTAAGCGTCAAGCCAAGATCCATGAACGCAGAATTCGCCATGAAAAAGCCCCACCATACCCTGTTCTGGCCGGCCTCGTCAACGACCTTGCCGTAGTAGTCGTTGTGGACTATCCACGGAACCAGAGTGACCATGCCGAAGATGGTGTAACCAAAGAAGTAAATGGTGAGGACAAGGGCAAGTGTTTTTAGAGATCGATATTCGATGCCACCTAGCTCCTCTCTCTGCTCTTCGGTGAGTCCCAGGAAGGCAGAATTTCGACCTAGAGTCGGCTGCCAACTCAGATATGGCATAGGATCCTCATCCTTACTCTGAGTTAGGACGGACTTGATACGGTGTAGGGGGTTGCTCCGAGCAGTCGACGCGGTAGTCTCAGTGTGATCTATTTTTTCCCCATCTTTCCTAGGCATCCGGGGTTTCGAAGCACCAGTCGTGTGAGCAGCTGCCTCAACATCCTCTGCTATCTCCTCCGGAAAATCGTGCTCATCCCTGTGTGGCTTTATCGGCTCTTCGATGGTAATTGTTGGTTGGCGATCTGGACGACTTGCAGGGTGAAAGGGCGATGTTGGTCGGCGGGGACCTTCGACGCTTGATTCCCTTCGTCTACGACCCGAAAGACCAGGACCTTCAGGCCCCTCTTCGTCTACTTCTTCCGGTAGCGCACCTCTATCGGCATCACGCGGCCCGGGAATTCGGAGCGCACCCTTATCGATCTTGCGCTGCCTTTCCACGATAGCAATATGTTCCGCATCGGTCCGCTTAGAAGGCAGCGGGATTTCTTCGTCATCCGAATCAATGGCATCACTCCTCTTGACCAGGTCTGAAAATTTAATTTGAGGTGTAGGAAGCCGCTGAAAAGATTGGTCCTGATCTTTGGGATCAGCTTCCTCCTTCATATGATTCCCATTCGCAAACGGCTCATGGTCTGTAGCCCCCTCGATGGTGTAGTTATCTAGTACGATGCCATCATTAGTCATCCGAGATGCCTTGGCGGTATTGTGCATCACAGTGATGTTCCGGCCATTGACGCCCTTCTCTAGATCCACAGGATTGGCTTTCGCTTTTGACCGTGATTTGGACATAGAAACCCGTCGCGTCCGGGCTTCTCTTGCAATATGCTGGAATCTCTTCTCGAACCAATAGAGACGCAAGAAGACAACAGAGGAGTGAATGCTAATTGGATTAGACATCATACTGAGGAAGTAAATCACCAGTTGCTGAAAAGTGTTGAGCAAGTTGGCATCAATAGTATTCAGCCCTGCTTGCGTGTTTGCACCGCTAGCAAAGAAGAGGGCATCAATGTATGCCAATTTACCTTGAGCAGATGCAAAAATCAAGATTGATCCAAGAATAGTCAATCCGATAATCCAGAAATCTGGAGAAGATTAGCTCAATGTTGTGTTATGTTATGTTATCAGACGAATAGAACTTACAATGGACGGTAATAAAGTTGAAGTGCGGATTCCTAGACAAGAAGGACGGGCGAAGCGTTTGGACAAAATCCAAAATACGCTGACGAGATATCCCCATGATGGCTAAGTTGGAGTGTTATACACCTAAAAGTGAGGCCTGCTCTTCGATGCTTAATGCTCGAAGCAACGGGGAAAGCCGATGTTACAAAGCCACCAAGTCGAAGACCTGGCCGGTGAGGTCGTTGATGAGATTGTGGACGCCAAACATAATGGTTATTGCTCGTTCCGATACTATATAATGAGGTCAACTAACGGGATATGCGGAAGGCGTTGAGCAATTATATGGGTCAGACATTGCACGGTCGAGAACGACGTCCATTGAAATAAAACAGCTCGGTGGAAGGTGAGATGAGATGTTTAAAAGAGAGGGAATCAGAAGGTGAAGTACCAAGTCTGAATAAGTACCTAAGGTAGGGACTTGCAACAGCTTGGTACAAACTTCTATACAAAGGGGGCTAAGACAACAACAGAAAGGGAACAATAAAATCAAATCAAATATTCGGTAGTGGATTGATGTGCATTGATGCAAGGGTGAAAACACGTCCAGACGGAATTGAATTTTAAAAGTTTGTAGGGATTAACTGTAGTAACTTAAGGAGAATATTTTGACTTACTTGCTTCAAATTACCTGGCATAGTCTTGAGTAATTGGTCGATTGGTAGGTAAGCGCGCGAAGGGATATTGAGAGGTCGTTCTAGACGAAGTCTTGTTTTAGGTGGTGGTTGTTTGATGTTGAAGTTGTTGGAGATGGCGGAGAATCGAAGAAATCTTATCCACCTTTGGACCTGGGTACTTTTATCGGTATATCGAAAATCTAGTGTATACTAGAAGGTAAGGTAGTGACGGAGGAAAACAAATGAGGTGATGCCTTCCGCTGAATCACGACTCGAATTGTTTAGGTACCTTATGTAACTAAGTGGATCTAGTCGAGAAACGTCAAATCTTGATAACTGGATCTTGGCGCTCAGTCTGACACTATGTATATGTATGTAATATGTATGCTGCTTCCCGTCTTCCCACTTTACTTTTTCTTTTTTTTCTCACGTCTTACTTAGCTGTGAATATAAAGGGGGCTTACATTGGCTGACAATTCGTACTTTACGGGTGAGAGAAGAAGTGCCAAGACCCACAACAGACAGGCTTTAAATTTTTTCTACCAAAAGATTGCTTTCTTATCCCTAGTTAGACTGAAAAAAAGACGGGATATCCTAGTTCTTCATGGTCCGAGATGGATGATGTACATAACATGCATATGTACATGCATGTATTGTTCAATGTGAATGTACACTATACACCTTCATAAGTTTGAATCAAGCACAAACCATCATCTTCTACTATGGTATGATGGGTAAGTAAAACCCCTGTCACAAGTCGCGCGCTAAAGTGTGGCCTGTGTTGCTACTTCTTGACTTATTATAGTTTAACGCATACTTATATATATACAGTAACAAACACAGAAAAATCAACACTTATAGCACTCATAAGTTAAAACGCCAGATTTGAGCTTATTTAGAGATTATTTTGATATACGTTTTATTTATAAAGAAAGTGTAATACGTTGATGTATTCATGATTCCTTTTTTGAATGTTGAATGTATCTTGGGAAGACCCTGGATAAACTAATACTAATTTAGTATGGTGGCCTGCCTAACCTATTCCAGCGGTACCTGACAGTGTCGTTTTACTTATGCCTGATACCATAGTATTCTACATACACTATTCAAGTCAGCAGGGGTTAAAATCTAACCGGCTAACGGAAACACATCTAGCGCAAAAATTAAATATGCAGCACAGCCGGGGTAGAGTAAGGTTGGGGCCGCCGGCAGTGGTGCTACGTAGTCTAAAGTGCAAGCTCTGTCAGTCCTGTTGCTACTGTATGTTGCTATGTCAGCACCCGGCATCTGAATCATATCAATCAATTCGCGATCAATCGTTTGTAGAAAAGTTCCAAAAGGTTCTAGACTCACATCACTCCATTAAGCACTGTAGAATCACATACGTGGATCCTGGAGTACTATGCGACCTCCATCTGCGGAATTTGGAGATGGAGGAAAGATCCGGAAGGTTTTACAGATTACGAGCTGTGTACTTGATATATAGAACAGGGGTCCTATAAATGGCCGACAGCCACATTTCAACATGTGACTGCGTTACTATGGTGCTTAACTGATGATGTCACACCCGCCTACAAACGGTACGATTAATGCCAATGTGGTCAAAGCGCCCATAGGTACAATTCGATTATGTACATGTACTCAAGTACCATACCTACTATGCAAAGGTACAAATAGAAATAAAATGTTTACATACGGTATTATTTATGGTAAAAAAGCAACAATATCAATACAGCCTCGTAGATGCCACCATACCATCATAGGTACCTACCTAAGAGGGTAGGTATGGAGAACGGATGAAGTTGATATTTCGGTTAACCCGTACATCGGCGACGCTGATATTACAAGGAAAATACTGCGACTGTAAATGTAACTCGAGTTAAGCCTCCCCTTATCCCTCAGCAAAAAAATGCGACCCCAATCAAATCCCGTGAAAGTCAGCCCATGTCGTGCAGTGTCCTGAGCAAATTTTAAATAACTCCCGGTGCCACGCAATGTGCGTGTGCTAGGTTGCATTTCATACGTAGCACTGCAGCCATGATCGTGGGATGGATGCATCTGTCCATTGCGCTGGGATCACTAAGCCACACCCGGATAAAGTACCTCTGTATTAAACCGTATCGTCTATGGCGATACGCCTGTAGCATGAATACTACCTGTCAACCAGCGGTGAAAACCATACTTGGGGTAGGTATATTCACATCCCACAGAGTCTCCAAAATACACTGGCGCCATTCCTTTTCTGCGCCCGGGTATTGTACAGTGTATTCACGCATCCTAGCGCTGAGTTTTAAGCCTTTCCTTTTCCCTCGCCATCTTCTTGAAGAAGGCGTTGCTCTTAGCTGGTTTCTTCTTGAGCGCCTTATTCGCGCCCTTTCTCTGTTCGATGTAGGCCATGTCCTTTCCACCGCTAAGATCATCAAGCCCACCAGCCGTACGTCTAACTCGACCTCGCTTTCCCGAACCTGCTATATTAAACATATCATCCGTGGTATCATCCCTGTCTCTATCATCTGGCTTCTCTGTGTCCGTTACTATCTTCGCGAGAAGCTCACGACGCTCTTGGGGCGTACTGAAGACGAGCCCTTCCATCTTCTCCATTCCGGTAAGAGACGTAATGACCTTAAAGGAATATCCTTGATCTACAAGGAAAGCCTGTCTCTTGGTCGAGTAGTACATCTCGGGTGTATCCCGAGAGACTAGCGAATAAAAAAACGCATTAAATCCCTCGTCTGATCTCCGCTTAGCTCGGAGAATCCGGCCTAGTCGCTGTGCTTCCTGACGACGAGAACCGTAGTGCGAGGAAATCTGGATTAAACACGTAGCCTCTGGAAGGTCGAGAGATGTATCGCCAATCTTTGACAGGAAGATGGTTTTGACGAGGGGGTTATGCATGAAATTCTCTAGCACTACCGTCCGTTCATTATTTGATGTAGACCCACAAATGTAAGCTTTTCCGAGGGCTAAAGCGATCTGTTTGAGGGCGTATACATTGTCCGAAAAGACGATAATCTTGTCGCCTCGCCTCTCGTGATAATCAATGAGGAACTGGCAAGCCTGGATCTTTCGTGGGTTCATGACATATAAGTTTTGTTGGAGACTTCGATTTTTCTTCTGTCTGTTGAACTCGTCGAAGAATTCTGCCGTCATCGGGCACCAGACTTCAGCACATTGGACTTTGGCTATGTGGCCTTGTTCTGACAGCTCCATCCAATTCGCCTCGTACAGCTTCGGCCCAATAAGGAAGTTCAAATCTGAAATTTTATCATCTTCCCGGAGTAGCGTAGCAGTTAATCCGAGCTTTGCGTGACTCTTGATCGAATGTGAGACCTTCCGGAAGATATTGGCTGGCACAACGTGAACCTCGTCGAGCAACATCAGACCCCATTCCCGGCCGGTCAGGAAATCCATCATCTTCTGTGAATCGTGAGCCCGCTTCTTCCCCGAGTTTGTCACCATAGGATACGTTGTAACGATAATACCCGTATTCCCGGGGAACCTTTGCTTATGATCCGAGGTGAATAAGGCAATATCATCAGGTCTGATATTAGACCATTTTAAGAATTCGTTCCGCCATTGATTAGCCGACATCGTGCTCGTGCAAAGGACGATGCAGCCCTTCTTGATCGTACAGGCAGCAGTGATTCCGACCAACGTCTTACCTGCGCCACAAGGCAGGACGATGATACCACTTTTTGCTCGGCCGTTGCCAAACATCTTGCTAAGACTCTTCTCCTGATAACTCCGAATTTGTGTAGCTGGTCGTAAGTCGATCTCGAGATTCGCATTTCGATCATCGTTACGGAAATCGTACTCCTCCAACATAGGGTATTGAATCTCCAAAGCACGCTTCTGGACGACTTCGATAGAAGTATCGTAAATCTCGAAGGCATGCACGGCCTCCTGATTATCGTCATCATCGTCTTCTCTTAGAGCATCGTAAGGATCTTGAGCTTGCGCCCCCTCGGTTGTCTCTGGTTGTGCCTTTTCATCCTTTTTAAGTTGTGCTTGTTGTACTCCTGCAGCATTAGAGGTTCCGGGAATCACCAGGCCACCCATAGAAGGTGCGCTAGTAACAGTTTCCGTGCCCTTCACGCGACAAGGTCCGATAACCGCGTCTTTTAGTAGTTTCTGTAGTACTTCCGGGTCCGTGCTTTCCACGAAATATTTCGTATCCTTGATAACTAGCTTCACTTTACCATAACTAGAAGCACAACTGCTAATGAATTTCGTTATTGATTCTGGGACGGGGGTCTTTGAAAATCGTTCTAGGGTATTAATTATATCTCGAGGTTGTAGCCCAACTGATACAGCAGCGTATAGACTGTGACTAGTAAGAGCATACTCGTGTATGAAGGTCGGGCGCGATAAAGGCTCGGCAACGGTGATGAGGAAGTCTTTTGCTTGATCGGCCAAGGGGCTGAAGTTTTCCAGGATGATTCGTCCTCGCTGGGGATCGATCCATATAGGGCGACTCTTAAAATCGGGCTTTAGAGGCAAATATGAGAAATCCCTCTTTCCCCCTCTGAAAAATCGACTCGAAGTCCAATCTTCTTCGTGCACCGTGGTGCCTTGAAAGGTAGCAAGAGAGAAACGATCTACGACCTTTTGTAGCTGTTCCTCATTCTCGGCCGGCTCTTCCGGAGAATCTGAATCATCGTCGCTATCGATGGATCGAGGCGTCGAAGGACCGGGTGTCGAAGTAGTAGAGACCCTTCCCGACTTAGCGGGGCCTGCAACGTCTTAAGAAGTTCAGCATGATGAATTCATGTAGCAAGCGAGGATAGTTGGACATACTTCCTGAAGCCTTTCTCTTCGCTGGCATCTTGACAGCAAATCTGAACTGAACTTGAAAGGTGTGAAACAGTCAAAGAATGATCACTAAGGCTGGCGCGGAAGAGGCAATGTAAAGGTACAATCTAATGCGCTTAACCTCAATCTTACGTAAACAAATATGTATTATGTACCCATAGTCAGCATTTTGAGCCAGTCGGAGAATTTCCAGGATATGCCTGTAGGTAATCCTAGTAAAAATAGATGTACCTAACCATGTGGAGACACCTATGCAGTAACTGATGGAATTAACTACCCACCGCCTTCCACTATTTCTAGACCGCCTTTATTATACAACTTTCTGCCGGTAAAAACTTTTGAATTGACAAACTCTAGAAACTGCCCCATTAAAAGTTAGGTATGGGCTTCAAAATCTCGAATATTGCAAGCGTTTAAGTTAGGTACTTAAGATATATATCGCAACTCGAACTTCGTTCCTCTACCTAACCGTCCCAATAACCTCAATCCATGATACCAAACTACCTACGCATGGAATCTTAGTAAACTTTGATTTATTCATCGCAACGGAGCTATTCGCATGTTCGATAAGCATCCTGATACTACACTTCAAGAAAATGGCGACTCATACTGCTATGGCCCAAGGCAGCGATGCCTCAATGCGAAACTCTTTAGAGCAACGTCTTGGCATCATTCATTTTGTGTCGGAGAAGGAACATAGATGGTATGGTCAACTCCGTACAAGGTAAGAGACAGGTTGATCTGAATCGTCGTTACGACGTCGGTTCGCTTATTCGGTTCAGTTCTAAATTTTTTCAGATACACTGATTTCCAAGTCCATGAGATCAGTAAGAATGGTGAAGTGATTCATCTGCATGACTTTCAGACGAATGCAAGGGAATTGGCAAAACCTGTGAGTCGGCTTTAACCTAGTTATATCGTAACCCTTAACTAAAGCATCTAACGCCAATAGACTCCTAACCAACCAACAGCAAAGCCTCAAGTTGCCAAACCATTACATTCTGAAGAGGGTAAAAACATCACAACTGACACCGTTGTCGCGAACGATACGGCATCTCAGCCATCAGCCGGTTCGGAGCAGCCAAAGGATGGAGGAAGTTCCGCCACTATACCCGTATCCGATCAAACAGTTCTCATAGACCTCCTCGGCCAAAGCACTGCAGAAGGTTTAATTGACTTATACAGCAAGGCAAATGAAAGCACGAAAACACAACCTAAAGTCTCCAAATTTGTGACGATCGCAGCAATAACTGATAAAGCCCAAAGATCCCGAGTTCATTCAGTAAGTCCACTAGATATTTATAATCGAATAAAACTGACTCAAATTAGGAAATTCGTCGCATATTTGGCGGCAAACTTGACACCGCCACGGATTCGGATGGCTCTATTAAGGCAACGGTTGTCACCAGAGGTAACCAGCAGTGGGGCAACCGCTCAAGGAATGATAGATCTAGAAATGATAGATCTAGAAATGAGAGGTCCAGAAACAGCGGCCAGGATGGCAGCCAGGATCAAGACGGCAAGTTCTTGCATTTCACCCTCTACAAGGAGAACCGAGATACGATGGACGCGATCGGTCAAATAGCCCGGTTTCTAAATCTCAAGCCCGCCTTTTTCGGTATCGCCGGCACCAAAGACCGCCGTGCTGTGACTACCCAGCGAGTCAGTATGCGGAGACGAAATCCTCAGTCACTAATTTCTCTTAACAACGACAAGATATATGGCGTGAAACTCGGAGATTTCAAGTTCGAGCAGCATTCTATCCATCTAGGACACCATAGCGGGAATGAGTTTGTGATCGTTCTCAAAAACTGCTACTTTAGTGACACGCAAGACCTGACGTTTGAACAAAAGCTCGAGGTTGCAGATACTACCATAAAGACAGCATTAAAACAAGTCACTCGGAATGGTTTTATTAACTACTACGGCACTCAGCGATTTGGTACACATCAAATCGGAACCCAGGAAATCGGCATGAAGATTCTCAACCGTGATTTCGAAGGCGCCGTACAAGCTCTACTCTCTTTCGACCCCGCTTTACTAGACATCTCCGACCCTACCTCCGTCGAATCGATGCATCGTGAGGATACGTATCGTGCACGGGCTTGTTCAATCTTTTCGGAGACTGGCAAGTCACAGGATGCGCTTAAGTGTTTACCCAGAAGATGCCACGTTGAGTCTGCATTGATGCGTCACCTCGATAAACAGCCTAGGGATTTTCTCGGGGCGCTCCTTTCAATTAGTCGTGGGATGCGTACGATGTATGTTCACGCATACCAGTCTCTAGTATGGAATTTTGCCGCAAGTAGACGCTGGGAGCAGTTTGGTCCGCAAGTAGTCAAAGGAGACTTAGTCCTTATTGGTTCCGAAGCTTCTGCCTCATCAGAAGACGGTCAGAAGGGAAACGGTGAAGAAGATATGATCCATCTTATGGACGGAGGATCTTTTGCCGAGGATGCAGGCGGGTTGAAAGCACATGCACTAACAGAGGAAGAAGCTAGTGGTGGGAAGTATTCCATCTTTGACGTCGTATTGCCGTCTCCGGGTTGGGACGTCGTATACCCGGATAATGAAATTGGACAGTTCTATAAAGACTTCATGGCTAAGGAGGAGAATGGCGGGCTAGACCCCCAAAATATGCTCCGGCAGCAGAAAGATTTTAGCCTCCCTGGGTCTTACCGCAAGCTCATGGGCAAGTTCATTGGCACACCAGACGCCTCTGTCAAAACCTACTTGAAGGATACGGAACAACTGGTACCGACTGATTTAGATCTAATACGAAGTCGCAAAGCTAAAGAAGCAGCGGATCGCACAGCCTCTAAGCGGGAGGCACAAGGACCACCCTCGACATGGCAAAGCTTTGCCGATAACGTACGAGATAATGATCTCCAAGAAGCTCGAGCCAGGTTCGAGAGACGAAAAGCCGAAGAGTCTACCGACATGCCAGAGACTCGGACAAGAGATACCTGGGTGCAGACTTCAGTCAACGGAAGTAACAAGCGAGTCAAAGTTTCTGAGCAAACAGACGATATCAAAGCAGGGAGCGAGAATAGTATCACGCAAACTTATGAAGATAAGATGCAAGTAGACGCAGATAAGGCTGATCAGCCAAATACAATCGAAGGGGTGCAGTCGACGGGCCAAGATGACAGAGATTCTGGCCCCTTACTTGTCACCACCCTTACATCACAGGTGCGAACCGTTGCAAAGAGCGCCATTCAACTACTTGTGGCAGCGTTAGGAGTGTTTACTGACAAAAGCATCATGAAGCCTTCCGAGAATACAGCTACGTCCGAGATTCAATCCGAAGGGCAGACGTCGAGGCCCGCCGTAGATCTACCTAGTACCACCAGTCGCCGGAACGAAGCAATAAAGTCATCGGGCGATAGCGCAGCCGAAACATCTCGTCATACCGAATCCCTCGGTGACATCCACGATGGTGAACACGAAGCGAACGAGTCGGACCAGTTAACCAATGCTACTACTACTGATGAGAAGAAAATCGCAGTGATCCTTCGATTTGCACTAAACACTAGCCAGTACGCAACCATGGCTCTTCGAGAACTTCAAGGGGCGATCCCTGCAAGCGACGACATGGCTGTTCTAGATTCTCCATCGGCTTCTCCCCGCGAAGATATTGCCAACTCCCTATAACGAGGGGATCTAATGCAGGTACTTCGCTGTTATGAATCTAGTCCATCTTGTGCCGGCCTCTCTATTTCACCCAGAACTCCTTCGGTCTTTCTACACTCGCAGGTCGTTTCTCAGCTAAAACACACGAGATTAATTGGCAGAATGTGAGGATCTAGAGGCATTCATAACCTCATCGCGTTTTGACGTTCCTTCGTCGGTAAGGTCCCAAAATTTTATGAGTCATACTAACTCAACAACGGGAATACAAGATGTATAAGCGCATGGTCCTACAATGCCGCCATTATGTTTTGCTAAAGAGATGAAGCGCCAGATTGCTGATATGGCTTTGATGTAATGAGGAGTAGGCATTGGGCTGATATTACTCTGGCATTCTATGGAAGTTAGCTAAGATACCCAATCACCCAATCACTACTAAATAAATCAAATGCACTGTATGCCTAGCATATAGTATCATGAGCTATCCGCGCCCTCCAATTCCCCGTAGAACATACTCAGATACATATTCTATCCAGGCACTACCTCCATGTATCTCTAGAGTATACGGTCTTTGTGAGGACCCACGTGTAAGGTACACCTTGTATGTATGTAATGAATACCTAAAGTAAGTGCAGAGTGCTACATGTAGAGAGCTGAGGCTTCTTTGTTTCACAAGCTCCATAATACAATCATGCCCTCGAATAGCAACTTCCCTTTGTTAAGCAATGGAGTGAGGCGATTCTTCTTGTTCGTAAGCCTCTCCCTAGTATATCGATTCGACCACCTATATCAAGTACACCTACTTTAAAGTATTGCTAATCAACCCTCATTAATCCGTCTATAATTTCTGCCCGTAATCTTCTCTCAGGGATACTATATTTGAGATATCGTTACCTCAAATTAGACTAGGAGCTTCTAAGCCGCAACTAGGATGCTACGAGACGAGCAAACTGTATACTAGCCTATTAACTATACCTCACAATGAGCATGCTCGAACGAATCGCGCAGTACAACCAGAGTACCCGTTCTCGAGTAGACGTACCGAGGCTATATCTGAAGCCAAAACCTGCTGGAATTAGCAATGATGGACAAGACCACTTCCTCTTAAGTAGACAACAGGACATTACGAACCAGGTAACGCGATGCGGAAAACAATAACATATGTAGCTCGTTGATAATATTACTCACGACGTACAGGTCCCAAGCCGAAATGTTAAGCACTTTAGTTTAGACGGAGCCAGCAGCTTGCCGTTCAGCAGGAGACCGCCGCCTTTGAGAGGTATTGCAGCTCGATAAATTCTTATTTACTTACCTTAGTTACCGACTAACAATGGGTGTACTCAGCCCAGTCCGCATTCTCGCTGGAATCCGACGAAGGCGCTGTGCTAGACTGGAACCCGGCGGCATTACTAGAACTCTCAGATTCCGTCAGGGTAAACTTGAAGCACTATAGGAGTGTGGGACCTGAAACCGAGAAACTAAACAGTTTCCTAGAGGTGGCACTTAGAGACGAAGAACAGCAATGGGGGAATCCAACACTCGATATCGAGACCATTGAGCACGCTCGGCTGGACAAGTTGCTGGCTGAGCTTTTACAGTTTGCCGAGAAAATGAGAGGAGGTGCTTCTAGCTCGTTAATGAGGACAGGTGCGGCAACCGGCAGCTTCTCGCTGCAATTCCGCGTCATTATATCGCATGCTAAGAACCTATGGCGCGCGTGGAGGCGTAGATTCCGCGAGCAGTACTTCATGATGGATCAATATCGCTGTGCGGCGCTAGTCAAGGGCGGCCGGCTCAAGGATGTTTCGTTCAACACCTCCCTATCCTACGACCTGGGTAAGTGGCAGACGAAGGTGAGCGACCCAATCTCTGAGCTTGAGGGGAATTTACAATTCGACCCTGGACAGTAAGTTCTTTTTTCCGTAGTTTGGCTGGCTTGTTTCTAACATCATATGTGCCACTCAGCTGGTGGCTGAACATTACATGTGCTGAGAGGGATGGCATGGTAACTAGTTCGTTGGAGATACCAACGAAAGGACGGTATGGTATTACTACTCTACCTCTACTTACCGGACAAGAAGAGTGGATACGGGGTGATATATATAAATATGTCCGCGAAGGAAGGTCTGGGGACATGCATATCGCTCTGATATCCCAAGTCGGCCGACAGATCCGCGTTCTTCGAGGATATAGGCTGAAGAGCATCCTGGCGCCGCAGGCCGGCGTCCGTTATGATGGACTGTAAGTCATGGTAGAACCTTTTACTACTCATTTTCAGATAATTAGCAGTTGACAGAATACTTACTTACCCGTCCGTCGAAAAGATTCGCTATCAAGCAGTACGGGTGCAAGCTCGACAACAATACGAACATCTACCGCCTCGAACTGACACTCGAGCGTGTCCCGAACCAAAAAGTGTCCCTGGAGGACATCGAAAGCATACCGCGGCCGTCCCAGCTAGACGACTGGAACTTATACGAGAAGCTCGAAGGCGACAAGATCAAGCTCCTCCAAGGGGAGACAAGCTATCTAGAATGGAATCTTAGACGCCAGGAAGAGAAGATTGACAGAGAAGATTGGAGAAGGGCGCGTCTGTTCAGAGCGTCTGTCTCGCGTTGGGGGTCCAGAGCTGATTCTCAAGAATAGGGGTAGGGTCTGGTGGCGGGCGGCTATAATGCCACACAAAGCTTATACAAGTACTCTCTATATAGGTACTCACTGTCCTATGTATTATTAATGATCCAGCCTTAGCAAATTGTAGCTTATGGCTTTGTAGCCATAGAAGAATACTCTGATTGGGTCCAATGGCCCAGCGTGTAAGTCAGGCGTGTAAGTCAGGAAAGGGATGAGCTTAGTGGGTCTATTTTTGACAGCCGCCAACCAGCTGAACATGATCTGGCTAATAGCCCCTCATATTATTATTTCCTGCACGTCAGTTCGATCAGATCAACGTGGGGCTCTCACATCAACTTTGTACATTAGGTACCTAAGGTAGCCAGATACCTAGCTTATCCAACCACTATCAACATCAACATCATTCGAAATGGGTGCGAAGAAGAAGGCCGACAACAAGTCGAACAATAAGGATTCCGGCGACAAAGATGATAAAAAGGGTGGTAATAAAGTGAAAGGCGCACAGTCCGTCGTGGTTCGCCATATCCTGGTAAGTTAGGGTTCGACCTCCTCCTCATCCTCGAGTATACGAATTGACACACAAACTTGCTTGCAGTGCGAAAAACACTCCAAGAAGGAAGAAGCGCTAGCTAAGATCAGGGAGGATCCCACTCTGAGTAATTTCATCGCAGTGGCTAGAGAGTATAGCGAGGATAAAGCGAAACAAGGTATGTTATGTTCTATTTACGGAGTCCAAGTTTATCGCTTTACTTCTTGATACTTAAGTACCTAGTATCTATATAAGTCAAAAACTGACCTGGAAATCTTAGGCGGTCTCCTTGGTACACAACGGAAAGGATCACTACAACCTGAATTCGAAGATATTGCTTTCGCGCTACCAGAGAGTAAGGGCAGTAATCTCAACATCGGAGAGGCGAAGACGGCGTTCGGATACCACCTAATTGTAGTAGAAGAGCGCAAATAAGCTCGTAATCACCATGATAACAAAAACCTTCACGGGTCAAAAAAAGAGGCTTTGCAGCCGAGATTGGTAATGCAAGTTTTCCTTGATTCCTGATGCAGTATAGACCCCCTATTTTTTCCCCCGGCATCTATGCCAGATGGTCAAGCCGGTAGAGTACATGCCAAGGGCTCATGACGATGGCTTGAAAATCATTCCGTTCCACTGTCTATATCCCCGCGCAACGCCCGTGATGAATTCCTTACTGCTCGGTCTGGAAGTAGTTTAGGAGGATGGATCGCTCAGTCGACTCCTCACCCCAGTCCTTGACAACCACGCAAGAGCAGTTAACTACCTTGCGCGCGTTGCCTTCTCGGTCCAAGACGCCTACGAATTATTGTGGTTAGTTCCGAATTGTATAATCCCATAGGCTGGCTCATGTAACTTACAGAGACCTGACCACTCGCCCAGTTGCTTTCCGTCGGGAACCTTGATCAGGGGAATCTTGTGTTCGGAGCAGAGAGCGATGACCAACTTCTTGTAGGCCTCTTCTTCGCAAGACTCGTTTAGAACACACATGTGAGCTTGTCGTCGGTCGAGAGCCTTGGACGCTTCACGGAGACCCCGGGCAAGACCGTCGTGCATAAGGGCGAGCTTCAAGACACCCTTGAGGGCGTCCAGAACGGACATCTGGCCCTTGGAGGCATCGGCGGAAACTTCAACCTCCTCGGGGGCTTCGGGTGCGTTGTTCTCTTCTACGTCCGACTAAAATTGAAGAATACTTGTTAGTAAATTGCTTGCGCGCACACAATAGCAATATGAGCATAAGATGTGTAAGGCCGTCGCATTTAAATATCATTGCCCCTTCGTGCGGAAGCGCAATAATTATATATAATAAAACATACCATCTTGAATTTTGTGACACCGGTGCGATCCTCGAAGAGTGGTTTTGCTGTGTCGAGTTGTGAAGGTGAATTTGGTGGGTGGGTTGAGTCGTGCGAAAATCTGGAATTGTTCCAAATCGCCGAATGGAAATAGAGTATATCAATCGAGGCTTGAGCGTTAGGGAAGGTGCAGTGGGGAAGGTTAGTTGTGTATCGCTTAGGGTTAGTTGGCCGAAATTTACCCCATTGGATGGAGATTCCCAATTCAATCCGCCCACCACAATTTTCGCACCGCCGAAAAAAAAAAGAAACCAGAAATCAATCTCACTGACCGCCAACCATTTCTCCAACTTTTTTCTCTTACCTCCACTCCGTTCACTTCAACCAAACTTCTGCACGACAAGCAAAAACCAGAGCGTCAAGCAATTCCCCTTCGCTCACGACCTCCATAGAGGTATGTTATAATAAGTCGCCATGCCTTAAATCAAGGCAAATTTCATCCCCCCCAATGCGCCCTTCAAGAAGCCGGGGGAGAGCAATCAGAGACCTTGCCGCCGGCCTTCGCGTCGCGATGGTCGAGTCGGGTCTCTGATACGCTTCTCCTCTCCAGTACTGAGCGGGCAGAACCCTCCCCAAAGTGGCACATTGGGGGAGGGCACTCTCCATGCTCTTGGCTTTTGAAGGCTAACCAAACACCATTACCAACAGATACCTCACATCCTTTTCGAACGGTCTGAGAATCTCGCAAACCCGCCAAAATGGTCAGAACTTCCGTCCTCAACGATGCGCTTAACGCCATCAACAACGCCGAGAAGACCGGCAAGCGCCAGGTCCTCATCCGACCTAGCTCCAAGGTCATCAAGAAGTTCTTGACCGTCATGCAGCGTCACGGTAGGTCATATATTCTTCATTTTCCGCAACAACCAGCCCTCCAGCATCCCTCACATACGAAACATTCGGCATTATAACTGGATAACGGTCTCAAAACGTCCTACGACCGAAGTCTTTTAAGTTGCCGATAGATCGAAGTTTTTTTTCTGGCGAAGGAATCTTACACGTTTCTCTGATATATCCAAAATGAAGTCTTACGTTTAGTCTTTCGCTACATCCAGCTAACGCTTTTTTCCTTGTTAGGCTACATCGGCGAGTTCGAGGAGGTCGATGACCACCGAAACGGCAAGATCGTCGTGCAGTTGAACGGCCGCATCAACAAGTGCGGTGTCATCTCTCCCCGATACAACGTCCACCTTTCCCAACTCGAGAAGTGGGTTGTCAAGCTGCTACCCGCCCGTCAGTTCGGCTACATCATCCTTACCACCTCGGCCGGTATCATGGACCACGAGGAGGCCCGAAGGAAGCACGTTGCTGGCAAGATTATCGGTTTCTTCTACTAGGCGGATGACAAAAGAACAAAAGGAAAAGGAACAAGGGATATGAACTGACTAAGAGCATTCTCGGCGTTTGGGAGGAATGGATAATGGTCTAAGCTATGATGCTTGATATTTTTCAGCCAAATTCACCACGATACCACGAAATGCTACACAAGTCCAGTTCTTGCATGCGTCTAGCCCCCCTGTGTTCCCCTGTATGTTGCCAAGCCGCGGAGTGCCATGTGAAAGTGCCGGTTGTACTGTGTACCTCAAGTACCTTACCTTACATAGGTTAGGTACAATACCTAAAGTGAAAATAAAGCTTGATCCTTCCGTACAACGGTGACGGGTATTGATTGAGTTTATTTAGTATAAAGTTCTGTCATCCAATTGACAAGTGTAATCCTCCGAATTTCGTGATCACATTTCGTGCTATTTTCACAAGGTTTACCACATGTTTAGATATTTACATGCTTATACCCCTGACTGTGGCCCGCAAAGCTCGAAATAATTTGTACATGATTCATGGATAATAATGGCTAATAGTAGGTCGGATCAGAGACGCGTCACAGTGCGTCCTCCCGCACGTCTATTGATTGAATGCAAGTATTTAATTGGACCAGGCAAACAAATACCGGGGCACTACGTACAGAGGTAGTAGCAACTAAAAAAACAGGAATGGGAAAGGGAAAGGGCTCCTGAACCTCATCGGGTCCATTTCTTTTAAAGGTTTATATCTCTATACCTCCATATATCCATATTTCCATATTTCCTTCCACGATAGGTACATGTACCAATGTCATTCTTTACATCATTATTTCCTGCTGCGCCAATAAGTTTCAGCCGACGCCATCGAGCCTTCTAAACTGCGGGTGGGATTAGGGCTTGAAGAGAAATGCGGCCGCGCCAACTGATCCTGACCGGCGGGCTCGTCTTCCTCGGTATTTGCGTCATCACACTCTTCCGGTTGACGCCTTCCGGCACCAATCTCTCAGACCTTAAACCCGGCCCTTTATCCTATACACACGGCACTGGGAAAGATGGCTCGAGTAATGCACCACAACCGCTGGCGGCCCCGGTCCCCTTCGATCCTAAGCCGAAGCCCGCTCCCGCTGGAGAACATCCTATGTATTACCTGATCACGCAAGCGGAAAAGGATCTCGAGGCCACCAAGTCACGCCAGTCCAAGACAATCAAGGATGCTGTTGCAGAGTACCGCAGGCGGTATGGGATCCCCCCGCCGCCCAACTTTGACAAGTGGTTCGAGTTCGCAAAGGCCAAGAACGTCCAGCTCATCGACGAATTCGATATGATCCACGAATCGCTGACGCCCTTCTGGGGACTGAAGCCCTTCACGATACGCGCGCGCGCCAGGGAGGCGCTAGGTTTCGACAACGCGTTGCTAGGTGTCCAGATCCGAAACGGTAAAATTACGCATATCCAGGGCGGAAGCGAGTGGCAGCGCGAGGCCACTGCGGGCATGATGGGGAAATTCCTAAAGTGGTTACCCGATATGGACCTGTGCTTTAATCTGCACGACGAGTCGAGAGTCGTAGTACCGCATGATGACCTAGCTAGATTGGTTAAGAGGGCTAAGGAGATTAATATGCCCGCGGCCAATTCCCATTCCCGCCCGAGAAACGAGTTCACGCCCATGGGCAAGGGGCTAAATGACGGGTCTAAATTTGAGGAGAGCAAACTGACGCGATTCAACGTCTTTGCCCACCAGCCAACTTGGACTCACTCGAGGTTGTCGTGTCCCCCGGAAAGTCCTTCTAGAGGTTTGGAGGAAGAAGAGAGAAAAGATGACATCTCGAAGTACGGCTTGGGAGAGCTAGGCTTCATCTACAATATCACAGCCATGTCTGATATCTGCTATTCCCCGTCGCTAGGCTCGACGTTCGGCTTCTTCGACCGGCCGAATGCATACAACATCGTCCTCGATCTGTTCCCGATATTCTCACAGTCCAAGATCTCGTCCTACTCCGATATATTGTACCCGTCGCCGTGGTACTGGTTCGAGAAGGTAACGTATGACGAGGCAAAGGACATTCCGTGGACCGAGAAGCAGGACAAGTTCTACTGGCGCGGTTCTACGACTGGCGGTTTCAGCAGGAACGGCGGGTGGCGACGACAGCACCGACAGCGGTTTGTGAAGAAGATGAACGCGGCCGATAACGCTAAGATCCTCGAGGAGGTAAATGGTAAATGGGGGGTCCAGGAGGTACCGCGGGGCGACTACAAGGACATCATCGACGTATACTTCTCGGGGGTGGGGCAGTGCGACCCCGGCGACTGTGATGCGCAGAAGGAATTCTTCACGATCAAGGGGCATGCGGAGCAACAGGACGCGTGGAAGTACAAGTACCTACTAGACATCGACGGGAACGCGTTCAGCGGGCGATTCTATGCGTTCCTAAAAAGCAAGAGCTTAGTGTATAAATGGGCTATCTTCCGCGAGTGGCACCTCGAGTGGCTGAAGCCGTGGGCGCATTACATCCCGCTCAGTATACAGGGCGAGGAGTGGCTCGAGGCTGTCCGGTTCTTCGGCCACGGCGATCTGGGGACGAAGGAGGCCGAGCGCCTCGCGAACCAGCAGCGCGATTGGGCGAATAAGGTGCTAAGGCACGAGGACATGGAGGTGTGGTTCTTTAGGTTGCTGCTAGAGTATGTCCCGGCGGCCCGATTTAATTCTTGTTTTCTTTTCGGTGGATCGAAGTGCTAACGCGGACGCAGATACGGCCGAGTCGCAGACGACGAACGCGAGAACATCGGATACTCGGTAGGCGCACCCGCGGGTAGGGCGTCGGGAGAAGTCTCTTCTTCTAGCCCATGACGGAAAGATAAAGCGGACACGTTAATATGGGGGTCGGAAACGGGGATAGGATACTAGGATATGCTACGTAGGCATAAGTAGATCTGGCAGGCCGGCGTACGGATTGTATAAAACAGCTGCATGGTCGGAGTTTTTTTTTTCACCTTTCACCTTTCACCTTTTTCTTTTTCTTTCCCGGTGCACATGCCTGCACATACACATGCGGATGGACGGATGATGGTACTATATACATACATACATATATATGTGTATATACGGGAAGAGGACAGGACAGTCTGGCGCACAGCCAGCCCCCTTTCCCGCGGTTCGATATACCTACGACGGGAGGGGAATTTTTGGATCCAGAGCGGAGTATATTCTCGGACAGCGTCCGGATATATATTTATTTGGGGTTTCGTCGGGCGGGCGAGCGAGCGAGTAGATCGTGTAGATGGGCGGACTGGACTGGGCCGGACTACATACTTATATATACCTTACGTAGGTAGGTATGTATTTATATACCCACACAAGTATGTAGGTTGGGGATCCGCTAGGTGTGAAGTACTGCGCCTCGCAGGGTGGAAATGTAATGCTTAATCCTGACTAGGTACCTACTAGGTTAAGTTGGATGCAAAGATGACATTATATGCTTTAGGTTGGGTACCTATATATATATATATATGTGTAGGTAATGTCGTATACATAGGCGGAGTTGGCTGTGTCTTGTAAGTTGTGCAAGGGGTCGAGCACAGCGCCTTAGGTATGTATAGGTAGCTATGTAGACGTAAGGTGGTATTGAGCTGCTGCCTGTTGTGGAGAGGACGAGGACTTATGTAGGACTAGGACTAGGACTAGGACTAGAGAATTGGACGTTTTATACGCCGTATTAATACGGATTTTTGAGTTTGTTATTTGGTCTTTCTCGAAAGTCTTATTTTCAAGTTACGGTACCTAAGTATACGGTATAGCATCCTGAATAGTTAGGTACCAGCCCGAAGACCATTCCCCCCTCCCCCCTGGTAGACTGCATAGGTACTCAGGTTCCAACAAATGGTATCATGGTTCCAACTCTGCTCTTATAATTTATATATTCCTCCCCAAAAAACCGGACCAGCAATGCCTCTTCATGCTTTACTCTACTCGAAAAGAACTTCCATAGGACAACCGTATAGCATACAAAGCAGATGGGATTTCCCAGAACCATTTGCGTTCCTATGCTCCAGTAGAAAAACCCAAAGTATGCCGGATGGCGCAGAAACGAGTAAATACCCGAGGTAACTAGGGTATGGGAGTCCTTCTTGCGCTGCTGGATGGTATGATTGAACGACTGGCCCGCCTGGCCCATGGCCGCGCTGCGGACGAACTGCCCCACAAACACCAGTACGAATCCTAACAGCAAGATGATATGTCCACTATAGAGCGGTGCCCAATTCCGATTCGGGAACAGCAGCTTAGTAAAGAGACATTCGAGCGACGCCGCCGCATGCGCGATAGCATAAGCCGGCCAATTCGCCGTCAGCAAGAACGAGCCGACATTCGCGACCGGAGTATTGTACCTGGCCGTAGTCCAGAACTCGAGGAAATGGAACGTCGCCAGCGCGCCGACGAAGAAGGGCACGCGCCACAGCGGCGACGACGTAAATACCAATATCGAAACCGTAGCGACGGCGGACAAGGCGAGCGCTATGCCGAGGCAAAAGGACCGGATCGCGATGCCCTCGAGGGACTTGGGCCCCGCGGGGAAGTAAGCCCGTTCTTCGGGCGAGGCCTGGGCGTTCTGCGCGACGGGACTAAGGAGCGGGAGAAGCAGATTGTCAGCATTTGTTGTTGCGCGCGTGTTGATCGAGGCGAGTTTTGCAATGGAGGAGCGCTGGCGCGTGTTGTTGTTGTTGTTGAAGCCCGTCGCCCACGACACGTCTGCGTCCTCGTCGGGACCATGATGCAGAGGGGCAGGGGCAGGGGCAAACCCGCCGGGCACAGGTGTGACAGGCGTCGGCGTGGGTGTTGGCGTAGGCGTCTCCGACACAATCGGGAACGGAGTAACACGTGACATGATGGATGGATGGCGCACCAGGGACTTAAGATGTTTGTTCTACTACAAGGAAGCAGCTAGAGCTAGAGCTAGAGCGACGGGGAACGTTCGGGTAGGAAGCTTTGAAATAGAGGTTCGACAGGTAGCTAATAAAACATAAAGCGAAGCAAACTTACCTATCCGGCGGTGACTCCATTGTTGCTCCGGAAATACCAATACCCCTCTCTCCTTTCCTTTTTATTGTTGTCTCGGAGTCTCTTCGCTCGATATCAAGGACAAAGACGATCTAGGAGGTAGTTGTAGAAACCAATCCATGATACATATGTGTGTACGTTGTTGGTTGTTGTATGGAGAATAACTAACGACGGCTTAGAGTAAATAAATTAAAGTTGATACTAGGATACGGTTGATACGCTGATAACGGTATCGAAGACATCATTTTTTATGGGTCCGTATAAGATAGAACTGAATAGATTACTTAGGTAACTAAGCAAGTATCTACATACCAAATCTACATCTAGGTACGTTGAGTCTCTCTAGTGTATTTTCTTGGGCGGATTCTAGACCGTCGGTAAAGATTTACCTAGTAGCATATCAATGATGAATAGAAAAAAGAAATATAAACGCCAATAAAACCGAGCAGAATAATACCCATCACTCCAGGACAATGCCATGTCATTAGTTAATTTGTCTTATTCGTATCTCGTTTGTACCTAAAACAGAGCACCAAATCTGGCTCGTTCCTCGTTCATAAAGCAAAGGGTATCATAACTTTTCTCCGTATCCCGTGATCCTTACTACGAATCATTCAACGCCGGGTCGATCAAGCCATCCAAATCACTAGGCTGGATGAGCCGTCTCATCTCGGCCTCATCGTGGAACCATTCCTCGTCAAACCCCGGTGCCATTGAACCCTCCAGACCAGCATCAGCCCCAATCCAGAATTCGCCGTTCCCAGCACCCGCCTCTTCCAAGTTCCCTGCCCCTTGCACCATCATGTCGTCGAATACCATTGGCAGCATCGGGTCTGTCCCCGGCTCTGCTAGTTGTTGCAGTGCATGCTCGATGATATGCTCGCTTTGTAGGTGTGTCTCAAGTTCGCCATTGTGTACGAATTTGGCGGTACAGCCGGAAATTGTGCATGGCAGTGTCCGTCTAGACTTTTCTCCCATACCCGTGAGCTCTTCGAGGATATCAGACGGGTCGCGTTGCTTGGGCTTGGATACGCCCTGGGGTTGCTCTGGCCGTTCGTACTTCAGATGTATATAGCGAACGTGGTTCTCTAGATTGGCTTTGGTAACAAAGCTCTCCCCGCAACCATCGGATTGTAACCAGCGCCCCAAATCTTCCGTCCCGCTAAGATCAACCTCCCCGCAGACGAACCGCAGGCCCTCATGGAAGCTTCGTATATGAACATTGAGGTTCGATTTCTTGGTGAATGTCTTGGTGCAACCCGGCCACGTGCAAGCAACATTTTTTCGCTCCTCGACGCTCTTAGGATTTGAGTGTTCCGAGTCAACATGCTGCTCGAGACCTAATCTGCCATTACATTGGACGCCACAGAACATACAGCTGACATGATCTTGTTTCATGTGAGCTTGCAATAAGGCCATTGTGGTGAATCCTACTCTCTCGGGCCGGCCGCCATCCATGTTCTCTTGACGAGTGCTGCATTCCTCGCACCAGAAGCGAATTTCACCATGCTCTCGTTCTTGGTGGCGTCTTAGAGCTCCAGCGTTATCGAACCCTGCGCCACAGGCATCTCCTGATGTGCCATCTTTATAGTCGCAAGGGTAAGGAGCAATACGAAGATGCTCGGCGCGGATGTGGCGTTGTAAAGTCTGATGCTTGCGGAACGACTGGTTACATGGCGGGAAGTCTCGGCATCGAAATCTCTCTTGGCCCTCATGAACAGCTTGGTGTCGTCTCAGACGAGTAGCTGTCATGAAACTCTTGCCGCAATCAGGTTGGGCGCAACGATGTTCGCGCTCGCCAGTGTGGGAACCCTTGATGTGCTGTCTCAAGTGTTTCTCCTCGATATAGTCTTTGTCGCAACCGGGAAATGAACACTTATACGGTCGTTCCTTGTTGTGAGATCGCATGTGGGCAGCAAGACGGGCTGGGCGGTTGAACGTCTTATCGCAATCGGGGAATGTACATTTGATCGTCTTGAGATCTGAAGGAAACTTGCGCGCAGGGGAAAGAGGAGTCAATGGGGTATCGTTTGCGGGAATAGTAGATGATGTGCCGGCATAGTGCGATTCGTCGTCAGAACCAACATCGTCAATGTCAAGTTCAAAGTTGAATTCTAGTGAAGAATGACAGCAGTTAGTTAACGAGTTACGAATAGTTAAACGAAAATAATATTGGTAACTTACCATCGGGATCGGCAATCCTACTTCTCTTAGCTTTGGGCCCATTGGGGTCCTCGGCCTCTTCAATCGCAGTCCTCTTCATAATGGGACAGGTATCACCTGGCCATGTTGTAGAGGTAAATTGTCAGGTCGTAAATGCATGTGCTTGAATCAGGACCCTTGAAAGTCAATTGAGAAAAATGTTGTGCCGAGCAGCTTATCGACATGATAATGATATCGATAAGAAATACGGAATATTTTATGGGGAAATATTCTCCAGCAGCAAAGCTAGGAGGTACATAGGTACGTACTTGCATTAAGCCGCCTGAAAGCAGCTGAATAAATAAAATGGTCAAAGCGCTAGTTCTGCACTAGTTCTAGGTAATTCTAGCTAGACGGTGGACGTGCAGTCAAAACAATCCTTGGCCTCGATTCTTTTACCTATCAGCTTTTCCAAATTTTTCGCATCGCATCTACCAAATCGCGTCTTCGTCTGCGGTTTGCCAGCCAACATCACAGCTACACCAATCTTTAGGCATACAAAGCTCTCCTTTCAAGTCTATTAAGTGATTTTCATTAATCAAAATGTCTGACTACGGTGATGATGGGGATGTCGGTGGAGCGTAAGTTACGCTATTAGCACATACAGAGTGCCCAGTGCTCTAACGCGTCGCAGGGACGAGCCTATGTTCGAGGATGAAGAGCCCATAGACGACGAGCTCGATCCCGAAGTTCCCGACAATGAGGAGGATGAATTCACCCGAAGAGGCGTAGACGAGGAAGAAAATGTTGTCGTCTCGGGCGATCCGTCTGCTGCCGCAAACCGAACAAAGTCTACGACAAAGTTGAACAAAGACAAGAAGATCCCTAACGAGGAGCGATCTACCACTCCATACCTAACGAAATACGAGAGAGCTCGTGTTTTAGGTACCAGAGCACTACAGATCAGGTAAAGCAACATTGACGAAGGTCAAGGTCAAGACCTAGCAGACGTTAACCGGATATTGTATAGTATGAATGCTCCTGTCCTCGTAGATTTAGAAGGAGAGTCAGATCCGCTCCAGATTGCTATTAAGGAGCTACGCGAAAAGAAGATTCCTCTGATCGTCCGCCGTTATCTTCCCGATGGCTAGTACGTCTTGAATTCTCCATTCCCGCAAGTGTAATTGGTTGGTGCTGATTAACTCCACAGTTACGAGGATTGGTCCTGCGAAGAGCTGCTCCAGTAGAACGATATCAGCTCCCTCGGCCTTTCGCAATCTGGATATTGAACCGACTCTAGCATCGCTTCGAACGACCCTCCAGCGGATAGGGTTGACCGATACGACTATGCGTGAAGGAATCGTCGGATGACTCAGAGAAGTTTGCACGAGCACGGAGTTAGTGGTTGCTTTTCGGAATATATCAAAATTTCCCCTGGGCATAATACTTCTGAGTACACGGCGTCGAGGAATTAATATCTACTCGGTTGATTACATGGTAACTAAATCGCCTCGCATGGCGGGTGTGGGTTCCGCTATCAGCTTTTCCGCAAACCCCCTATCAGCCTCATCCAGTGCAGAGGATATAAGCGGTGAGCCTATGTCCCATGACCACGTGCGCCGACAAGAAAAATATTGCCAGATCCGGCTGAGTTCCCTCGCCGAGTTCACCGGTGACTGCCATTAGGTAGCTGCAGATTGATTTTCAGTGTTGTTATTATAGTTATTCTAACTAATAGTCAACGAAAAACAATTGATGCATTTTATGTCCCTGTTAATAGGACTTATAAATTCACCTACAATTTACCCGAGCCTATTCACTATGTAGCAGGTAATGGCGCTTGTGTCAAAAATATGTATAGGCGAATTCATCTGATCTATTCTAAAGACTTGCCAGCTCATCCCTATGTAGAATACGGATTACTAGAGGCGAGCTTAAAATAGCGGTAAATATTCGTATTGAATTGAATTCCGCATGAAATATCCAATGCGGTGTGACTATTCCACATTTAATGTAAGGCTACCGAGGGTCACATCCGCTACGACCCGCTAAACAGACAGACCAATCAGTACAAGTGACAACATCTTACCAGCGGATCGGACCTATGACGTCGGCTGACCGTTTAAAAGGTTGAAAAATGCATGTCAGCTCATGCAGCAATAGCCGCATTTTTCCCTTAGGTTCGGCAGCTTCGCAGCTTCGTCACACATAAGGGTCCTAAAATTGCCCCTTTAGGACTAATAACGTGACCACTGAATACGAAGTATTGCCTTTAAATTCTCTCAAGGCTGTACCGTTAGAATTGTGCGACAATAGATAGCATGGTATAGCATGCTGCAGATTTACATGCTATCTCTGTGGCGTTTGGCTGCTCCCTGCTTACGTTGGGCAGGCAATTATATATAACTAACCTTCATATAAGTAAACGAGACATGGTGTTTGTCGTTGGCAAACGGGAATGAGGATAAGACGAATTTATAACTTGTCCCAACTCACAATATATACACGTAATTATTACACACATGCCTACCTTATCCACCTAATCCATATATCCCGTCCCTAGATACATCAGATGCAAATTCTAGGACTCGAGATTTGATCTTGCCTAAGCGAAGCCGTATTGTCGATCAATATTACCACTACTCAGCTACTGCAGCATTACTTCCCTCATATATTCCTTCCTGCCCACTTTATTCCCCGTTCTCTGTGGTAAATAGCAGGAGTGACGACCTTACAAACGTACAGACCGGCAGGAGCCAGGGAAACAGAAAACTCCACTTGGCACTTCCTTTGTTCGCCAGGTCTACATTCATATATCCCGATTCCCATCGTTCCTAACAACCCACAACCCAAGCACGAATACCCTTTCTTACCTCACACAAACTCGTCTTGCGCTCTAAAGTTTCTTTACCAAAACACAACATCGCAACATTATTCCATCCACCCGCAATAATGCATTTTTCATCTATCATTACCAGTCTTATCGCAGCTGCGACTTGCATCTCTGCCCTTCCGGCACCGCAATTGGCTAAGAGAGACATGGGAGGTGTAAGTTCTATCATTCGCTTCTTCTCATACCGCGCAGCGCAAATTGTTAACTCGCGAATATCCAGGTCCTGATCTGCAATGGCGCCAATGCCACAGGCACATGCCACTATGAGGTCTACTCGATGCACGATTGCCACGAGCTACCCGATGGCCTAATCAACAATGCCAAGACTTTCGCTCCCGATGGCGATGCCTTCTACTGCTGGCCTAAGGTGTAAGTTGCAGGATATTTCTCTCTCCCTTACTATTATTGCGCACTCCAGCTAACTCATTGTATAGAGGCCGCTGTGATCAGATCTGCACGTCGCCAACCGGTTGCACATTCGGTGCTGTATCCTTCTACAACCCCGTCAAATGGGATCTGTCGACCATAAAGTGGGATACTTTGATCACATCCTTCGAGTGCGCGCTCAACCAAACCACGAAGGCATAGGCGCACGACGAAACTTTCGAAAATGTTGGCAACTCGGCATGGCGCTAATGAAGCAGACAATCGTCTGTTGTTAATATTTCCAAGCCTTGTTCTCCAACACTACTTAATGCGAAGTTGGACCGACTTTCCCGTTTATTAACGGGCTGCCGGCGACGGAGTCTAATCGGTATTCGGGTTCTTTTTGGAATTAGAAGCTGCCAATGACGTCGCTCAAGCGGCTTAGAATGTGGGGTAGATAAAGAAAAATGGCTTGCTCTAGGACCCAGGACCCATCAGCGGGGTTAGCTCTCCCCTCTTCGTCTTTGACAATCAGACAATTCGAAACTGCCGGGGAGGCAGGGAGGAGCTTGAGGGGCACCAAAAGCACATTACCGTTTGATGCAGCAATCGCATCATAGTACCTAATTCATAATTCACTACGCTGTACATATTGGAAGCATAATCACACCGTTAGACTTAATTGACTTCACAGATCATATCTTTCTATTCCAGACTCTTAACATTTATATCACACGGTGGCATTTAGACTAATCGCAAAAATGGCCGCCTTCGAGACCAAAGCCAGCATCCCCAATTTCGGCGGTAGGCTGCTCAAGCTGCAACACCAGTCCTCCAGCACAGGTACCCCTATGGACGTAAACCTATTCCTACCTCCCAACGCAGTCTCCGGGTCCAAGGTTCCCGTGCTAATCTACCTATCCGGTCTAACCTGCACGCCCCAAAACTGCACCGAGAAGGGCTTCTTCCAAGCGCACGCGGCGCGCAGGGGCATCGCCATCGTATGGCCCGACACCTCGCCCCGCGGGGCCAACATCCCCGGCGAGACGGAGAGCTGGGACTTCGGCGCGGGCGCGGGGTTCTACGTGGACGCGACGCAGGCGCCGTGGAGCGCGCACTACCGCATGGAGTCGTACGTGGCCTCGGAGCTGCCCGCCGCGCTGTTCGCCGCCTTCCCCGCGACCCTCGACCCCGCGCGCGTCAGCATCACGGGCCACAGCATGGGCGGCCACGGCGCCCTCACCCTCTTCCTCAAACACCCCGGCAAGTACCGCAGCGTCAGCGCCTTCGCGCCCATCGCTAACCCCTCCCGCTGCCCCTGGGGCGAGAAGGCTTTCTCCGGGTACCTCGGCCCGGACCGCGAGGCGTGGAAGAGGCACGATGCTACGGAGCTGGTGAGGGGGTGGCCGGAGGGCGCGGATATTAAGGCGCTGGTCGATGTGGGGACTGGGGATAGCTTTTATAAGCAGGGCCAGCTGTTGCCGGAGAACTTTGAGAAGGCGGTTAAGGAGGCGGGGGTCAAGGGGTTGGAGTTGAGGTTCCAGCCGGTAAGTTTTTTTTTTTTGTTTTTGTTTTTGTTTTTGTTTTTTCCCTGCTTCTGTGATTATTTTATTTATTCTTGGACGGGCTCGAGGATGGGAATGAGAATTTAAGCTAATTGATGTGTGTAGGATTACGATCACTCGTACTTCTTCATGTCGACGTTTGCCGAGGATCACGTCGAGCATGCTGCGAAGTACCTGTTCTCGTAGGAGCATTTCTCTCCTTGAACGATCGCAACACTTGGAATCCGATGGTAGATAGATCATGTATGCTTTTCTAAATCTAAATCTAGGACTCGCGAAGTTGGAGCGACGTAGAATGAACAGAAGAAACTCTAGTATTGGTGGTAGTTAACGGAGAAGGCAACAACAACAAGAAATCTAATTTAAGTAGAAGATGCAATTCGCCTGTCATGAGAGAGCAATAAGAATTCGTAAAAATTCGGAATATATAAATATATATACCCTCAATATCGACTCGCTTAAAGAATTCAAAACGTAATTCTTTGTTCAGATTACTTGGTATATATTGACATTTGAAGCCGCGGATATCTTCAGGCAGGAAAAAAAAGACAATAATTCGCTCCGAGTTGCATCGCTAGGCCTGAACCAACCACCTTTACTCTCCTGCTTCTAGCTGTTTCTCTTCTCAACGGGGCTCAAGTTCTCCTTCTCAAGCTTACTCTTCATTTCCGCATCCACCTCTCGCCGTATCCGGTGGAAGGCGAGCTTCTCAAACCGGCTCATCCCCTTCCACCAGTGATGACCGGCTTCGTGTTCGCTGATGCGCTCGATGAGCTCCGACGTCTGGACCCTAACGTCCCGGTCCTTATGGAATAGCCCCAGGGCTATGTAGAAGAGTCCCGCGTGGGACTCGGGAGCTACCGACAATAGTAGACTGATTTCGTCGTACGAGTGGACGTACTGGGCAAACGTCAAATAGATTTCTTTACTCTGTGCTGGGGTTAGACGTTGAGACCGGAGCCGGTCGTGCATATGGTGTAGGTCTATCCCCTTTAGGGGCCGGATGGTATATAATTTGGCGAGGTCCTAGAACTAGTGTTAGTTGGGAAGGATTGACAGTTTAACGAAGGCTGTCTCACTTGGATGTAACTATAGTAGCTTCGGGTATTTCTCCAACCCTCGATCCTGCACACGTTACCAGCAAGCTCCTTCTGCTTGGCAGCCTCGTCCGCCCATACGTACCCGTGTCCGCCCGTAAGAGTTTCGAACTCGTCACCTCCGATATAAAGGGCACTTGCCCCATACACCGTCTCTTCGAAGGCCGCGGCTATCCTAGTAAATCTAACGACCCAGTCTCTCCACTTGGCTCGAATGACTTGTTCTCCGCGCCTCGCTGTTATGCTCTTGAGTATGTCATTCATGAATACTACATCTCCGGTAAAGTCCGTGGTTGCTGTATTAGATGACCCGCTAAGCATGTTCGCAAAGGACGGGTTCTGCTGTTGGAAGTATACAAGTCCTTCGGTGATTTGCGCAGGTTCGATCTTCTCGCTAATCTTCATCCGTCCTGTCTGGAGATCGCATAGAAGATCCCACCATTCGGGGTGCAGCTCAAAAGTCGGGTTCGTAACTCCGGCAATAAAGCCGGGAACCTTTAGCAAATCGTCAACCTTGGTAAGGTCTGTGTAAGGGAACGCATGTCTAGTGAATCCCCGCAGGAGACCGCCAGACGCAAGGGCGCATGCCGCCAGGACGGCTTCTGCAACCTCTCCTGACGGCATATTATGTCCAACAAAAATTATCCTCTTCTGGGTCAGAAGTGCATTAGCAAGTACTATTATAGGATGGGTTCCTGGGCCATTCGTAGTTAAGTGAGTATGTATAGAAAACTGTTGTGTCGACTTTGCATGCGGCTCTGAAAAAGTCTGGATGAGTTTTATGAGCGAAAAATCCCCAACGGTTTCCGGCATGATTGCTGTTGGGACCTTGACGGGGATAGGAATGCCCTTATACATGACCTTGCTCTCGAATTCGTGAGTGTCTCGTGGAACCGAGTACGCGGATTGGCCTTCGAGATGAGCTTTCGTCCCAGCCCGAGATATACCCTGCAGCTTGGGAGGACTCCTACTTGCGTCGAATGGCTCACCAACCCCCTCAGCTTTGTCCTGGGCGATTCGCCTCTGTATCATTCGTTCAAACTTTTCGACGAATAGATCTTGATTATTGCTGGCCTGCAAGAGATACCTCTCAAGCAAGTTGAGCTTTGGCATTAGGGACAGATCCATACTATTGACGGCTTCATAGAGCAACGCCAGCGTCTCCGGGACAGGAGATTTATAATATTCTTCAAGCGCAAGCAACAGTAGAGGCTATCATAGTTAGAGAAGTAGAGCGGGATGGCACAAGGGGCACTATAGCTAACCTTATATATGTGTAGAAATGGGTGTCGTGTACATATAGCCATCGCTTTGACTACAGCGCCTCTCTTCACGCTCTTGTCGTGTCTCGTGTAAACCAAGTTTAATACGTATATTAATGGAGGACCCTCTCCTCCTTCAGGTTCCGAGTCGGTTGATTCATCATCGTCCCAGTCATCATCTTCCTCGTCTTCGTCTTGCTCGTTATTCGTATCGTCATCTCCGTTTATGATCCCAGCGGCCCTGTCCTTTCTAAGTTTCCTCCTCTTCCGTCGTTCTGCCTTATCTTTTTTCTCTTCGTCATCGTCCTCCTGGGTCGTGTCCTTATGCAAGAAAAAGATAGTCCAATCTTGAGTACGCGAATGGACTTGGTCTGGTAACATAAGCTCTGCTAACATGTTTTCATCACCGGTTATCGCGACAGGGTACTGGTGCTCCATGACAGGGCCTCGGTCGATGTCAAAGGAGGCGACCAAGATATACTCGACATGGTTCTCGGAAGACTCGCGAGGATACTGGGAACGTAGTTTCCTGGGAGACTGTCCATTAGGATTAGGCCGCCTCGGCGGTGAGAGAGAAGAATGTTGCGAAGACTCGGCAGTCTGGCTGCCAAGAGATGAAGTCTTGGATTTTGAGCTGGGATCTGACGTGCGGTCGTTGTTTACCACTGGAGGCTGGGGGGATCTTGGAGGGCGCGAACTATGAGACATCTGCGAGGGCGAGCGCGACGACAGAAAGGACGAAAGCGATGTGCGATGGTTATGATTTCCGCTACCGCCATTGGAAAGAGATTGGCTCGTATTTGTTCGCGAAAGATGGGGGAACGCCATTTGAGTTGATACAATTACACTAGCCGGACTAGCAGTCGGTTATTCTCATTTGGTATGATCGTCGCGGTTGACGAGTCCGCCGCTCGGGGTGGACTGCTCGAGCGTTGATCCCCGCGGTCACGACCGAATCGCCTTAGTTGCTTTAGCCGATAATACTAGAAGTCTAGGCCTCAATGCGTCGCCAAAGTATATACAGCTTTACGACTTCGTCTCGCGACTGCGTTCAAGTCAAATTGAGGCTGGGTGCGATTAGTTGACCCGTTGCGGGGATTTTTCGATCAGCGCCGCTGTGCCATTCGCAACTCAGGAGTCAGGGGTCGTCGTGGGTATATGGGTATATGGGTATCTTGATATCTCGATTGGTCGTACGTTCCACCGACCAAAATAAATAAAAATCAGGCCAGATGTTGAACAATGCCAGCGATTACTGTAGAGAAACAGAAAATCGGAGTCAGAGAAAGCAACGACCGAGACATGATCTGCTACATGGCCATCTCTTCGGAATTGTTTGAACTTAAAAGGTAGTATTTCACCCTGAGCAGGGGGGACAAGATGTGGGTGTGGGAAGAAAAGGTACGAGACGAAAGCGAAAGACGTTTCGTATCAAACCAGACCCTTGAACCTTTGGGATTTGGTAGGACCCCTGTAACCATCATTATGACCAATGATTAGCGCAGGTAGACCCTAGAAACTTTGGGGGTGCTAGGGGGGGCTAAGGGGGGGCTAGTTCCTATCTCCTCTTTTTAGCGTCTTCTTTAGCGCTAAAACGTAGCGAAAACGCGCTCTATCAGTTTACTTATGCTGCTTATGGCTTTCCACTCACCCCCAAAATGGTCCTTTAACCCCACCAGCAGCGACCAATTTACCACTTCAGTCACCGATTCAGATCCATCATGGACCAATTAACATACATCATCTATGAACATGTACGACATCGATAGTCCATTTGCGCAATCGGCCAGCGCCTCGTTTACCACAAGAGGCAAGCTAAGAAAAGGCCACAACCTTATCTAACTAAATCTACCTACTTAAGCCAAGGATCATCCGTGCAACTCGTCTTCCGGACAACTCTATATTTTTTTTTAACGTATGTGGTATCAATGTTAATGTGGCCCAGGAGCGAGGGGACCTTGAGAGCCTTTCGCCTACACACCTACGCTACAATATTGCGAACTAGATTACGCCCGATTATGTCCAGCGGGCTAGGCTCAAGCCAAATGTGTCGCCATGCTATTTATTGTTCAATAATATCGGTCGGAAGCCACATATATCCGCATATGTTCTGCATGAGCTTATGCTAGATGCTAATCGGATGCAGCCATCCGCATCTAATGCCAAGCTTCCACATTCTGACCGGTTGGTCCGACGCAGAGAAAGGAATACCTGGAGGATCTATATTACAGTCATCGAGCTAGAGATAAAAAGAAAGGATTGGGCCGAATATGCTACTTCCGAGCAATTGGGTCTATTATAGGTAGATTTGCTCATGGTTCTACCAAGTCTACATAAGTGACATATTAGAAGTCTATAACTACCGACTATTCATATCGTACTTGGTATATAGCATACTACTTGTCCTATTAATTTATCGCGAGATGAAATAGAATGTCTTGAGTTACATCGAAATAGAAATGTTTAGTTGTAAGGCGAAGATACGATATTTAGCAGTTGTAATAATAATTTTATACTTAACGTATAGTATGCTACAAGAGAATCTACGGGACAATCGTCATGTTATAATGGAGACCAATCCTCCTTTAGGGCTGTATTAGTAATAAATGTATAGCGTATCTGCGTGTAGTGACAGCATTAGGAACATAGAGTCTGGTTATCTAGTTCATCAAGAGCCTCAATACTTCAAAATATTACTTAACCCCCCTGGCTATCTATTATAATAGTCTCCGATTAGTTTTGATTCTAGTCGCATGTTCCATAAACTATAAATCGGATGCATTCCATCGTAGTCCCGTACGTTCATGTGAGGATACCTGTACCTTATTAAGAATTAGTTATACTAGCCCTTCAATAGTTTCCAGATAAGCAGTCAGTAGACGGAGGCCATCCGTAGTCACCTCCCAGTTGACTCTAAGGTTAACGACTATAAACACGTATCAAGTGTACATTTTCAAATGTCTAGTAACTATACTTAGGCGGGTATGCATAGACTAACAGTTGAATGAATGAAAACTACGGAACTTTTATTTTGTTGATATAGGTACCTATTGGTACTACGAAGTCCCCGTAGCCAACACCATGCCACTATAACATATCTTATAATAATATCAATGATACTGTAAACTGGGTATGTATAATTAAGCATACTGATAGTAACGGTTTGGTTATTGATTAGAAGTAGAATTGACGAGGCTTTGAAGAATTTGAAGGGTATCAGAGAAGCTCTATCGTTGACTCCTTCAGCTTTAGTGTTGGAAAGCATACCTAGGTAATGTTAGATAACTAGGGCTCTAAATAGAGAATGCCCGCGCCTTGATACTAAGTAAAACTAACTTGTCGGCAAAGTCTTGATATATAAGAAATAGACATAAGAAGCTCAAGGCCTAAATTTTAGTTGAAAGGTCTTATATATCAATTATTGGACAATGGAGCTGGGTCAAGTCGCGCGCATGAATCTAGTACTTACCAAATCCAGTAAGTGGGTTGTGCGTTGCCCCGCAACGATCTGGCATACGGGTACAACGATACAACAAATGTTCGAGATGCGATGCGCACCTGGGCGAAATTCAAACCTAATACAATATCATTCATGCATTAAACCTCTACGATAGTCCACCAAGTTCAATTCGAGAAGCAGTTTTGTCGTTTTGAAGCTCGTTGAAGCTCGTTGTTCAGCACGCCTCTAAGAACACTTTCTGCTTTGTTTACTTATCAAGATTGCAGCACGGTCCTGGGACATCGGTGACAATGGTGAGTAATAGAAACCCACTTGACTGCGGAGCTCCCTGCATTGCATCGATCGCCTCTCCTTGGTTTGTGATAGATTGGTTCAAATACTTATACCAAATAGGCTACACCAGCGGGTTACAAGCCATCGCCTCTCGGATACGGTTCACCTCGAAGTTCCCCTTTCCGACGACCAGAGTCTCCCGCGTCACCCTCGTCAATTAAATATACGACACCGACACCGTCTCCTTCAAAACCTAGCGGCGTCCATACACCTTCTAGATTTGCTGCTACAGTAGAATCACCTACCAGCTCGGACGGATTGACTCCTCGTGGATACGGTCAAACAAGCGATATGCCATTTACACAATCTCTCGCTTCTCCCGCACATATATCCTCGCGGACTCAACCGTCACTGCATTCCGCGGCTCAGGGGAATGCACTTTCTCAATTACAGCCGGCACAGCTCCGAGTACTAAGGGATGTATTCCAGATCCTGGATAGAGACAGCGACGGTGTCGTAAATAGGGATGATGTTGTGGACATGCTCAATCAGCTCGGTATGCTGCATATCTTGTACCCTAGGCCATTGAATATCAATACTGACGTAGACCGACTCAAAGGACTGCCATCTAGCCCAGCCGACGTCTCGCAATTCTTCCCCTCGGCCGGCCCGCAAACGACGACCCTTGCGGTATTCCTCAACTCGATAGCTACGACGCTGGCCGCGATGTCACCGAGTGCAGAATTACTATCAGCCTTCTCCGCCTTCGATGACGATGATAGCGGTCAAGTGGACTTCACCGAGCTGCGTGATGCTCTGCTACACACGGCGCCGGAACCAGGAGAGAGGGCATTGACGGCGACTGAGGTGGACAAGATCTTGCTCGGATTCAGTGGAAGAAGAGCTTTCAGCAAGAGTATGGCCGGCGGATTGAGCAAACGCGGTGAGGTATTCAAGTATCAAGAGTTCGTGAACTCCATCGTAGGTGGTAATGGATCGTCAGAGCCGAGTTCTCACGAGGCTTCTGAAGAGTAAAGTTGAAAAAGAAAACTAAAATTTCCCTTGATGAGAAGACCTAATTCTTGTATTATGTACCGGACAATGGGACGGATCGGGGCATTAGTCAGGGCTTCGTGAAAGGCATTTCTTGAGTGCTAGTGTAAGGAGTTACTGCAATTACGTTGCGTTTTTAATACGAAGTCCTTTCGTATTCGGGGGGCCTACAAGGTACTAGGTTAGGGGGTTAGGAGGTTAGGGATTCTATTCAGACTAGACGGTAGACCTTAATGTATTTCAAAGTAGTTGAATTACCTGAAATAAAAAGCGGTATATATTAGAAAGTTGTACCGTAATCCACGCGATTGGGGTTTTTTTATAAGGTAGGTAAGTTGAACTTGGAGATATCGAAGAAATGAGCAAGTATAAAAACGTAATTTCATAGCTTAGATACGCTGTCTGTGTAAGGAACCCTAGGTAGAGACCTTACTGAATTTGGACCGGGGACATGGTTAACGATATCCGAATTCTGGATAGAGTTTGACAGGTTGCATTGTTGAGCCAACCGCCAACCGCCAACTACATACCTAACCAACTACCAACTACCAACTACCAAATACCAAATACCCGGGTGGCACGAGATCATTTCAACCTTATATTTGGTAGATCATGTGCTACGTGAGGATCGTAACGTATTAATGATACTTTGACTGACAAGGTCTGATATCGTTTGCTGTGGTACAAACATAACGTTATCAATATCTGGACCAGCCTCGCGATAAAACAACGTGCTCTGATTGGCGGCTTCTAATTAGAAAATTATAGTCAATTAGAGTAAGCGTTTACAACGGATTTGACCCGGTTGTCCCACGGGCCACGGAGGCCGCCAGGAGTCCAGGACAACCAGAACAACCCATCACCACACGTGAATTATCTTACCTTGTCCCTGCATAAACTGGGTTTAGCGACAATGTTGAGCTACCCGGTTGAACGACCCGCGACCCGACAAGTTACGTAGTGTGGCAGCCGCGTGGCAGGCCAACTTGATAACCCATTACATACCTAGTATCTTTCTGGCTATATAATAGCATTTGCTATGTATTGCGTCAAAGGCTTGAGTTGAAACAAATCCACAAACCCACAGTAGAAGGAATAGTGTATATATGTAAGAACAGACTCGGTTACGGTCACAACTTGGCGGCTTGGCGAGTTCGAGTCCCAATGTTTTCTTGATGCTGCCTGCGGTCATGACGGTATCTTCCCGCTAGCCCAAGCGTTTTGATACCTAAGACTGCTAAGACTCTCATATCAGATTTGTACCTTCCCCATAGAAGCTTCGAGAATCGGTTGAAGAGAAAGGGGTCCATTGGCTGGGGAGAGTGGGCTTGGGTGTTTGGCTGCAGGGTCTTCTGCCGCCCTCGGAACGATCCTTGCGACCCCTGTCCGTCTTTTCATCTCGGCTTACCAGGATTGACTTGTCCGCGCACAGTAGTACAGTAATAACAGCAGGTCTTAACGAACCGCCAACGATGATATCAATTTGAGGTTTGATGAGACTCATATCAGAGGAGATAAACGCCGGAGAAAAGAGACAACAGGATGGCAGGAGAGAGGAGAGTTTCAAGACCAACGCAGAAGACAGGATGTCAGTCTGTTGCCAGAGTGAGCGTTGCAATTTACGAGCACAACGCATTGTTCAGCCTCTCTAATTCTAAGCGTGTTGATGAGATTGGCCTGGCAGCCTGGTAGGATGCTACGTGAACAAGCGTTGCGGAGATATATGGCCATTCAGAACGCTGGACTTGTGTTGTAGACGCTGAACAACTTGTAAACAAACCCATGCCCCTCATTTTGAATTATTGGCCAACCGAACTCGGCCCCTCGAAGAGTTTGATCAACATGTATGGATATTGGTTAGAATTATAGAACAATAGAATAACAGTGGTTGATGTTGTTAAAGGACAGTGGTAGTGAGTGGTTGCTGGCAGGATGCGGGCAACGGGTAGGCAGGTAGGAAGTACTACGTAGTAGCACGTCGTAGTGGGGTGGCTGGAGTTTTCTGGAGTCCTGGTTATTGGAAAGTATTGTACCTAGGTACATATAGGTAGGTATTATGTCATGTATAATACATGACATAGTACATCCCATTTATACATGTACGTGTATACCTACATATGTCGTAACAATTCTAGGCTAAGCATACATATTCACAGGGACATGTACTGATAACCTCTGGTCAATGCACCGACCCGCTGACTGACCAAGTATTCGGGACTTCTTTTTTTTCTGGGTGTTTCTCCAAATTTCACAAATTTCAAATACCAGCCTGATGATTCTTATTCTTATTCAATAGACGCGAGCACACAGGCACATCACTATCTGCTTTTGTGCAAGTTGGCTGTGCGAGAAGGCGAAGGTACCGTGCTGTCCCTGTACATTGGATAAAAAAAAAAAAGTCTTGACAGGCTGATAAATCGTATCTTCCTTATTGTCTTGTCATCTTTCACAATTCTTACATCTTAAACCATCTTTTTGGTTTTGACCGTCCCTCATAACCTTTTAACCTTCTTTCGTCACCGCTGTGCTTTCCCACCAACGCGGCCTTCCTAGTGCCCCTCAAACTTAATTCGGGCATCTTCTAGTCACTCACTTACATTGAGGTTTACACCATTGCTGTTCTCCCAGCTCAGGTTTTTGCCCCAGTTCGACCGAAAAACGAGAGAAAAGAGTTGAACCAAAGAAAAGGTCCCTTTTCTCCTGCAGCCTGCGACTCGACCAGAGTTGGCCTAGTATCTAAAGGGAAGGGCTAGCACCGCGCGGCGGTGTGTCTTACAAGTCGGAATCACGGCGTAAGTGAATTTATTTTTATTTTATTTTTCAAGTTAAAGCAACAATTCATGCCAAATCCACTAGTAGTTGGTCAGTCCAGGAACGCACCACTGAGAGCGCTGTGGCTCTTTGCATGTCAAACGTCAATTGGTATAGCTTAACTTGGTGTTGCGAAATACGGATGACACTTTATTTCTAAGCTTTTCTTATTTCTTGGTCTTTGGGGAATTAACTAACCATTTTTTATTTTTTTCGCACTAGGGCCTACGGGGATCCAGCATCAAGCAGAAGGTTATCGAACAGCGGAAGAGCGTTTGAAGCGGGAACCATAGCGAATTATTATTACCTTGTCTTAGGTAATAATAGAGGTGTGGGAACTTTTTTTTCTTATCTACGTACCGCGCTTGACTAAAGCCGAAAACCTCCATTCCAAATGAAGGGCTTATTCAACTCGAAAAAATCCCCAAAGAAACAAACTGCAGGCGATAGCAGCGAATCTCACCACACCCCCAATTACCAAGACAAGCCACAGCCTCAAATTCCTCGCTCAGAGCAAACTTCTTCAGCTGTAAAACCTTCCATCAGCTCTACTAGATCGTCCCCCACCAAAAAGCCCTTGCGCCCCGCATCGCCTTCCCAGAGGGAGCAGCCTAAATCGCGGACCTCTCGCTCTTTTGCGAGACATTCAAGCGACCAAGGCTCTTCTTCGAGGCGAAGTAAAATCGATACTGATATTCATCCTTTGAATTTACCACCCGAGGAGCTCAAGCGCTTATCTGCTCAGTATAATTTGAACAGTAGGAATTCCGTCGACAAGATGGACAAGATGGATCTCGACAAAGATACCCCGGCCGTACCTCCGACCTCGCCACCTCCTGTACAAACCCAATCTTTTACTATCCCCGTCAACCCTTCTCCTACGAATGGAGTGAAGCAGGATGTGAACGATGAGGCGGAAGGCCCGGCTCCTCCGCCTCATAGGTCGAACCCTTCCAGTCCGGTTCCCACCGATGCGGAAGCGGCCGAGGCTCACAAGGCCGACGGAAATAGATTTTTCAAGCAGAAGGACTATGCACGAGCAATTGCTGAGTACACGAGTGGTATGCTCTTGCGAAATCACATCATATTGCGCTTTTGAAAACTGACACGTATACTAGCTATCCAGCTTATCCCTACCGAGCCTACATACCTTAGCAACCGTGCCGCGGCTCTCATGTCTGACCGCCAATATGAGGCTGCTCTGGACGACTGTGTTCGAGCTGTGGACCTAGACCCCCATAACCCTAAGTACCTGTTACGTTTGGCCCGGATTTACACCAGTTTAGGACGTCCTGAGGAGGCAATGATTACTTTTGGCCGTATCCAGCCTCCTGCTTCTGCCAAGGATATGGCTGCCGCTAGGGAAATGCAGCATCACGTCAGAGCAGCCCAGGATGCCCTTGACCGCGCCATATCTGGCTCCATGGTTTTACACGCTTTGGACCAGGCTGAGAAGTTGCTTGGACCCGGGGCGAGCAAGCCTAGAAAATGGCAACTGATGCGAGGCAATGCATATCTCAAAATGGGAGGTGCTAATTCATTAGGAGAAGCGCAGAACGTAGCAATGTCTATTCTAAGGCAGAACAATCTGGACCCGGAAGCATTAGTGTTACGGGGACGTGCACTATATGCCCAAGGAGAGAATGATAAGGCCATCACGCATTTCCGAAAGGCGCTCAGTTGTGATCCCGACTTCAAGGAAGGTGTGAAATGGCTTAGAACTGTTCAGAGGTTGGACAGGATGAAGGAGGAGGGCAATGCGGAGTATAAGGCTGGACGGTGGCAGGCTGCTTTCGACAAGTACTCAGCTGCTCTGGAGGTTGATCCCTCCAACCGAGGCACCAACTCGAAGCTGTACCAAAATCGGGCCCTCTGCCGACTTAAGCTGAAGCAATTCGCCGAGGCGATTGCCGATTGCGACGAAGCTTTCAACTTGGACCCTTCGTACATCAAGGCCCGGAAGACAAAGGCTAACGCATTGGGTCAAGCGGAGCGGTGGGAGGATGCCGTTCGCGAGTGGAAATCGATCCAGGAGTTAGATCCTGAAGATCGAAGCATCGCCAAGGAAATTCGCAGGGCGGAGCTAGAGCTTAAGAAGAGCCAGCGTAAAGACTACTACAAGATTCTCGGTGTCGGTAAAGATGCCGACGAGGCCGCTATCAAGAAAGCTTATCGCAAGCTTGCTATCAGGCACCACCCGGACAAGAACCCCAACGACGACGCGGCCGCTGAACGTTTCAAGGATATCGGCGAAGCTTACGAGACCTTGAGCGACCCTCAGTACGTATCAGCTCCTCATTCCTAATCCTTCTTTCACTAATAATCTTGCAGGAAGCGTGCTCGCTACGACAGCGGAGACGATCTGATTGACCCCTCCGACATGTTTGGTGGTGGCATGGGTGGTGGTATGGGCGGCGGCATCGACCCGGAGATCCTCTTCAGCATGATGAACGGTGGTGCCTCTTTCGGCGGGCCAGGCTTCGGTGGTGGTGGTGGCTATGGTGGTCGCACGCGTCCTCAGGGTTTCCCAAGTGGATTCCACTTTGGTTGACAATCCAAGCCTGGCGAGGATATCAATGGCGATTCTGATTATGATCGAGACGTTAGCTCCGAGAGTGAGCGGGCACCTTGGGGCCAGTTTGAGCAGGGGTCTTCCCACGGAGTGACTTTAGACGAGAGGATTACTCAATTCCGCTGGTCCTTGATAGCAATGGCGTGCGCGTTCGTGTTCCTCCCGCTGGAATTGGCCACGACGTTGCTTGTGTTGTATATCTGCGGTGTGCTAGCGAGGTCATCGGGCACGATACGCGGGATCCTGTAAAGAAGTAGGGACTTAGGGATAGACGCTTCATCATCGCCGGCGTTAGGGGGATCATATTGAAAGCCATTTACGTGGTGTCCTATCTCAGATGCCCTAGAGAACGGGCGACTACTTAGGACTACAGCATAGGAACGAGCAAGGGACTGCTCGCTAAAAAAAAAACACACACAGAACTAATGATAGATACACCTCAATGAATAGGCATGAACCGGATTACTTTGTTTGTTTTTTGTTTTTAGGCGATGCATTTACTTTATATTTTTTCATATGCCGTGTATATGAGTCTCAATGCCAGCGCGTCATGATAGGTGCATTTCGATTCGATGTTTTGAATTCCATGGTTAGATACCCGCTTTAACAGCAGTACATGTGATATTACCTACAATTTACAGTTAAGTTCAGCGTACATAGACGTACATACATACCTACATACATCCTACATACCTACGTAGGTAGGTAACTTAGTATATCCCCTATATCCTGGTGACCGGTAACCGAGCCAGGCATTGGAGAAGGTCCGGCTGCCGGGGCTAAAATAGGATGTTACCTTGTTGAGATTCCACCTGCAACCCATATACCTAGGTGGTAGGTACGAACCCACCTATAACCTAGGTACCTAACGTACCACCGAAGCTACTTCCGACTTCAACCAACTTCAACTTCAACTTCAACTTTGTTAGCTAAGGTTTCTTAGCAACAATATTTATAATTGTTAACCACTTTATATAGGAAAATGTAACCACATTCGTTATAGTGTATTACAATATAGTATATTAAACCCAATCGATCAACCCCGACCTTTCCGAGCATCCCTCCACATCATCTCGCGCGCGCGCAACCAACCCGGCCGACCCCTCCGTAACCCCAGCATCATCTATACGCCACCAATCTCACCAGCATCACCACCAACCAGCGCAGGGAATCTTGGTACCATGGCGCGGTCTCGCATTCTCTGGCGTTTCTTGCCCTTCAGCCGCACGGCGACGCCGCTGCAGGCTACGACGTATCTCCTCGGTATCGCGCTCTTCAGCATTTCCTTCCTCGTCTTCCTTAACTCGGCTGTCTCGTTTGTCATCACGGACCTGCTGGGCGTGAAGACGGGCGTCGGCGACATCGTCGGTACCCTAGGCTTTGTCGACGAGGTCGTTGCGCTCGTAGCTTGCCCGGCTTGGGGCCTGGTTAGCGATCGTCTGGGCGTGCGCTGGGTCGCCGTCCTGGGGTACGGGATTATTGCTATCAGCCTGTTCTGCTTCGTCCAGGCCCGCGATGTGTATCCTGATTTAGTCATTGCGCGGATCGCGTTTGCGCTGGGCGCTACGGCTGCGGCGACTATGGTTACGGCTATTTTGCCTGTGCTGACGAGTGACGAGAAGGTGGGTGCGGATAGCGAGGATGGGTATGACGGTGCGGATGGAGGGGACGGGGATGCTGCGAGTGCTGGTAGCGCGGGCTCGAGCAGGAAGTCGAGTCATCATCAGAGGGATAGCGTGGCTATGAGCCTCGAGAGCGACGCTACGATTACTCCCGAGATATTTACCCAGAATCTATCGCGTAATCGGAGGGGCAGCGATGATTCGGGGGACTCCTCTGACACATATGGCAGCGTTGAGAGTAAAGGTGGCAGACCATCAGCTCTCGCAGGATATGTAGGCTTGTTTACAGGCTGCGGGGCTTTGGTCGCTCTATCTCTTTTCCTACCGCTGCCGACACGATTTTCCAGGAAAGAGGGCGTCACGCCCGCGCAGGCCATCACGCACAGTTTCTATGTCGTTAGCGCCGTCGCACTGGTCGTGGCCGTCTTCGTATTCTTCGGCCTCCGCGGTCTACACGGCGAGGAAGGGAAGGGATGGCGCATGCTTCTTGGTTTGCGCAGGCCACAAGACGCTGCGGGACCCAATGGTTCCTCTACAGGAATTTCCTCTTCGTCGCCCAAACCGCTCCCATATCATAAGCTTTTGATCTCATCGCTTCGCCTTGGTGCGACGGACCCGCACATTGCACTGGGATATCTGGGGGGCTTCGTGGCGCGTGCGAGCACCGTCGCCATCTCGCTTTTCATACCGCTCTATGTGAACGCATTCTTCATCGGCAACGGGTACTGCCGTGGCTCGCCGAATGACCCGTCGCCCGACCTGAAAAAGGAATGCCGCGCTGCGTATGTCTTAGCCTCGATTTTGACTGGTGTTGCGCAGCTAGCCGCTCTATTGTGCGCGCCTATATTCGGGTATGTCAGCAGGAAGAGCGACGGGGTCAATCTACCCCTTGTATTCGCCTCCCTGCTTGGTTTCGTGGGATGGATCGCGTTCCCGCGACTCCAGAGCCCCGAGTACGCTAACGTGAGCGACCGCGGCGGAAGCCCGGCTGTCTTCTTGGTGATGATACTCGTCGGCATCAGCCAGATCGGCGCCATCGTGTGTAGCCTCGGGTCCCTAGGCCGTGGCGTTCTGGCTGCCGACGTACCTGTTATATCTAATGACGAGGAAGGGAATGGGATCCCGCGCTCCAACGACGACGCCGAGACAGACGCCCTTCTGGGGCAAGAAGCTGGTGGAAGCAGCAGCAGCAGCAGTGATGTTAGTCCCAGACGAAAGGAAGGGACACTAGTATCCCGTGTGCAACTGAAAGGCTCTATCGCGGGCGTTTACTCGTGGTGCGGCGGCGCTGCGATTCTGCTCCTGACTAAACTGGGGGGTTACCTGTTCGACGTGGCGTCCCGCGGGGCCCCGTTTTACATGATGGCTGTCTTCAACGGCATATTGTTTGTCGCGAGCATAGCCATTGGGATTATCGTGAGGAGAAGTAAGCATACGAGTAGTAGGTCGTTGAGTTTTTGAAAAAGGAATACATAGGGCTAAAAGGAGTAGAAACGGAAAGGGGTGTAGTAGAATCCCTACGTTAGGTAACTTTTGCTATATAGTAGTACTGTGGTGAGGTGAGGTGAGCGGTTTTCTCGCATTGTAAAATAGGTAATCACGGTGGTCTAACTGTTTCATATACTCGTCCTACCTAGTGTTTGGTTTTGCATCATGGCGAGTTAACTAGGCACCTAAGGTCGTCTCTAAAACGGGATTCAATTTCGGCCTTGCATTTTCTTTGCGGTAAGGTTAGTTATATATAATCGGTTATCTAGCAAGTCCTAAGAAACAAGTCATTCTAGCGAAGAAGTGGTTGGATGTCCTCTCCTAATAAATTAATAGTATAGACTCGATACGAGCGCTAGGCGTAAAGGTACGATGGATAGAACTGTATAGGATACTCTATTGAGTGACGATCTAACTTTTAGCAGGATAGCGTTTGAGCGTATATCTCAAAAGATCAAGATGTAATTATATTACGGATACCCTTTGCCTTTCTCTATTCTCTACCTACATGGGGCGTAACTCATCTCATCTCTCACACGCCGGCCAGCTAGTTCAACACAGGCGGTTGATTCAGAGCCATCCTCTTAGCTACAGATCCGTACTTAGCCTGCCAGGCATAGAAATACACTAGCGCAGCAAACGGCTGACCCAAGATGGTGAAGGAGACCCAGAAGATACAGTTGCCGATGAGTCGGCCATGCGGGCCCTTCATCTTGGAGAACGGCCGCGTGAACCATATCAGCGGGATCTGGACGATCATCCCCATAAATGCGACTCCTATATTATTATTAAGTTAGCGCGTGTCCTGCTTGAAGCATCGGATTGTGGAAGAAAGGGGGGGAAATACATACCTATGGGATTCTTGGTTGGGATACCGACTAGAAGTTCGTGTAGTATAGCTGAGACGAAGAACACGGCGATACTGGCTAGCTGCATGCTCCAGCCCCTGCCTATCAAGGGCGAGAAGATGTGCCTCTTCATGAACTGGTAGACGGGCTTGTTCCAGAGCCGCCAGTAGTCTCCCAGGCCAGCCGAGTTCCACCAGTCGTCGTAGAAAGACCGGTCTCCGAATCGCATAATCTCTGCTAGCGCGTTAAGAGCCGATTGGAACAGAGCAAAGAAGCCAGCCAGCCAGATGACAAGCGAGATTGTGGACAGCTTTAGAAGCCGCTCGACAATCGATACTAGGTCCAGGTGGTCTATCTTGTCAAGCGAGTTCCATAGGACCGGGGCTGCATACTGGGCGCTGCAGAACCATATGAAGACGCTCAGACAGACCAATTCGCTGAGTCGCTTAACGACGAAGAGCCATCTGATATTCTTTGATCGAGGGTATACCGGCTGGTAGACGAGCGTCGGGGCCCACCAAAAGTAGGTCAGATTGCTCATCGTGATATTCTGGGGATACGGGCATTGTGCATATATTTCAGGGAGGATAGCCAATTCGCCTTTGACCGGGTGGAGATACGCATGACGAAGATCCCTATTCGTAAGTGCGTATGACAAGACCTTCATATAGACGATAATGACATGAAGTTCCGTTATAGTACCAATTAGGGGGTGGTAGATGTGGAAATAGACGACCCAGCTGTGGACGGCTAGAGCCAGAGTGGCGTTTAGGAGATGAGCAGTCCTAATAATCTTCCACTTGGACTCGAAGTTGGCCTGTTGGTCTTCGGTCGGGCTTGCGGTCCCTCCTTTGCTAGCAGATTGGGCTCGCGAGATGCGTGCCTGCTTAGCGGCGTACCATTCGAACGAGTAGGCAATGAAGAGGTGGCAAGGAACTAGTATATAGAGAAGGAAGCCAAGGAGGACATCCTGACGGCGGAAATCGTGGCATGTTATACATATCAAGTTCCCGTACTAGTTACCGTTTATGTAAGTGAGGGTTTGACCGGTGATATCCAGCTGTTTGCTAACCTTTTGCATGTTCTCTATTACCAACCGTAGATTTCCCACCACTGGAAAGAGTCAGCATGTTCCCGTCTCTACGGTAAGACGGCTGAGAGGTTATATTATACCTAGCACGATAACCATCAAATTTCTAAACCCTAGGAAACTCGGAGTGGCCGTTGTGTCATGGCTTAGTGTGGACGGTCTCGACTCGGAATGAACCGCGGTAACATGTCTATATTTCCTAAAAGCATACGACTTCTTTTCTCCATTTGTATGTTCATTGGGGACCTCGACTGTGGCGCTGGAGGCGGGCTCTTTCGTAGTGTCGTTTCGTCGAGCAGTTACCGTCCTCGTGGGGGTCTCGAGACTTGTACTAGTAGCCGAGTCCATGATGGGTCTTGTATAATCGTAATGGACTACGTCTATGCTAGTAAGAAGGTTTCGCCGTGAGGGCACATCTATGTAGGAGTTCTCGGGAGAAAGCTTTAGAGCGGTTGGGGAGCTAACGGGAAACTGGTTAACTACACAGTTATCAGCGAGAGTTTCGCAGAAATCTATCTAGCCCTCTTCTATAGCCTCGGACCGACAGCACCACCTCATGATAGGCGCAATCCTTTGTGAGAATGGCTAAGACATGGTCTCGGTTAAAATTCGTATCGTGATGCGCTTTCGGCCTGGTATAAGAGCAAGAGTGATGTAATACCTTGGATGTGAGGAGGTGGTCCCGTTACGCATATGTACCTAGAAAATATCTAGAGAGGGGAATGTGGCATCTTGCAGTACGTTGTCGAATAGATCAATTGGAATGTAGCCACAAATGTGAAAAATAATAGGTAATATGTAGAAAAAGATGTATGCATGTATGTATGCATGTATGTCTAATTAGAGACATGTCATGATTAATATGTATTTGAAGGCAGACCACGGGAGTCCCTGGTCGAACTTTAAGCCTATTTTAGTCCTCCAAGGGAAAGCCGTACCGAGCTGCGAGTTGAACCAATGGGTTAGTATCGCCATCATTGCATCCATCAGAGACCCTGTCGATCGAGGTTCTGTGGGGACAAGGAGTGTTATCCTTCTGTCGCATTGGATATTGAAAGAAGAGCCACTTGATTAGTGGGGAAAGATAACTATAGATATTATCTTAATTACATAGAAGAAGAAAAATCAGTCGGCCGAGAGCTGGGCCAGCATTAATGTAACATCAATTGGCATGTGAAAGAAAGAAAGAAGGAAATTCATTCTCGTCAGTTTGGTAAGACAGGCGACGCCAAATTCGTAGCTTCCTACCTAAGGCTAGGATCGTACAAGTGCAAGTTCCGACACTTCCATCCATCGAAGATGTAAAAGCCCCACTAAAAGTGGCTACTCCCCGAACGAACAGGCTGCCCGACAGGTACATAGTGCACTGTGGCTTAACTTAGCTTCAGCCGCAGCCTTCCGTTGTGGCGCAAGCTTCCCTTGTCGAAATTACCTGCAAGACGTTCATTGTTCGCGTCTTTACATGTAGAAGGTAGTCCCTCATCCCAAGCTCACCCAATCATCAATAATTTTAATCGACCACGACACATAACTCTAAATACCGAATTCACTAAATCTACTCATAATATTTGATTTCTCACGCGAATGTAGCTATAGCCGACTATGGCATACGATCCCCGTGGCGATCATGGCGCGCCGGGCGGAGGTCATGAAGCTGGCAACTTCGTAAGGGCCAGAGGTCGACGTGAGTATTTTGATAATATATTACACTCTTCCCTCAAGCTATTGGCCTCCTTTATTTGGCTTGTTTCGTATTTGATAACCGCTGTTAAGATTTAAATGGGTATTTGATTTAACTAGCCGACACATCTGTTGAGCCTACTCATTTTCATCTGTGTCCATTGGCGTATTAATGCTTTATATAGGCCCTGTCACCGATTACGGCTCTACGGTTGCTCATTGGATGCGCAATCGCCAGCCACGATTCAAAGGCGCCTTCAGAGGCGAGGTCGAACGGCCTAGTGCTAGCTACATCGTTGACGTGAGTTGGGCGCCGATGACACTTTGGTTAAGCAAACTAAACCATATATAGATGCTCCCACCCCTGGCAAGAGTTACTAATCCTGCCGACTCTGTCCCTACAAAACATCTTCATTCGTCTTTGAATAAGATCAAACACCCAGTCAATGTTGTACGATGGACTCCGGAAGGGCGTCGATTATTAACCGCCTCCAGCAGTGGCGAGTTTACGCTATGGAACGGTACTGGATTCAACTTTGAGACTATTATGCAAGCTCACGATGTTGCTATCCGGGCCTTGGCTTACTCGCACAGTGACGACTGGTTAATATCAGCTGATCATGATGGTATTATTAAATATTGGCAGCCTAACTTTAACAATGTGCAAGTAATCCAGGGCCATCACGACCCTATCCGGGATCTTGCTTTCAGCCCTAACGACTCTAAATTTGTTACGGCATCTGATGACTCCTCTCTCAAGATCTTTGATTTTGCTGGTGGTGTTGCCGAGTCAACACTACAAGGCCATGGCTGGGATGCCAAAAGCTGCGACTGGCATCCTACAAAGGGACTGATCGTTTCGGGATCAAAGGACCATCTCGTCAAGCTCTGGGACCCTAGAACTCAGCGTTGCCTAACCACCCTCCATGGTCATAAGAATACCATTACTAAGACATCATTCGAGCGTGTCATGGGCTGGTGTCTTGCGACTTCAGCGCGAGACCAAACAGCGAGGATATTTGATATACGAATGATGCGAGATATATGTCTTCTTAGAGGTCACGAGAAAGATATTTCTACTCTTGCTTGGCATCCAATTCACTCGAATCTGCTCAGCACCGGAGGTAACGAGGGCTCTTTGTTCCACTATATACTAGATGAGCCGAATACCCCGGCAGGACAGGCCATCAGCACGGCAGTTTACGAGAGCCCAGATCCGTTGACAGCACCTGCGCAGTCCATATATCCAACGCACAAGGTCCCCTATGCCCATGACTTCGCAATTTGGTCCCTTGACTGGCATCCTCTCGGCCACATCTTGGCTTCGGGCTCGAACGATCGTATTACTCGGTTCTGGTCCCGTGCCCGGCCTGGCGAGACAGATATCTTCCAAGATAGATATCATATTGGTGAGGCGGCTGCGGAAGCTCAAGGAACTTGGGATCGACGCGGCGGTCGTCGTCAACGTCAAGAGGAAGAAGAACAGGAACTTGAGGATGAGGCAGAAGGTTTGGTTGATCAGAAGATGCCGCTTAGGCAGCCGGCATCTGCATTTCCAGGTCTCCCCGGCCTCTCCTTGCCAGCTAACGGCATTCCTCCTCCGCCTCCTCAAATTCCCGGAGTCGGTGCTATGTCTGCGCCAGCTACAGTACCACCTCTACCGTTCCCAATCCCTGGCGCGGTTGGCGCTCCACCTCCACCGCTCCCAGGTGGTTTAGATCCGAATAACCCAGCCGACTTTGCCAAGATAGCGGAGATGATGCAGAAAGCCGGCCTACCTCCTCCACCACCTCCCAACATGCTTCCACCAGGTTTATTTCCGCCTCCGAATTTCCCAATGCCACCCGGGTTTCCACCTCCTCCACCTTTTGCACAGACAAGTGCTGAAATGCAGGCTACCGACAGCAACGGTCGGAGAAGAGCACCCCTCCCCAGTCAGGAAGAAAGCCTACGAATGGAACAGAAAAAGGGGAATTATACTAGAGTGCGTTAGTAACCGTCGAGCTCTATCCCCAGTACCTTATAAAAACCTACTTCCATAATTTCTACCGCGTTCAGCTATTCAGGGTACCCAGCTCGAGCGGGTCAGAGATTTCGCTGGTCGACGAAAGGCAACGGCCCATTCGATAGGTACGAGCAAGAGTGAGCTCATACTCAGCGGAGTGATCAGAAGCAAGCACCTGAAAAAATACAGAAGGTAGAACATTAAGTCATTAATCTGACTGGCTTAGAATACGTCAGAATTTAACTAAGGAGGTCGGGGTTGATAGATAGGGCAATTTCTTCTTTGTTCAAGGACGTCCCGATTCAATGATGTACAATTGACAACATTACTGCATATTTCGGGAGTAGAGCGTGTACGATGAGCATGGACGATGCCCCTTGGCCAAAAGGGCGGATACCCCAGGCGTTGAAGGCGTTGTTGGGAGAGTTTAGCTAGGTTGCGGAAAGGAATAGCGATAAATTTCACGATAACACGTCTATATCTGTTCGCACCTCACCTCGCTAACATATCCAGACGAGATGGCAGTGCCAACTCTAGGTCCTCGTAATGTTCGTATGCTCTTATTTATTGGCATGAGACTTTATAATTTCCTTAGACGCATCGAATAGTACATGTACATGTAGTCGCTCTTAAGTATAGTAGAGTGTGGTTAGAATCCAGTAAAGATAATGATATGCTATTTCAAGTTATGCTATGCTATGCTATATATTCCTCGTTTCAAAACTTTCCAATAAGCTAATCTACTACCCGCCACTTGCCAAGAGGAGGAGGCGTATTCGATTTCCTCGTTGAAAGTTTGTGTGTAGAAAGCAGAAAGCAGTAAAGCTATTGGAACGAATCAACCCCCAAACGCCACGACTCGCCCCGTCCCAAAAAGAAGGGGAGACAAATGCAAATGCAAATGCAATGATCAAGGTAGAACCGTGCGTCCCAATAAAGTTACATGTATGTGCATATTGATCTTTATCTAGCTCGCTCTAATTTCTAACCGCGAATTCTACATGCATGAGATATGTACGTTAGGTTAGGTTAGGTAGTCTTGCGTGCGTTAGATACGTACATCATCATAAGCCCCGTTTAATTCTTTGAAAAAAAAAAAAGTTAAAAGTAGAGTAGTTCCGCGGAACGGAAAGACATTACTAGTAACCAAGGATATCGCGAGTCGAATAGTTATGGCGATAGTTACCGAAATAAATAAACATCTGTCTGTCCGTCCTAGCGCTTCGCGACGGCGGAAGAAGAAGCGCCCTGCTGGGACTTCGCAAACGCCTTTTGCCGGTTGGCGTAGTCTTTGATGACGAGGGCGCAGGGGGCTTCGGTGCAGAGGCGCCTGCGGCGCTGGGCGGGGAGCTTGGTGGCGAATTCGAGGCCGCTGGCGCGCTCGACGGCCTCGACGGGGACCTCGAAGTCTGTTAGGGGTTTGTCGTTGGGGATGGGGGCGTTGGGCAGCACGAAGGCGCCGAGGGCTACGTTGCCGCCGACGGCTCCGTCCTCGGCGAATATGACCTTGTAGAAGTGCGTCGGGACGGCGACGTTGGGCGGGTTGCCGATGACTTCGTACCGCACGTACCACTTGTTGTCTGTCGGGTCGCGCTTGGGCAGGTATAGCGGGCCCGTGACGACGCGCACGCTGGGATACCGCGACGTCAGGCCCCGGCAGAAGTCCTCGAAGTGCGCCCAGTAGTCCCGGTTGAAGCCCTCGCCGACCTGCGGGCACATGTTGGTCAGGAAGAAGGTCTCGTCCATGGCGGCTTGGCCCCAGCGCGCGTCGGCCGCGGGGACCTGGTGGCCCCGGTCGTAGCCCGAGCGGAAGTAGTCCTTTAGCCGCGCGCGGAACTTTTCGGGCACGGCCTCGTCTTCTAGGAATGTGCTGTGCTTGCGGTCGCCGTCTCGGATTGCTAGCGACGCTGGCGTGATGTGCTCTGCTACCCAGTGCGGGTTACGCAGTCGGCGGTCGAACGAAGAGATTAGCGCTTGCCGCGTCGCGATGTCGGCTACCGGGCCCGGGAAGCCATATTCGAAGAGGCCGGCCGGGTCGACGGGTCCAAGGTTCGCGGCGGCGGGGGCCGAGGTCGACAGGCCCGTCTGCGCGGTTTGTTGGTTCGGGGGAGTAAATATTTGCTTAGCTGGGATGGGGATCGGTGCGGAGCCTCCTGCCGTAGGTGAGGCCGAGGAGGTAGTCGTCGTTACGGATATAGTCTTGCTTTCGAGATTACGGTCTGATCGTAACGCGTACATAGTAGCTGTAATGGCGGCGCCGGCTCCTGCGCTTGCCGCTGCGATAACTGCTAACGTAGTTTTTGACATGGTGGGCAAAAAAGGCGGGCTCCCTCTCTAGGAAGCTAGTCGGTACTCTTTTGAGTTTTATACGAAGGAAGGAAGGAAGGAATATTTGCGATGAAAGAGGCCGAACGGGCGGTGTGGAAGTCAGGCGCGGTTGTGTGTGAGCAATATGCGGCTCACGAGGGGAGTGTTGCAGGCGCCCGCGTGGTGGTGAGGCGTGCAGCAAATGTCTTAGACGGGATCTTGGAAATTTTGAGATTTTCAGCCTCGAGGTAGCGTTGACGAGGTGGGGGGGGGGGGGATTTCTCTTATCGATAGACTAAGTGGGACGCGATGATTGGCTAAGATGGGGGGCTTGTTTTCTGGATTGTACATAGTGCAAGGTACCGAGGTGAGCACAGACCAACAGTTTATTTTAGTCAACCCGTTCCTCGTGCAGCTCGTGGCACCGGATGCACCTGTCAACTTTACATACATGCTAATGTTCCCTTCAGCCCTAAAACCAAAGATGGATTTACCTCTATCACATGGCAGAGTACCTACATCTTGAGTACCATCCATGCTGATGATTTGTGAGATTTAATACGAAGTACGAAGTACCAATAGCTCTTCGATACCTCTCAATTTCGAACCATGACGTCACCTAACTTAGAGTCTTAGATACCTGCCTAACATACAACCCCGTGCTGGCAAATCAAATGATATTCTTCAACGAATATAAACGATCTGATTTGTTATTTACAGGCACGTTACATTCGTCGTCGGAATCGAACCGAAGATACAAGAGACAAGTACGTAATATACAAGAAGATGTTAGGCGTAGTTACTGATATATTCTATTCGTTACTTGGTAGTTAGAGGTATTCTCATACGTCTATCTAACACTGGCTGACTGCATTGTGGTCGTTTATCAGTCTATATAAGTCTATATCCAAAAACGTCATTTCTAAGGGTATACGCAAAACCACCAAGCTATTATTTCCTCGGCTATCACGGTTCTTCCTTCAAAAACCAATACTTGATCACATGGGACTCATGTTCCCTATATTGTTCCAGTCAAATTTCAACTCAAGCCCTGTGCTCGGGATTCTCCATCAGCTCGTGGCTTTCCTCATGCCGGCTTGTTTCGCTGCTTCTCTCAAGACGAACGCTGCTTGCGTTCTGCTTCGCCTCGTGGATCTGTCTAAGGCCCTGCTCAACCAGCGAGGGTACCTCGGAAAGTTCATCCTTCTCAGCTAACGCATATGAAGGTCCGTATTTCTTCAACGCGCTCTCGAATTTAAGATACTCGATCCCTTGGTGGATCAGTTGAACAATAGTGACGGCAAGCAATATGGTAGCAGTCGTCTGGCCAAAATCCCACCTGTTCTCATCCTCGCCCTCCAGGTACGGGTAGTTTTCCATTCGCAACTTGATCATCATGTAGAGGTGTACCGGAAATTGTAGCGCGCTGAGTAGCAGCAGATGTTTCCGGAATTTCACCGAGGCAAACAGGGAACCGAACATGACGAGTAAAAGCCATACCGCCGTGATCGCTACGTATGCCTTATCGGTGTTTGGATGGTCAGCTCCCGGTACTGCGAGACCTGTCGTTATATAGCAGTGGCCAGCCTCTTCTGCGGTAAGCGACCATTCATCTAATCGGACTTCGAGGAAGATGGTAAGTCCTAAAAACAAGACGGCAAAAGCGTATGAAACGCGGAAGCGACCGGTCCAGTAAGCCGGGAATATCTTATGATGGGGTCGCGATTTAAGCGATTTAGCTCTCATGAAGGTCCAGCAGACAAGCGCCGCTGCATTTGAAACGCTGTGTACGAAATAGAGTAAGTGAACGAACTTGCTAAAAGATGCCATGAATGATCAAGTTTTGAATTTCTTACCCGACGAAACTAACAGTGTCGTAAACCAAGTGTAGATGATATAAGTCGATTTCCTTTCCATGTGCAAGTGCCGTACCGATAAGTGCGATTCCTTTATATAAACCGTAAGCCCAAACTACCTAATGTATAGGTAGGGAAGAAATAAGCATAGCTATGAAAGAGTGTACCAGTGATCATTTGCAAATCGTTTCCAACCATTAATATTTCAGTTACGAATCCGAGTCGTTTCTTCTCGTTCGCACGTTGCGCGGTGCCCTCTTCACCTTGGACTTCGAGACGGCCGAATTTTGTTAGGAAAAACGCCCAGATGGACAATACTAGCGAGATTAAAGCTTGCACGCTGAAACCGATTAAGACCTATACGCGTTGGGTGGGCGTTAGAATTGACAAGATTCGAAATCCAAAAACGGGAGCGCGTTGATCTCACTCCGTAGCCCGCAATATCGGGCATGGCCTCGCCGACTTTCTCACATTGCGTCGGTTCTCCGTGTAATTCGGGCAACTCAGATGCTTCCATATCTTAATCGTACGTAGGTATTAGTGAAGACTCTTGGCGAAGGTTATGTACTCGTAGGGCTGAAGAAATCGAGCTGCCAAGTTGCCAAGCGGGCTCTCAATTGGCGATATAAGAGGCCAAGAAGCAATTATCTCAGGCCAAGCTTTCTTGAAAGTCAGTTCTTAGATAGATATTTGTATCCCATCCCTTCGGACTAATATATGTGTGCCGAAGAGCCTAACCCGTGGTGCATTGGACCCTCATCTCATGCACGGTACTTGGGTAGAGATCCTATGTAAAGCTGAGCTGGCAGGGTCTATCAGGCTGCGCCGCATATCATCCGCATATCATCATGTAAGCCACTACGTTTTGACGAATGACGACTCTTTGCGAAGATCCAATCTTTTTCAGCTGTCGCATGTTTTGAATCCAAGTTGCATTGACTACGTATAAGTGGTTTTTAACCCGTATGAATTCGTTTGCACGGGCTCTGCGGTTTGGTTATCTCTGCTAGCCATCCCCGTTATAGGAAAGATATTCTGAAAATCACTGGTCTTTATTTAGCCTTACCGTCTTTTACTTTCGGAGGATCTCTCTAGCCTTGTTAGGAATATAAACCGAAGGAAGTACTTGAGTGGAATATCCGTTATTAAGGCTGTTTACTACCTGGGTAGCTGTTGTCTATTGTCGCAGGATATTTAAAGATAGGATCCCGCCCCGTTTCTCGTTCTCGTTCTCGTTAGCTTGTACCAGCTATACAAAGCCACATTTTCATCTCTTAACAAATAGAGAGACGACTGGATATGCAGACTTGCCTTCTCGCCCAATAGGCTTGCTCTATGTAAGGAGCCAAACAAAATAGTATCAACGGCCTCTGTTTTGAATAACTGGTATTTGTTGCGGATAGCAAAATCTCGAGATTATTTCGTATATTCTAATAATCAGATGATAGATATATAGGTAGATAGGCAAGTTCACAGTAGGCGAGGTCATATCAAATTGGCTTAGAAGTGTGGTGTTGGTATTACTGAGTCGATGGAGTCGGCATATGGCATGAATGACGACGGAGAGCGGTTCGTCGAAGTCGAGTAACTGATAGGTTCGGATATCGTGTTATTTCGTCATGCCAAAAAGAAAGAGAAAAATACTAAAAGATGAGATGTCCATGGCAAATATAAGCTTGAAAAGGATATTTCTCCAGTAGCCGTAGACATGCGCTATTCGTGTAGAGGAGTGCCAAGGTGATGAGTAGTAAGTAGTAAGAAAATCGGTCGCACGACGTCTTATTTATATTATTGCATCCTAGGTATCTACCTAAGCACATAAACGCCTTACATATCTGTACGTATACCTCTGACCTACATGCATGTATCCGATTTATCTATTGTAAGCGCCACGATGAGACTACCTTGAGGTTAAGGTGTTCCACTTTTGGACACTTACACAGATCCATCGTATACGCCCGGTTACACAAAGTTCTTGACTCCCCTCTATCGTGATACAAGCTAAGCAGGGCTAATCCGATTTGACAAGTTTTACGTATAGCTAAGACGAGTGCCGGACAAACTTTGAGTTTATAAGGAACAGCTTATAAGGAACGTTAAGCGGGTTGGAGTATGTCGGAGACCGGACTACACCGCTTAAAACGTGTATCACATGTAGGTCCGTCAAGGTTCTCCCTTATCCTGCCGTGTCCAGACTATCTATATTTCGCAGCCTTAGCTCAACCCAATAAGCATCGTTAAGTTGCCGCGTATGAAGAACTTTCTCTTGGTCACCTGGTAGACGAAAAGCAAAAGTCGGAGACCCCAACTAGACTCTACTACGTACACTGAGGTAGGGTTATCGTTCATAACTCTCTCCGGTGTCCACCGCGGGAACCAACATTAGTGTATGTAGTTCAGACAGGCCGACCGACAGGGTCCCAACACTCAAACCTGAATCCCTAGGTACCTTGAGTGGGGTTATGAAACAAACCGTCGACGTGACTTTTACTTGTACGTTTCTGAGGTTTACGCAAGGTTGAATGAGATTGCCAGACAATGTGAATACCTATACCTAGGTTAGTTGTCTTGCTCAACTTGTCAACTTGGAATATGACAACTCTACTAAAATGATGTCCAAGTACTTAATGATTAAAAGGCTCTCAAAAGGGATGGAACGTAAAAGATAGAGCCTCAAGTTTCAGCTTTAAAGCCTCATCTCGAGTTGGAAAGGTTGAGCAATAACTTATAAGTAACGACCTTGAGGGCAGGAGGGCAGGAGGGTTACCCCAAACTTATGTACATAGTATATGTGGAACCTGGAGTTCCCTTACTGCCTTATTACTAAGGGTCAAACAAAGATTGGCCATCAAGGTACCCGTCAACGCATGGCTTGGCAAAGCTTGGCACATCATCATAGGCCTTCTACCCAATCAGATGCTGCACAAAAGCAGCCTCTGTCCCTTCCCGCATTGTTACATCTGTAGGTCGGTAGCCACTTCTACGGATCTGCCTACATCTTAAATACACAAGCTAAATAGAAAGAACTTTCCGTCTAACACATCACATCACATCGCATCACTTACAAAGTTATTGTTATTGCTATTGCTATTATTTTCTTCTTCCTTCTATATATATATAAACCCGCTCCAAATTCTTGCTTCTTTCCGCTTTGTTGAAAATAACTAGAGAGTCTTGTTACTACGCCACCCTAAAACGGAACTTATCAGACTGCCGAAAGCGTCTCCAAATCTGCCAGCCTCATCAACATTATCAGATCATCGGAACCCATACCACTCTCAACTCCATGTTCTCATAATCTACCAGGTATTCGTTTAAAGCTCGAGGGAGGAAAGGCGACGGCGTGGTGTGATATATCTAACGTCTAACGTCAATTTTGGCCCATCATCCATCATGGAGGTCGCCGAGTTGGACAATGATACGAGGGGTTGGATCTTGTGCCTAGTGAGCGGCGTTGGTGTGTGACCTTAAGCATCAACCATATGGATTGTGCGACTTTCGCTGGTACACTGACTGACTTGTTGAATTCATATAGCATGCGTGATAGGATCCTCTATCATCTGCGTCGATGAAATCGTCCGGCTCTTCCCCGGCAAAAAGGATTTTCGAATACAAGACAGCAATACCTTTCTCGCCTGCTCGCTGAGCTTGAGCTTTGGCGTCATGGTAAGACTTAGTTAGCATCGTTTATTTCAGTTCGAAATATGCTGATATCGTATATTCTAGTTGTTCATGTCGCTGTACAGTATGTTACCTGAATCGAAGGACTACTTTAAGAAGGGAGGCTATTCAGAGCAGGCGTCGGGCTTCGCCGTGATGGCCTGCTTTGTAAGCGGATTCGTGGGTATTCAAGTATTATCGAGATTATTTCACCGGCTCATACCTTCGCATGTCGTCGACTGTGACCATAGCCACGATGATCATGCTTTAGACAGCCATCATACCCATGCAGACGGCTTCAGCCGAAGGCTATCTTCACATGCCTCCCATGCTCGAAGCATCGGCAGACGCAATCATTTCACAAATGCCCATATTGACGGCCCAAAGCCTCTAGTGAGCGAAAACGGACACGCTAGTGAGATTACGCCGCTTCTACAGACAGACACCTCCAACGAGATATATCGTGCCCGACCACTGAGGAGGGCAGAGACCGAGAACCCCACAAATGCTCACTCACCTACAGCCTTGCGTGCCCCTCGCAGTCGAACGCTGACGTCGGACAGGCGACCTTCGATGTTGCAGAAGAGAGTTATGTCCTTTGTGAAAGACACCAAGCCCAATTGCGATGAGGCTGGCCCTTGCTACGGATACTCAGATCCCTGTGGACAAGAATGTTTCAAGCACCTCAGTAGTCGATCCGCACCCCTATCCCGAGCGCCTACTTTACTTCGTTCTCCTACCGTAGGACATACCGAACCGCGTATCGATACGGTAGATGAGGACGGCGATCTTGATACTTCATCTACCGTAAGTCCTACGTGTCGGATGAGTCGTGTGCATTCGCGTGATGTTCACCACGAACATGAAGACGAACACCACTCTGAGATCCTGGAAGACGTTGAGGCCCAGCATCATCATCACGTTCCCGAGAACGCCTTTCTGTCCATCGGCCTTCAGACCTCTATCGCGATCGCTCTACATAAATTCCCCGAAGGCTTCATCACTTACGCAACGAATCATGCAAACCCTTCCCTTGGTTTCAACGTATTTCTGGCACTGTTTGTGCATAATATCTCCGAAGGGTTTGCACTTGCATTACCGCTCTATATGGCCCTAAATAACAGATTCCGTGCCATGCTGTGGGCTTCCGTATTGGGTGGTCTAAGCCAACCATTAGGAGCAAGCATCGCGGTGCTGTGGTTTAAATTGGCCCAGCACACGAATATAACGCCCGACGCTGTGGCGTACGGCTGCCTGTTCGCTATTACAGCAGGCATCATGGCTAGCGTGGCCCTGCAGCTGTTCGTCGAGAGTCTGAGCCTCAACCACAACCAGAATTTGAGCATTTTATTCGCCTTCTTGGGTATGACGCTTCTGGGAATCAGCAATGCCTTCACTGCACACGCCCATTGATTGTAATATGCGCCTCTCCGCCCCCTAATTGGGCAAAGGCGGAGAGGAAACGGACGGCATGCGTCATTAATCGCCGTCTTTTCTTTATTTTAAGGCTACAGGATGGAAATAGGCCAGGGTATCACAATTAATTTTGCAAGCATCATGCGCGGCGTCCTCGGAGTTTTTACGGATATGAGTGATGCCAGGCACGAAACTCATAATTCAAAAGGGTAACCAGTCGAAATCGCAACTTACATGCCCAGGCTCGCAGGGAAGCGGGAAAGGAGAGGAACTATCAGTGTATACCTACCATAAGGCTAAGGCAGAGTGTTGCATACGTTAGCTTTTTTTAGTATACGGTGGCCAAAGTAGCAACAGCTTGAATCGAAAGGCTTGTTTCTTCTTGCTTACCATACAGGTAGCTAGGTAGCTAGTTAGGTATATATATATTCATTACGCCCCGCCGTATTCCGAACTTAACAGCTTAACGTACGACTCTCCTTATTACCACTTCGTGCTTCTCTTCGCTGGTTTCTCTTCTCCCACCGCCATCACAATCTGCTCTGTTCCCTCTCCTGTCCCGGCGTCAAAGCACCGCTCATCAAAAACTCTCCGCCGTTCCTCTCTTCCGGCCGCGGGTATCCATGCAACACCATCTCCCTCCCGCCGGCAGTCCCCCACCACGCAACGCCGACAGCCGCACGTTCCACGTCCATCTCGCCGTTGACCAAGACATCCCAGAAGCGGCGACGAACACCGTCGCGCAGACGCGGGTCCTCTATCGCGTTCATGGTCTCGGCGGCGCGCGTGAGCCACTCCTCGAGCGCGTGCAGCGGGACGTGGGGTAGCGCATCGACAAGGGCCAGGACGAGAGCCGATTGTTCCGAGACGGGGTCCTCGGACGAAGCCGCGGCCTGCTGTTCGCTCGGCGGCAGGGGAACTGTGGATGCGCCTTGGACGGCGCGGAAGCGTAGGGTTTCGAGGAGGGCTTCGGCGAGGTCGGGGTGCGAGGCGGAGATGGGGAAGGGAGGGCTGGAGATCTGCATGACGGTGCGGAAGGCGAGGCGGAATTGCCGGGGGGAGATGCGGGAGGGGAAGGAGGATAGTAGGGCGTCGACGTAGAAGGGGATGAGGGAGGCGGCGAGGGCGCTGTGTTGTGGACATGAGAGGGACGAGAGGACGGCTGAGTGTGCCGCTTCGAAGAGCTCGAGGGTTAGTGAGGATGGAGGAGTGTTGGCTGGACTGGCGAGCCAGGAGGTGGATGGAGTCAGGTAGGCCGTTGCGGGTGTGACGATTAGGTCCTCGCACGCACGTGTTGGCAGCGAGAGTGGGAGGTGCTCCGCTGTGTTGAGGTAGAAGAGGGCTTGGGCTTGGATTACCGGGGATGGCACTACGTTGCTTGTCTGTGGTGATGGCGGTTGTGTATCTCGAAGGAAAGACACGCAAGCATCCGGATAGCGTGTGATAATATCGAGCGATGTGAGGTAAGTGAATGTGTAGACTTGGAACGAACTCGCACCTTGGCGCGTAGATATAAAGGACAAGTTTCGCAGTATGTGCAGCGTTCTCGCAGCCGTAGCTGCCGCCATCGCGTCGTTCCTAAGGTACGGGTCTAACAGGGACCGCCCAACAATAGCTTGAATTGTCGCGGCCACAGCGTATAGGATCTTCTTGAACAGCTGCCATAGAATTGGCCAGGGGCCTAGAAGCGTCTCGGACGAGAGAGCTGTAGATTCGACGGTCAAGTCGATGGTAGAAAGTGGACAATGAGTCCATTTATTTAGTAGGGCCGCCGTAAACCCAAGAAGTGCTTCGTGAGCTTGGAGGACGATATTGGGATCCGTCGCCTGTTGAACAGCAAACGACGCGAGCCGCGAAAGGGGGCCCATATTCTGTGCTAGGGGCCGAGATTCGAGTTTTTGAATCCTAGCAGCGGATGGCGAATCGGGTTGCCACTTTATCGTCGGTCCTGGTACGATATCGTTCGCGATGGGTGAAATGAAGTCGCCGTGTTGGAGGCCTTCTTCTCCGAGCATCGCCTCGACTACGGCCGGTAGGAGCGCATTCCCATCCAGGATTTGTTTAGCTGATTCGTGTAAGAGGGGGAACGCAAATGTCAAGGCCAGGACAACAGCGCCACGCCCTAACGGCCCCGTCCTCGCAGGTTCTTGGAGCGCTAGGTTGGCGGCTGTAACGACGGCCTGTTCAAGCGTCGACCGTAAACTCCGAGATAAGGACCTTCTATCGTCTCCTTCCATGCCCATCAGGATACCTGTTAACACCAGCACATGTTGCCATCTACTCGACCTATCATCCATTCCCTTCGCTATCGCGCGTGCCCAATCCTCGCTAGAAACGCCGCTGCCAACAGGTGGTCGTCCGCGCGGGAGAGTCGCATTTTCTAATTCGTTCCGCCGCACGTGTATCGAGGCGGTGTTGTATATGCTTATGATACGTAGACAAGTGCGTAGGCCGTCGGGAGATTGCCATATCGCGCGAGCTGTAAGTAAGTGTGAGGTAAGTAGAGAGAGGTTGAGAGGATTGTTGAGGCTGGTGAGAAGCGATGTGGTGGTCGCGAAGATCTTGTCCGTCTCGGTTGGATTAGGAGCGTTTTGGTAGGCCCGTAGGACCGTTGCCAGTAATCGATCGCCCGGCATTGTTTCGCGTCTCGATTTTATATTTTCGTGTGGCAGTTAGTTATCCTACATAATGAAACGGTTCTTTTTCCACGTCATTGTTTGTCGAGATAAAATTACCAAAGTCTAAAGTTTGGAGATTGGAGATTGAAATTCCGAGGGATCGTTGTTGCTGCTCAGTACCCGCGTACGGGTTACGGGTTATGTAAGCCGATCAGCTCCAACTTTTACCGAGGCACGACGTCAACTGAACTTACATACCTACATATATGTATTACCTAACCAGGCTAACCTAACGCTAATTTTATCCCCCTGCCCCGCAGCCACCACACGGGAGCTTCCCGCCGTGTAACCGCCCCTGTCATCTGTCATCCCATCCTTCAGCTCAAAGAGCTCAAAGAGCTCAAAGCTCCACAACGTTTTACCCGTCGTCTCCTTCGCGTCTCCTTTGTACAGCTCTAAATAGCATAGAACATTCCAATCGTATCATCAATTCTATGGCAATACCTTCTAGAGCAACAATCTAAACGGCCAGATGGCCACTCCACCGTAAGTCGCATCGTCTCGTCTAATATTCCATTGTTAGTATTGTCAAGTGTCAAGACAATTTGACTAAACAATTAACGTCTAGCGCCGACTGTCAGAATTATCCTCCCAACGATTACCACAGCCCTAAGTTCCCGTCCCTCTGCTGGCCTCCTCAGGATCCATACTGCGCTTTATATTCGGTCTGGGACTCATGGCGATATACACTTCTTTGGACCCTGATCCTTTATGCTGTCTTCCATTTCGGAGCCGTGGGCATCGCCCTCGCAATGCAGATCGGAAAGCCGCGATTCGTATGGAAGTACATGCTGGCCGTCCCAGCTATATACGCCTTGGTTGCTGGGGCTGAGGCATTGTTCACCGGTAGTATTGTTGGGCTAGTGTAGGCATCTTCCGACCTTGTCTTCGAGTCCTTACCATCAGCTTACACCCGTCTTCAGGCTCGGCGCTGTCTACATCTCTGGATGCTACCAGATGCCCACGTGGATACCCTTCATCTGGGGGTGGATAAATGTCTTGGTCTTAATCGTCTCCTCCTTCACCATCCAGGGAGGTCTATAAAGCCCTGTGCTATAGCCCGAAACGAGCCGTGTATCCAAGTGCAATAGACCTAGAAAGACCTCTCAAACCGGAATCGATGCATTTCTCCCACAATAGGAGATATCGAATGATGAGTGGCACAGCCTACTGCGACGCCTCCAGCCGCAATAGTTGCGTGAGGCATTAATCAACTCGAGGTGGTCCCAGCTGATGTATACACCATACTGGCCAATGGCTATGAGTATCAAGCTAATAAAGGACACTAGGAGACACATAGCTAGTGTCATACCGATTGTATACTTCTTGAGATAACACCCCAGTATTTTTGGGTGCTAGACTTGGAAGAATAGGGAACGAAGTCAGTAGTTCTCGGTTTAATATAACCCTGTCGATAGTATAGCCGTATACGGGCACAATTTTATGGAGGCAGCCGTATAAAGTACTGCTATCTCAAATAACATATATATTCTTGCTGAAATACAAGGTTATCAGAACTCATAATACTTCACTTATGTGACCTGGCAAAGGAATCCCTACAGGTTATATAAATGTTAGCCTCGGGGTTCTACATAATTTCCATCGTCACATTGCTGCGTAATTCAATTGTTTATTCGGGGAAGAGTACTTTATTAAGTAACTAGAATAAAATAATAAAACAAAACAGCAAAACAAAATAGGTACACTATCTACATGAAATGTAAACCCGGGTCTAGTTACCCACTGGCGAATACATATCCTTCATAACCCAATCTAGGCCAGCAGAAAATGACATCGCCTTTCGTACGGTAAACCCAGGTCGGTAACAGTTGACAGGAAACTCGCTTCTCGTAAAATAAAGCACCCTTCCCCTTTCCTCCCCTACTTGGTGGCAGACTCCGCTCCGTGCAGGATGCGTTACTTAGCTAGGTCAGGCCAGAAGAAACCGAGACCGAATTTTAATGTCTCGGGTCCTTTATCGGTCCTCATAGCATAACATACGTATCCCTAAAGACTATCCGGCTCAGCCCGGGCCAAAAGAAACCGGGACCATATCCTAATGTCTCGGGTCCTTTATCAGTCCCAGTACCGTAGCAAGAATAATCTTGGAAGCGTAAGAAAGCACCAACCCTCCCTCTTCCTTTTTTTTTTCTTTTTTTTTTCTTCCCTATTTACTCAGTGGTAAACACCGCTTCCTACGGAACAAGTTGCCCAGTCAAGACCAAAGGAAACTAGGATAACATAGCAATATATCGTCCAAGTCCTTTTATCGACCCCAATAGCGCATACGTATCCCTAAAGACCATCCGGCTCGGCCCAGGCCAAAAGAAACCGAGACCAAATCCTAATGTCTCGGGTCCTTTATCGGTCCCAGGACCGTAGCAGGAGTAAATCTTGGAAGCGTAAGGAAGAACCCTCCCTCCCGTCCCTTTTTCTTTTGCTCCCCTACTTACTCGGGTGTCAACTCAGCGTCCTATGGAATACGCCGCTTAGCCTAGGCCAGAGGACCCCAATAATTTCTAATTTCTCTTGCTAAGTCCTTGGTAGGCAGGTATCCCTAAAACACCTATCCTATGTAGACCTAGCCAATTGATGATTCCTCGTCGGTCCCAGTAACATAGCAGCATGAGTATTCCTAGAAGTATGAGAGAACACCCCCTTTTCTTCTTGTCTTTTTTTTTTCTTGACTGGAAAAAAAAACATTCGGACTCTAGGAAAATTCCCCAACCCCTTATCGGTCTCAAAGCGTCAATGGCATGCGTATTCATTTAGAACGAATACATTACCTAGTTTTGGCCAAAGGAAGTTGGGGAATGACTAGGAAATTGCGTAATAATAATGAAAAAAAAATGAGTGTGAATTTTCTGTGTCTCCTTACCCCCTATCGGTCTAAAAGCATCATTGATGTGCGTAGCGTATTCCAGTCACTTGCTCTGGAATATCTAACTCACCTAGCTTTCAGCCAAGGGGACAAGGAGACGTCCAAGTCTCGGTCAATCAAGCAAATCGCACCGAAGCGATTGCTCAATCAAAAGATTGCAAAATCGGTCCCTGTGATAAACAAGGATAACTCCCCGCCCTTGTCGGTCTCAAAGTACCATCGGTGTTGCGTATGTAGGTACTCAGATGGAATACCTCACGTAACTACCTCAGGTAGGCTCTGAGCCAAAGGAATGAGGAAATCCAGAATGGCGATTCCACGATGAATGGAATCAGCCTCCCGTAGGATAATATGTACAGTTGCCTAGCTTAAGCCAAAAAAGAAGTAAGGCAGACCCTACGTAGGTGGGTTCGCCCTATCCCTTATTGCCAAAGCGTCCTCGGCATAGTTATGTGATCCTAAAGAATAACCTCGCCGGAAGAAATTCAGTAATGGAAAAAGGAGATACATTACCTATTCTTTTTGCTGTGCCGGCACGACAGAAGGTATTCCAGGAAGCAGAGAGGACATACCCCCCTTCTTGAGTTCTTTTTTTCTTTTTTTCGTCTTTTGTTTTTCTTCGCCAGTTGATTTCAAATCCTGTCCCCTACGGATGACACCTAGCTCAGGCCAAAAGAGAAAGGCGCACGGCGGAATGGGCCTTAATTCTTTATCGGTCCTGAAGCCGTAGCGGAATCATCCCTAAGGGACAAGACAACTCTTCAAATTCTTACACGACGTTTTTTTTTTTTTTTTTTCGTCCCCTTTTCCCGCCACTTAGCAGTAGGTAAATCCCGCCTCCTGAAGATTACATCACCTAGCTCAGTCCAAAGAGAAAGGCGCCAATATCCATACGCCTTAACATCTTATCGGTCCTGAAAAGCATGGCAAAATAATCCCAGGAGGAGGAACAAGACTACATCCTCATCTTCGACTCTTGGGTATCTTCGACTCTTGGGTGAATTCGACCTCCTAGGGACTATGTTGCTTAAACTTTGGGCCAAAGAAAAGGCTTTTTTCCTTTTTACCTTAATCTTTATCGGTCCCGAAGCCGTAGCAGAAATCATCCCCAAGGGACAAGACAACTCTCCAAATTCTTACACGCTGGTTTTTTGGTTTTGGGGGGGTTTTTTTTTTCTTTTTTTCTTTTTTTTTCGTCCCCTTTTCCCGCCTCCTGAAAATTACATCACCTAGCTCAGGCCAAAGAGAAAGGCGCCAATATCCAAACACCTTAACATCTTATCGGTCCTAAAAGCATGGCAAAATAATCCCAGGAGGAGGAACAAGGCCACATCCTCATCTTCGACTCTTGGGTGAATTCGGCCTCCTGGGGACTATGTTGCTTAAACTTGGGCCAAAGAAAAGGTTTTTTTCCTTTTTACCTTACTCTTTATCGGTCCCGAAAGTACAAGCAAAAAAAAGTCCCTGGAAGAATAAGAAGACACCCTCATCTCCTCTTCGTATTTTCCTCCCCTTTTCTTCCTCTCTTTCAGTGGCCACCCTCCCTCCCGCCCAAGGCCACTTACTTACTTATTTAACGGATTTAATCAACGTCATCCGGGCTGTGAGTGAACGACGGCACGTCCTCCTGCTCCTGCTCCGGCAATTTTCCGGGCTCGGAACTAGGGGGATGATCCCGCGAGAGTGCCTCGGCGTTGTGCCCATGAGCACCCCGAGTCCGCCTCCCCCCTAAGAGCAAGTCGGCCGCGTCCTTACACTTGTCCGCAGTAGTCAACGGCGTATACAAGACTCCCGGCCGCGGAGAATACGAATCTCGAGAATGCCTCGGCTGGAACCGCAACTCGGGAATCGCAGCATTGAACATGAGCTGATATTCCTTGGCGTCGCTACCGAATAGCTTCTCCATTGCGGCCGAGTAATTGCAGTCGTTCTGCTCTCGCAGCTCCTTCTCCATTTGCTCGATTTTAGGCATAAGTAGACGATCCATGTACTCTTCCTGGGACCGCGTTAGCTGCAAAACTACGTCGGCGTTGTTCTCACTCCCTTCCTCATCCTCTTCCCCATCCTCAACGGGAGGGAGAGAACAACTTTCAAGATCCGACTTGTTCACGTGGACGTAGTCGTCAGTAATGAAAGGACGCTCAACTTCAACCCACTCGTGCCAGTCCCTATCTGGACTTAAGCCTGATTTTGTCAGTGCAGGAATGAAAGAACGATCAACTTCGTCCCAATCCCTGTCTGGACTCAAGCCTGACTTTGTAAATGCCATTTCGATAGTTCAATTCGAAGATGTGAAGTTGAAAAGTTTAGAGATTGTTCGCTAGGTACAAGAATACTCAGAAAACCAATGCTGTAATATGAGTTCTTGAGAATATTATGATGATAACTTGATAGTTGTGTGTGATGATGATGAGTTTTTCTGAGACCAAAGTATCGAAAACTGGCCGACGTTATATACTACCTTCTCCCCGAGACATGTTCATGAACAGTGTCAATGTTATAGAACATGACGCTTGTATGCCAAGAACCCTTTGGGAGTAAATACAGCAGACAAAGGTTATTGTTTTGACAAAGCTAGAATATAGCATAATCTTATTCGGCACAATGCTCTTGTTTACTGACGAGTACAGGGTTCAGTTGAAAGAGATAGTTCAGTAGACAGGCAACTAAAGCGCCAGGATCAATGGGCGGGATGGGCATTTGGGGAAAATGATAAGAGAAAAATAGCCTACGCAACTACTAGGACAGTTCATCGAAATAATAACCGTGGAAAGCGGTATACTTGGACCCATCGAGGTCAATAGGTTCACGCAAAATGCTTGAAAATGAAAGAAACTTTTGTTAATTCGGAATAGTGAGAAAACATCTGCTTCTCAGGATGTTCCTAGCCAGAAGTTAACTGACTTATGAGCTCTACAGGCCATACTGGATCCCCTGATAGACCATCGAAAACCTAACCTGCATAATAGACATAGTGTACTTTCTAGTGCAGGTCTCAGGATGTTGCGAACTTAAGCGCCCAGGCTGGGAAAGGCGTCCGAGTTGAGGGCGAATGAGGCATTCTCGCGAGCGCCACCGCGTCCGCCACGGAAGTCACCTCGGGGCTCACCTCGGGGCTCGCCTCGGGGTCCACCACGGCCACGGCCACCTCCGCGACCACGACCCTCACCCCTGGGAGCATCTCCACGGTTGCCACCACGTCCGCCACGACCACCTCGGGTACGCTCGGGCTCAACGTATCGCTGGTCAATATCGAGAAGCTGCTTGGCCTTGCGCTCACGCTCGCGCTTGACCTTACCGCCGGCGCCAGGGACGTAATCGTCGTCGTCCTCCTTGACGAGGGCCTTAGCGCTGGCCCACTTCTTGTCGGCCTTAGTGCCTTCGTTGGGCTTGCGGATCTCCAAAGACTCGCCGAGGGCGGCCTTCTTCTCAGCTTGCTGAGCAAGGTAGTCGGCATAAGAGACGTGCTTATCCTCGGGCTCGGCCGGAGTAGCTGGCTCCTGGGCATCCTCAGCGGTTGATTCCTTCAATTCCGACTGAGCAATCTCCTCTCCGGCCTGCTCATCCTTCTGCTCGGCATTGCCTTCTGTAGCGCCCCATGCTAGGGCAGCTTGCTTCTCAGAACCACTGAATGCGAAATTAGTACTTGTGACAGAATAGGCGTTCGTTCAAAACCAACCTTGGAATATTCTTGGGATGTCTGTCGTCACGGTCGCGGGAGAATCGACCGCCACGGCCTGTGTCATTATATTAGCATGTATTCATTTCCAACAAGCATTGGGTATTTAGCTCTTACCTCCTCGTCCACGGGCATCGCGACCGCCTCGGGGACCACCTCGGGGAGCTTCATCTGTGGGCTTGCGCTGATTGTTAGCTGTACCGGCACTGCGGTCACGGAAGGCTAGATGAGAAGTAGATTAGCGGGGTGAATTCAAATGAGGTCGGGAATGATGCGTCAAGATGACGGAATCCTTGAGGATCCTGCCAGACGCATATGACGATGACGCTCACCTCCCTCGTTGCCTCCAGGACCAGCACGACGAGCTCCGGTGTTGGTAGCGGGTTTGACGGGGGCTTGGGGCTCGACGTTGCGCTTGGTACTACGCATAGTGGTCTTCTCGACCGTCTTCACAGGGCCGGACGGCGCTTCATCTCCTTCGATATCGTTACCTATTGGTAATTGTTAAGGTTAGTAAACCAGGATTTCCGAGGTCGAAAATTTTCATGGCGGGGAAGCAATCGAGGGGTTCATACCGAGGGCATCGAAAGGGTTCTAAGCGATTTAAAAATTAGCTTTGCGATTTCAACAGACCTCTACTAATACATAACAATGAATAGAAATGCGACGAGCAATCGTAAGCTCGAAGTAATGAAAGAAAGAAATAAAAAAAAAATAGGCGAGTGATGCCCAAGAATTATGACATACCTTCGAGGCGACGGACATGATGTCGCCAATTGATTCGCCTTTCAGCAAGGCGGAGCTCTGAAAACGACAATCGGATCAATAGGAGAGAATGCAACGAGGGGAAAAGGATATGGCCTAGCAGGTCATATCCTTGAGCAAAATGTCTCGTCAATATCCTCAGCGGTGGTGAGGTTGGGTAAGGTTTGGAATTGGTGTGTGTGTTGCGGCGCCGGTAATTGTTGTGTGAGAGTTGGGCCTTGTGGGCTTTCCACTTGTTTGCGAGGTGGACAAAACTTTCCTTGGCTAGCAGCTAGAAACCAATGGACCTAACTCTTTTTTTTTTCCACTCTTAGGTGACGCCCAGACTCGCTTAGGCGGGACGGCGAAATAATTCTCTTATTTTTGTTTGGTTTTACAATTGACGCTTTTTAGTGCGCTGCTGAATAAGCACCTTACTGGGCAGATAGTAGGGCAGGTAGGGTTCAACATCTGTTAGCGCGGGACGCACTACCAATGCTAGCACCTTCTTAAGATATCCGTGGGCACTGTTTTGAGCAGCCGTAACTCAAGGTACGTATCTTAGGTACCTAAGTCTACCTCCTTAGGTACGTATTTATGGTCACCTATTCACAAATCTTGACTTTTTTGCTTTCTGCCTTTTACTTACGCTTAGAAGACTTCATTAAGATACTAAAGGTCTACGAGTAGATAATGTACGTCAATGGAATCCTGTCAGCAATTACGTATTCCTGTAACAGGGTAGCCAAGGTTTCCCCGGATCCCACAATTGCATCACTTGCATATCGAGATAGGCACGTCTGATGCTGGTGTAGATACCTAACCTAACGCTTGGACCATTTGTTGGTCCTGATGGATCCCTTTTATCGTGATGTTTATCATCGCTTAGTTATCGGTATCTAATCTTGCTATCTCTATACCCCGCCACCGTATATTGCACTGATAAGGGAAGAGATAAAGCTCTATACCGCTGAGAAGCTGAAAAGCCACATTAGTATGTCAAATACCGCAATACAGCAGTAGATAAGGGTTTAGGAGATGTAGTATATAAAGTGGTATTAAAGTACCTTATTTACCCTTACGAAGACAAGCTAATTTACTCTGTCAAGCTTCATAGTCTCTTTTCCGAGGGGATGGTGATAAGAATTCAGGAGTGTAGCAGGTAACTACCTATATAATCTTACACCAGAGTTGCCGTACCGTTCAACGTGAACCTTAGGCACCTGATAAACATGTCAAGGACATAGGCGAAGATGTTTACTATTAATTCCACTCATAAGACATGGCAATATGTCATAATTAAGACACCGAGGCTTATTTACCACTTCCTGTTTATATACCTATATTAATGAATATAAGTAGGCCACCTCCCACCACGCCACTACATACCCACAGGCCTCGGCCGCCGCACCGCAGCGCAATGCACAACGAGCATACCTATATGTAAATGCGGCGATCTACCCGCTGCATGATAGGCCGCTAAAGAAGACTGCCCTCTTGGCAGACAAACCTAGATTCAACGCGGTGCGAGTTTTACCAAATATGCAACCCGTGTCGAAAAAAGTACACTACCTGACTACTCGAGGCAACGTGATCGGCGAGAAAGTAGTAGTATCCGGCTATTAGGACCCTAGACGTTTTGTTGCTACATACGATCCCAGCCCGATCGACCCTTATCTATCTCGTATGTAGGCGACGATATTCGTTCAAGATATGTAGATTAGGTAGGTAAGTAGGTATGTGCATAAAAAGCGAATCCGCTACCACGCGTCGACATGCTGTCGTCTACATAAGAGGTAGACGTATGTATGTGCGCTACCTTGCAATTTCTGTAACAACCATTGGTAAGCCATATGATATGTATGGAGCTCGCAGGGTCCTTGTCGAGTGCCACCACCGCTATGTAAAAACGGGTAGGTATAAATAGAGACGACGTGATAGGTCCATGGCGAGCAGTATACGAGGACCCTATGTTGGTGGCATGGTGCTTGTCCTCAGACAGGGACCGGAAGCTATATCTTACTTAACCTTTAGGTAACTTATTTTCCTCTTTGAACCACGGCATTCGGTAGCGGGATGACGTTATGCGAGACGGTGTGCCGGAAAAAGCGTTGCTACACGCTGGAATTAGGTCCAAGGAGATACTTCGTACCTCGTTAGATCGTGGGGTATCGTGGGAGGGATTTTGATTCTGTTAATAATGGCTTCCTTATCTCTGGTTCGCCTATCATACCGACAATTCATTGACACCAGAGATAAGCCAACCATAGGTCACCTCCCATCCAAATAAATACTCTGCAGTAGCATCTAGACGAATTTGAGAATATCTTCTCTATTTATCTGTTCGCCGACAATCTTTGGAAGTTCTCGTCGACTTCTCATTCGAAAGACATAGAGCGAGCCGAAGATATTAGTCCTAAACGGCGTATACTCCTGTTTGAGTCTACTATAACGACTTAAAAGAGGGAATTTTTTATTTATCAATTTTTCTTGTTTTCTCCTGGTGATCATTGAGACAAGTGTCTCTTTCATAGTCATTGCCGATATTCATTTCTTCATTTTCAAGAGGTATGATATCTCAGAGTGTTTTTACGGCCTAAGTGGTCTCGTGTCTCGAATCTCGAGTGAGGTGTTTATCACACCTTGGCTCCCCTTGCTTTTAGCTTAGGGAAGTCAAGTTATATGTGCTGCACTCTATGTTGGGCCAACACCAGCCAACTATACACAGACCCAACCCGACAAAAATGATCTCACGATCAAGGCGGTCCAAGATGAGGTCCTATGTTGCGTCGAGATGGAAAGGACGTAATGTCAGCTAGGAAAAGAGAGTTGATTAGAGGCAGCACGACTCTATTATGAGACGGCCTGAGATATTCATGGACGCGTCACATGAGATGGAGAATGCATCCAGGCGAGAGGTCCGTCGCTTCAAAACGGCCGCAGTTCTCGTGATCTCGAATGTGGGAATAATCTGCGACGTCACTTAGAACTAGCTAAGCCGGAATGTCTGAGCGGTCACGCCTGACGATGACATCCGAGTCGATCGAGGATCCCCGGTAACTGTCAGTGCAGCATACACTCGTATAGGGTTTTCCCTTCCATCACGGTCAGCAAAGACGGTCAGCAAAGGATACGTAGCCGGGGACGTGGGCGTGAGAGTGAGCGCGGATCTGGGTCACCGTATTTTGTGTCGGGTTCGCCTTTCGGAAATGGTCTTTTCTGGAGATCACGCGACACGCGCCACTTACAGGGCAGTTGTCTGGAACCACTTGTCCGATTTGTCCTTTCATGCAGAGGCCTGGCCGAGAATCTCGAGTTGCTTTTGCCGAGAGGCCCTCAGCAGGGTTCCAGTGCTGACAGGTCTAGCAATCGATACATAGGTACGTACGAACACGACCGGGTTTGAAATTTCTGGGCGGTTGGATGGGGGGATACGCCCGTGATGCCGACTCCACCTGCAAACCGATTCCTTCGATTCGTACGCAGCACAACAGCATTGAGAACACCCAACACCAACGGACCGAACCCACCAGCCACCCGGTCGCCTTTGACCGAAACAGCATCCCCGACCGAGGACTTGATTGTCTTGGTAAGACTTTGTGAACCCACCAGACAGATATTTCTCAGGTCTCAGGATCCAATATCATTACAACGAAGCAAGACGATCGAGACTTAATCCACTCAGGCCTCATGCCTCGTGATAGTTGCCCTAGCCGGACCGAACTAAAAAAGAACGAGCCTACGACAAGCCCCCACGACAGCTAAAACAGACCCACGAGACCGCTCTAGGCCAGGGGAGGAAGATGAGGGAAGCCAATGGTACCATCTAATCTGATCTGGCACGCCGAAGTTGCTGACCGACAGCCGGTCGGCACGCGCGGCACCCGCAGCGTTGAGTTTGGCTTAAGAAATAAGCCTAGCATTGAGTACCTATAGCGGAATCGACCGCTCTGACCCCTCTAATCATCCTACCTGGGTAATCACCCTACAAGCTGTGCATACGGGTCTAACTTCCTGCCTTGGCAGTCCAGGCAGTCCCAAGAGTGTTCAAGTGGAGATCACATACAGCAACCCCTCCTTCCCCTCCGAGTGCATCTGCCTCCTGTCCGGATGTATGTATCTGCATTACTACATGCGTGTATATATGTACATCAAGTTTGGGGTCCACATCACTAAAAGTACTTACTACCCAAGTACCTCCGTGGAAGAAAGGAAACCACCGTCTGAAACGGAACGATACAAACGATACATACATTTTACATTTTAGCGGGGAAAGAAAGGCCTACCGTCTCTGTTTATATCCTTAACCCTTAACCTCCGATCACGGATACCCATCGGGGCCTGTCCGGCATTAGCCAACTGCGCGTTTAGCGAGACGTTCAAATTGTACGTTACGTACCTCCTTGTGGACTTACTTACCACCGGAAAATAGATCATCGATCTTCCAATCTATCTAATGTCTAATTCGCAGTCTCTACCAGGCCGAGAAATTGAGGAGGGGAATACCTAGAACTAATATACTAGGATCTGCTGTGAAACTTGGAAAAGCTCACATAACGCATTCTCGGTCCATATCGTTTCGTCAATCCGACGTCACCTTCACGCCCAAGACTCCGAGAAAATGTTAATTTGATAATAACGTTTGAGGAGTGTAGATGAGATGTCCAACTGTCTACCCGTGCAGGACGCACATAGGTGCATATCTACACGACAGGTCGATCCTCGAAGGCTATCCAATTTTACTGGTCAATAACTCGACTCCTTTGCTCGAATTTGTCTTCCCCTTCGCCTCTGGGGTATGTACAGCATCGATGGGAGCTTTTTATGACACCGATACGTAAAGAGCCTCGTGGCCATGGCTCACCAACCGAAATGCGCAACACTAGATGGTGCATCTTCCCAAATCAACAGTATATACACGGATGACTTGAATATTGTGGGGTGTGCTTGAAAGCAGAATATATTCCAGAATGGAGGAAGAATCGCATCGCCTCTCTAAAGGTAATCGAATCGCGTCTCGCTAGGCTGAAGTGCTGTTTTGGTTTCGTAGACCAGAATATCATGACTTTTGAACTCCTATAAACGCCTGCCATTATGGATATCGGGATCCTGTAAAATTTTTGAAGCGTAAATCGTATGGACCATCGTACCAAAACAAAACTTTTCCTTCACTCCCAAATATTGCAATTGTCGTAATAAATCGATACCTCGGGTTTTTGGAAACCGGAAATGGATGGCTTCCATGGGTATCATGTCGGTTATCTTATAGAATGCTTCCAATAACTTCCAAGAATGAGTACAATGTCGATCCTTCAACGCTTATTATCGCCTCGGCGGGAAGCTACATACCAATCGGCACTTAACAGTTGCTAAGCATGATTTCGTGGTCTCAGCCTGCGTTCATTCATCCATCGCCTCGATTAATAGGGAGCGGCGTCTCGTTGGCATTGCTTTCGTCTGGCCTTCATGCAACTTCCACCCTCTTCGACATTGTGCGCAAACCCCCTCAACCATATTACTCCGATTCCAGATGCTACCTCATATTACTCGTGTCGAAGGAGAACTGCGTCGGAAAGGCCATAGACGCACTCAGGCCAAACGGATCCCAATCCAATGCTGGATCCAATAGCTGGGTCATGCTTGGATAGCCTTGGCCTTGTGTTTGGCTTTGCGCTTGATTGCCCTGTCCCCCGGGTGCTATCGGAGGTTGTCCTGGCGGTCCCGTCGTCGTTGGCTGCACAGACATGCCATGTTGTTGAGGGACTTGGAACGTCGAAGGATAAGGGCCCGGCCCTGGCGTATCCGGTTCGGGCTCGTCCATCATATCGGTCGGGGCGTCGTACTCTTGTTCTGTACTCACGGGTTAGGCATAGGACGACAGAGTTCTATTAAATATAAAAGAAATGGGCTAGCTTGCCGAGCTGCTGAAAATGATTTTGAAATGATGGCGTCGGGTAGAATGCGGTCGGCCGGGTGCCAGCAGCATGCTGCTGCAACATCTGCTGGCGCGCCGCGACTGTCATTCCAGGCATCGGTGCCAACTGCGGTTTCATCGGCGGGGGGATCGTCGTTCGCATGCTCGTGGGATCTGAAGATACGGGTGAAGCTGTTGCTTGACTACCAAAAGGTGGTGTAGGGTTAGTAGGAGAAGCCGCGTGGGAAGGGGGCGTTGGCCGAGTCTTAGGCGATGCCATAGACTGCTGCACCCCTGCGGGCTGGGGTAGGGAGGGCACGCCAGGCTCGAGTTTCGGGGCGATGCTAGAAGCAGACCTGCGCGAGTGGTGATGTCTGTTGAGGATCGCCCGCGGCATAGGTGGTGGTTGCACCATATTCTGGGGCATATGAGTTGGACCAAGGTTTGGACTACCGGTCTTGGCATGAAGCTCAGCTTGGACATCAATACCTAAATAAGGTAAGTTGATGCTATTCGCAAGATAAGAAACCAGAAGAGAAATCACCTTTTTCCAGCAAGATTCGTTCGAGGAGGGAATTCTTATATCGGAGCATCAAACATTCATCTGCAGCACTACGGTGGGCTGCTTGCAGGCTAGCAAGGTTCGACTCATGAGCCTTAATAGTCTCTTCGAGCTGTTTGATATATTCTGTCCGGCGCTCTCTGAATGCGGCTTGCGCCTGGCGATTTCTCTGCTTGCGCTCTTCCGAAGTGGCATAGATCTTTGCTCGCTGTCAGCCCACGAACACGGTTCGAACCCCCCACTATGTCTCGAGTATGGCGCGAGCGACCAAAGCCAAGCAAAGTGAGTTACAATTGCATAAGAGAATGGTATACTTACGGGTTTGCGGCCTCCTTTACGCTTTGCTGGTTGGTTTTCCGGTGGAATCGATGGACCCGGCTCATTCTCAGGACTTGAGCCAATAGACTCATCCGATTCGTCCTTCGAATGTTCTTTCTTGTCAATAGACATTTTGTCTGACATGACAAAATCGAATACAGGAGACGATTGCCGCGCGGCAGCAAACGCCTCTCAAAAGACGTTGTAATAGGCAAAAAAGAAATTATATAGTTAGGCGGTAGTTGCCTGTCTTCCTTAGTAGGCTTGCTCGGTATAAGTGTCTGTGGCGTAAGTAGGGGGAATATTGTTTAGTATGTGTGGCCCTTAGATATCGCCGAACTTGGGATCAAAAAAAGTAAAGTCGTTCGTTCGGCAGTGAAGCGCGTGCATGCAGCGCTAATCAGCACATAATCTGGGGAAACGGGATCCGACAGATGGGGACAGGATTCTTTGTCAAGATCGAGAAATAAGAATGATCCAGGCGGCGCCAGGGGAAGCAGTCAAGTAGAGTAACAATGGAGATACACAAGAGACAACGAGTAGTATAGAGGGGTGACAAGTTGTGGTGAAGTAAAGGTAAGGAGAAAATATTGCTTTGGTTTTATGTAATTGAAATCGGTAGGGCAACTCGGGTTGGCTGGCTTCGGTGGCTTGCCGATTTTTAGAGGGGACTTCAGCTAGATGGCAAAAGAAGCACCAAATCTCTTGGAAGGTGTGGGAAGACTTTTTTTTTTCTCTTTGCTCCTTTTCCTCTTCTGTATGCCAATTGGCGGTGCGGACTCTAGTCTTACTAGCAAGTGGCTAGTCTAGTCGTCTGATGATCGATAGAGGACCTACTAACGTTACTGGGTCCAATTGTAGCTGATTTTCAGTTCGGCCTGCTCCCTATTCAGTCGCCGTGCGTCTCATTCCACTACTTTTAAACTTGATGTATTCCGTACTACCCACGCAAATGCCCTCGTCGAAAACCACAACAGGACCTGAGTATTTTATCCTAAGCAGATTATAGAAGGGGGAGCTTGTGCGGTCCCGTGTATACAGGCTGACAGGTAGTAGTAGTCCTGGCTAGTATAATGCCAATACCACCCAAGGTCCGCAAGGTATCATGCAGTCAGGCAGTAAATGCTGCGGGACAGAACACAAGAGTTGAGAGTAGTGTGCACCTAGGCGAATCCACTGTATTGAGGGTCTAAAGAGAAAAAACGGATGCAACTTTAGATGGGTCGTTCAACAGTGGTCCTCCGGTGGACCGCGTTGATTAAACAGCGGCAAGACGAGGTAATACAATAAGGAATATAGTAGGTAGTTAAATTAATGAATATTTATTTCAGCTTTGAGAGTTTATTGGGAAAATACAATAACAATAATAATGATCGAAGTAAAGTACTGTAAGGTTTAGGTTATGTAGGTAGGTAGGCAACGAGGAGGAGTTGTAGGTGGATATTGCTAGCTTTTCATCTTCGAAGAGTAAGGCCGGGGCCTGCCCCAGTTACAACGCTTGTATGTACGAAGTAGGTGGTGCCTTCCACTACAGAGGTACGAAGCTACATGTAAGGATGTACGTGTAGGGACTTTAGAAGCTAGGTGAGCTTGAGCTTAGCAGGCAGGCAGGTGGGATGAATGCCTGTCAGTTTTAAGTACAGGGTACCTGGTACTGAGTAACAGAACCAATCCCTGGTACTTTCGGTCAAGTCTCCTCAGATGACAGTTTTGAAACGGGAAGATAATCTCTAAACTCACTAAGTATATGGAAATATAACCGGACAACTTCCGACTTGTCGACCCGGGCCGCAAGTCAACATCCGACCTGTTCGATTGGTTTTGCCTATTCAGAGTTAGGTAGCTTTTTTCAACATACTGCTTTATTTGCTCGACCCCGTATCTTCGTGTTCATCTAAGTTATCCCAAATTCTTTTGACATAGCTAGGTTATATAGAAGTCTCTTATGTAGAGGCCTTAGGAATATGATAGTTATAGTAAAGCGTAGTATATTAGATCCCAGAGCGGCAGGCGAATACACAATAACACTTATTAACTTCGTTAAGTCTATGGTTATAGTAAGTTTAACCACTTCTCCTTGTGATCCTCTGGTACGAGTAACAGTTAATCACCTAGACGTCATGTCTAAGTGAGTATATCACAGTAACTAACTATTGGATATACCGAAACTATGAGCCACCTAGACTAGTACTACGCCCGACGCGGTGTACCATCTAACAAGTCGGCCTATTTAATCAGCCATATAATTAATATGCCCGAAAGTTATCTATGACTAGCTGTTGTACTTAAAAAAAAAAAGCCAAGCTGCGCGTCGAGCCAAGCCCACCCGTATACATAACGCCTGAAATCTCTTCATGGCCGAAAGCGGTCACCGAATCAAGGTAACAGTCCCTCAAGAAGCCTCGCAGGATGTGGTGGTACATAAAACTTGGTAACTACGTGTTCCTTAATGGTTGCGTAAGACATCTATAAATCCGGGGAAGAAGTACGAGAGGGGCACAGATGCTGCGAGACGGCTAATTGGACCATAGATGACATGAAGCGATCTTAGTAAGACATGTTGGTTGTTAACTTAGCAAAATGGGTATTATGCTAGGAGAAGAACTATGAACAGAGACCGCGAGCACTAACTGAGGGGTCCCGGAAAGCTAGATGAAAGAAAATCATATGTATAGGTGTCGGTAACCCCGGTGGAGGAGGCCGAGAGCGGCGATGAATCAGCCCTACGAATTTTCTCAATTTTTTTTTTTAAAAAAGAAAACTTGGAAAGCTTCTCTCTTGTGGCTCCGCTCAGATTAGATTTTTCCTAGTCACACGAGACCGAGTTGATTGATCACTTCTTTTAGTCCTCTTACTGATCCGTCACTAGACAGCTCCCTAAGCCATCTGACATCAGATAGCAAAGAGGCTGAACCCTTAATACTTCCATAGTAGGTACACTTAAACGGATATTTTTTCAACCCTTCACCCTTTGTACGCAGATATTCTTGGTGGCAAAACTTGAAACAGATAATTCTTGTTCCTGCTTCTGCATGCATGACTGCGAGCAGGACTATGGGACTATCGGCTTCATCTCGCCGTCGTTCTGCATAATGTTACGACTTTCCTACGAAGAAACACATGGCATTACGTCGACTGTGTAGTATATCATCAAAACGGGACATGGGGGATATTATGCTTGCTGTGCTAGTATATTGCCATATTTAGGTAGCGCCATACGTAGTAGCAGGGTAGTACATACTGCATGTACAGAGTAGGCCGGTAGATACTTTTGGATTCCAACCCTGCAAAATGCTGAATGCTGCCGACCACAAAGCCGATCATTAACTTGTTCTCCGTCAAACAGACAGCGATTGAAATTGTGGGGGAATGAAGATCGATGAATCGCCTGTTGCATCTCCGAGGAGGGTATGTAATCCGCGTATGTAGTAAAAAACTAGATGAAAGATGGTTGGGCTGGGTAAGTCCAGGCGAGCATCCGGCCAATCAGAGCCACATATAAGGCGGCCGGTTCCGTATTAGGAATTTTTCTCAGACGACGGGATCAGGGGTGTAATGCACGACCAACAGCATTGCAGCTCACAGCTCAAAGCTTACAGTTAGAAGTAGGTACAATACGTATATAACTTCAGCTGGACTAATACGGAATCGACAATTTCACAATAACATATTTGATTAACTAGTAGCTTCTATAAGACTTATAGTATTGTTCATCTTATATTTTATGAAAATTTTGGCTTCACTTATATTAATTAGTTCTTAAATGCTTCTCTTTATAATATGTCATGCGTCGTAAGACTCGACTCGCCTCTTCCGTTCAAGTGCAATACTATAAAGGATCTTATGCATTTGCTATGCAGTTACATGCATGTCTTTAGGATCTCAATGTCTTTGTTGCCATTATGTGTAACCCCAAATATTTTCCATTGGACACCCGTAGTAACGGGTCAGCCAGCCATCATAATTTCGAGGCGTCGGCTGACACCTTCTAGAAAGCTTCTAGCGCTCTTCCAGATCACCGCTTCGGTTTGCCAAGCCGCAAATTCTTAACATCACACACACCGTAGCGGCGAGTTTGAGCCCGCCTTTGATATTAGTCGCCGATTTCGCTGTGTTGTCCAGCCCTATGAAGTCTTGCAAGCTGAGACATTTCACATTGACGATTACTGTTGGTGTCTTGCCTCGCTGACGTCGCTCAAAGACAGCGGCGCACACCGCTTAGTACCTACTCGGCATTGTATACCCCGGGGACAGCCTCACTCTGCGCAAACTTCGACCGGAGAACGGCGCCTCGTTATTTCGGAGATCCTCGAATTCGATACGAATTGACGTCGCAGTAATTCGCGCACTTATCATAATGCGTGGTTCCCTGGATAATACTAATACTGCACGGTACTCTAGTCCAGACCGAGCAGACTGATCAGGAAACGTGCAAGCCTTGGGAAAGTTGGAATTAGCTTTGATTTTTATCGAATTAACGTTATCAGATCATCAACTGCTGAGAGCGAACCCCCACGCCTAGACAGCTGGGTCAGTGTGGGCGAGCTAGCCTTCCCACTTATGAATATCTAATTGGAAGAGACACTAAAAGTCTCCCGATCTGCATATCCTCAATGCCGGCGTTCTACTACGTAGTTGGTTCACCCATGGTACTGCATCCTTCTCGTGGGGACATACTGAACGACTATAGTAGCGTCGCCATCATGTATGTATAAGCTGCCACAGTATTTCGTGCATAGTACATTGCTTATAAGGCTAGACGCGGCTGATTAAGGTACGCCCAAGAATAAGGAAGTGGGATGACGACTTGGGATAGCTTTACTCCGTGATGGTGCTTCTAATAAGCCATGTACTTAGCTGTGACTGCTATTTTAGTATTATGCTGAAATAGATTTCTTCGGATTCATATAGCTCCTTGTCCTCTTAGTCGATGACGAAGTTATAAAGATTCGAAGGACATGAAAGGACTATATACCTAACGGTGTTTAATCTCTACATCCAAACAGCTTGGTATGTAGGTAGCTATGGCGTGTATAATTATCGAAGCAAGGAAATACGCATAATGTATCAGTTAGGAGAACTGATAATATATTACGTGTAGTCTTTCCTTCGACTCGCCGTGGCATGAAAGTGCCTAGGGTACTAATCTGAAATTGACCATATATTTCGCTGTGTTAGAGTGTTAAATATCCCTATCATCGTTATATATCAACTTTGGTCACGAAAAAGAGCGCCTAACGCCTTTATCTAAGCTAGCGGATCACGAAGCGTATCCCGTGGCATCCTTTACGACACCGAAGGCGCCACCCCCTTTCCCAAACATCTCTCTTACATCAGTGATAATACAATCCGGCCGCTCCCAGGTGGCGAAGTGGCCGCCACTTTCATGCTCCTTTTCGAAAACCACATTACCCAGCGTACGCACCCACGTGCTTGGTTGTACTTGTATATCCATGGGGAAATGGCTGAAACCAAGCTTTACACCCGGAGACCACGCCCTCAGGCTCTGGTGGTCTAGCTTGTTCTTCCTGCCGTCAACATTCTGCGTCACCTCGTAGTAGATCCTGACGCTGGCGGCGGGACCCGCCGTGCTGAACCAGTAGATGCTGATCCAAGTACAGACTTCCTCCTCTGTCCAGGGATACGAATCCGTCCAGTCGTGAAGCTTCTCATAGATCCACGCCAGTAATGCTACTGGGCTATCTGCTAACGCGTAGCCGAGGGTCTGCGGTTTGGTGCATTGCTCCAAGTTGTACCCCCGGCCTTGTTCGTCGAACCATTTGGTACGACCTACGCCGCGCTGTTCTCGTGGGCTATAGGGTAAGATTGCGTGCTGGAGAGCAAGAATCGGGTTCGTGAAGTAGCTCGGGGGATTTGCAGAGTTGAAATTCAGATGCGTCGCTTTACAGTATTGCGGGTATAGATGTGCGAGAGCCCTACTGATGTGACACCCCCAGTCGCCTATAAGCCGTGTTAGCAGAAATGTAGGTACATATGGCATTATTTATACGATTGTTTGTAGGAATGGATATATCTCACCTCCCTGCGTGACATATTCTTTATATCCCAACTTTAGCATGAGCTTGTTCATAGTCTCGGCATATTGCTCCGAAGCGAAACCCCGCTTCTTCGGACCCTCAGAGAAGCCAAAATTGGGCAACGACGGCGCGACGATGTCGAACGCGGGGTAGTTAACACCATCTCCATCTTCAGTCAGGGGTTTCAATATCTTTAAGACCTCTTGGAAGTGGCCTGGCCAACCGTGCATGAACAACAAGGGGATTGCACCTTTTACCTTGCTACGGACGTGTATGAAGTGGATTGCTAGAGGCTCGAACCCATCACACTGGATGTCTGTAACAAAATGTGGCACGCTGTTAAGCTCCTCTTCTGCCTTTCTCCAGTCGTATGACTCTTGCCAATATTTCACAAGCCTCTTGACATCAGCAAGAGGAGATCCCACTATGTTGACCAGAGTCAGCTAAAAATTGGTTACAACATGCCCTCAGGGGTTCCAATCAACTATCATAAAAGCCAAAGGGGGGATATAGAATCGACGGATAAACGACTTGAAAATATAGGCACTTACTATCCCACCCCGCCTCATCAAGTTCGTCTGGAAATTTGGCGAGAGACAGTCGCGTTTTTAAGTCATTTAAACGCTCTTCATCAATTGCAATAGTATAAGGCTTAATATCCGCCATGATGGAAGGTCCTGATTCGATGGCAACGAATTGCTATTGGTGGAGATTGGTCGGGATGAGTTCGATTTGATAGCACCAACAAATAGCTATTATAATGAGTAGAATAGTGTTTGGTTTAAGAGGTTATCATTTATATCTGGCATTGAAGCTTTATATGTTAAGGCGACGTACGTAGATTACAAATGCTATAAGTCGAGATATTGGATCCGGAAGAATTTCTAAGGATATGATAGGTAGGGCGTACATATGACGTTGCAAAGGGCGCAAGACAACTCTTAGCTACGACTCTACTACAGCTCTACTGAGGTATGAGTGAGGTATAGAATTTCCCCGTTGCATGCATGATGCATACATATATTATTACCTAGGTAGGAGACAAGGTAACAATTGTTAAAAGTTAAACTGATTGGTGTTCATACCTGGTTCAGTAAAAATTACTAAATCGATTGTTCATTATTGAGCTACTCGTGTCCATTAGCTTGTGAATACCAAGGGTGATCTCGAGTCGACCACCAGCGGATTGCAACAGGCCAGACAAAGGCACAACGCATGGTGTTTCGATACCTAAAGTATTATCATCCAATCATTATGTACTCAAGTAGTTATTCGGGAACAACATACATGTATACATCCTAAACTTACAACTGTGTTGAGACACGGGTTGGATTAATCGCGTGAATATGAATTATGAATTGAAGTTCCATTAGTTATCGTGATTCGACAAACATGCCACACACGTATTGATCGTCCTTCTACTATGTAAGGGCACAGGAGTTATGTCATAGAGTTCGGCTAGAAGCTACTAGGTATCTCGCTTAGGTATCTCGGTACGTACTGTATTCGCATATAAGCAGTGGTTTTTGGTAATGCACGGGCCACTAAAGGGCCAAATCATATCTCCTAAGTGCATAACTCTCGACTTCTAGCTGGTCAGTGCACATGAACTGAAAACAATTTGTTGACTTTCCCCCAAAGTAAACAAACTCTGATGTCAGTTTCCCTTCTCTCCCCACAACTTCCTTAACTCCCCTTAATTAACACCATCGCATAATATTGGCTCCATGCCCCAGCTCGCTTGAACGAATCCAGCTCGTAAATTTAAACCTGCGCATCATCTACGCATCATCTAGTTAACCCGTATTGAAGTCCTATTCATCGACCATGGCGCGTCGCTCAGCTCGCATCGCGAGCGCTTCCAAGGTAAGTAAACACGTTAGCCTGTTGCGCTCCTCACCGCCTCGACTTCGCGCGCTGCATCACTTTACATCGCGCCAAAGGTTCTGCTTGTAGTGTATAGCGAGGCTAATACTGGATCTAATAATAGAGGACTGCCGCTTCGCCGGCGCCTCAATTAGGCGCTCTTTCCGAGTATGATGAGCACACCCCAACATCCACAAGGCCAGCTGCTGCTCAGAGCCTCGATACTATCGCATCTTCCCCAATGCATCAACCCGCTACCCCCGCTGTAGCTTCGCCTGTCAAGCTGCCGATGTCAGAGAGGCATCCCAGCAAGGTTCACCCCACTACTGCGGCACCTGCGCCAGGCCTCAACCTTGGGTTTGTCGATATTGACTACACCAAGAAACCCAACGAAGGCTCCGGGGTGATCCTATCTACCCCGTCCAAAACGCCCATGCCGTCTTCGGAATTTACCTTCCGCTACACTAGACCCAACCGTGGTGGCGATGAGGGACTAACCCCCGCAGCTAAGAAGATGATGGAAGGTATCCGCGAGGAGGCTGCAAAAATCAAGGTTGAACTCTCTGCTAAGCGTGAACAAGAGAAGGAGGAAGAGGTCGCCAACGAAGGTCGTAAGATTCGCTCGGCCAAAGGAAAAGCTGGCCGCTTTAGCGCTGTTCATATGGCCGAATTCAAAAAGATGGATTCTATCGAAAACCACCCCTCAGCATTCCGAGCCGTCCCTGGCCGCTTTACCCCCGTGAAAGCCAGCCTCAAACGTAGCCAATCGAAAGCAAACCTCGACGAACCTGATTCGGCACGATCTAAGAAATCTTCTTCCCGCCCAGTGCCAAGTGCTCCCGAGAAGGAGCAGGAGCAGCTTGAGTCGCCTGTCAAACGTACAAAGCAGCGAGTTGAGGACGACGTGTCCGCCCTCCGTCCCGTCTCGCGGGATGGTAGCTTCATTCCTCGACCCAAGAGTAGCGGTAATGATTCGATTCGTAGCGGTATCCCTCGCTCGCATGCGCTTGCCAATCTCATGACGCCAACTAAATCATCGCTTGCCCGTGCGAATAGCGTCAAGGCTCCCAGCGTCACGTTGACGAAATCTATCAGCAAGCCGGATCTTAGTGGCCTTGCTAAATCCCCAAGCAAGCCAGACCTTGGTAGTCTCGCTAGATCCTCTAGCAAGAAAGGTATTAATACTCTAAAGAAGTCTATGTCGAACAATGCCATTACGGATAACAAGCCCACTCATGTTCAAACGCCTGGTCGATTTGATAGAGTCAAGTCGATCCTAAAGAAACAGATGGGCGGGTCCAAACCAAAGTCCAATATTCCTCAGCTTGCTGCGTCTCCTTCAAAGACATCTCTCCAAGAGCGTATTGACGAGGAGCTACCTCAGGCGCCGCTTACCACCCCTGGACGAAAGCTGGAGCGACGCGTGAACTTTACCCCAGTGGTTAAACGAGCCACTATGCTCCTAGATTCTCCTTCGCCTGTTAAGTCGAGCATTCCACGCTCGAAGGCCTTATCTCACCTTCGATTTGGCAGTTCCGTTGCTGAGAAGCCGGCTAATGACAAGGCTTCCGAGGGCGAGGTTACATATCCCGATCTCTCAGCTTACTGTCGAGATGTAAACGAGGAAGCCGAAAAATCTGCCACGAGCCAGCCCCCCGAATCAGTTCCTGGTACTTTCACCTTCCGCAGCGATCATACTATCAGCTTTGACAGCGTCTCTCCCCAAGGATTTGGCGGCGCTGCTGGTCAGGCTAGTCTCCGCCACGTTCGAAATTCTATCATGCCCGGTAGTTTCCCAGGTCAACTTGAGGTGTCCCCTAACAAAGAGAACAAAGATCCGGCAGTAGGATCCGGTATCCCCCATGGAATGTCAAACAAGAAGAGACATAGAGCAACCTGGGACGAAGAGGAAGAGGAGGATGAAGGTAGCAAGCGTGGTGCAAAGAAACAACGCAAGGATCCGCAGGCAGTTGAAGGATATGCCCTCATCGCACCTCGACTGGTGGGCGAATCACCAATCAAGAAGCTTGGTGAAACGGCCAACACCCCTAGCCCACAAAAGAAGAAGAAGAAGGGTGGCCTCAGCCTCAGCCGGCTAAACATGCTCGCTCGACCAAAGGTCCGAAAGTAATTGATTTCATATTAGGCGTTTATCAACCTCCCGGCATATTGGCATTACGGAACGAATCACGATATCTGACAGTATGAAGAAGCTCGTGCTATTGCAATCATTGTTCAGGATATCTGGATTCAGATTGTTGACAGAAACATGATGGCGTAATGGGTTTCATCTCTGGAGTCCGAAATTCATGTACATTACACTAGCAATGTCGCACCCAGATGGGGAGACTTGGCTAGTTTTCTTTTCTTTTCATTCCCGTCGGTTGATTTGTAGTGCATAGGGGGGGTGTTCATGAACGGCTTTGTAAGACCACGAAAAATCGGAGATTTCACGATGGATAGGTGGCTCTCTCTTTCCTGGAGTAATGGTGTTGGCTGGTAATGGCGACACACAAGTCGCAAGGTTTGAGGTTTGATAGGTTCTAGAGTTAATGATGATTACGATATTTGGCAATCAATGACTTGGGTCGTGATAGCGGGATAGTCATGGCTTGTTTAATGAGCTATGCCTTCCTTGTGGCTAATGGATCGGGCCTCTATCTAACTCTCCTTCCCATGTCCCTCCTTATTACGGGGATTTGGCAATAGGACCCTTTCCCTTGTCCGGTTTGTTGCTATTTTCATAATAAACTTCCTTCACACCTCATTACCTAGGTCCTTACCTACCTAAATAACTCCATAACCATAACAGTATTCTAGTATTATTGATATAGGTGAGCTATCACGATAGTTACCTCATCCATGAATATCACCTCCTTGATATCATTAATTCTTTTCGACAAAGCCTCTCGAGGCAAGACAAACATCATTTTCGCCTTTTATTTTACTCTCGGTATTATAAGATTTATTTCTTACCTACGCACTACGATGACACACACTCAACCATTCACGTGCACGTTCTGCTGGCGCCCATCTTACGGCTCTCCGCACGCCCTCGGCCGGTCCGCGCGCCTGACTTGCGAGCCTTGCTACCGCGGCCTCGTCGACCTCGCCGTATGCTAGGTCTGCGGCGAGATCGTGTTCCGCGGCGAGGAGAGCGTGAGTCTGGGGTGGTGTTTCTGGCACCGCGCGTGCTACGGGTGTCTGTTTTGCGGGAGTAGGGCGGTGGTTAGCGGGCCGACGATTGCGGAACTCTTCGTTGATGTTGGCGATGATGGAGTTGCAAGTAGTAGAGGCGGGGATGGGGATGGTGTTGGATCGGGACGAGAGATTACGGAGGTGCCTACTTGTGCCAATTGCGCGGTTGAATGCGAGGTTGACGGTGAAGACCGGAGGGCTTTCGTAAGGAATGCTTTGCAGAGGGTGGACAGGGCTGATGGAGGTATGGCTAAGATGAGATGGGTGAAGATGGGCGGGCAGATGAGTAGGAGGGTTGTGGGAGAGATCAAGAGGGTGCCTGCTACGGCCCCTGAATCTGTCCAGGTAAAGAACTCGTTGATGTCAATGTCGTTCAATTTGGGCTGACATATTTCATATTTACAGAGCCCGCCGTCCCTAAATCGGTCACGATGGTCCATTCAGGGTCGGACACACACTTCGCATGCATTTCGTCTACCAGTTGACGGCGCTTTGGGTGCTTCGGAAGAGCCTGACGACGGTGAAGGGAACCGTGCCACTCCTCTAGATTCCGTCATATACGTCTCGATTTTCGATCCCGTTAACGAGCCTAGCTTTAAGCCCAGTCCTACAAAACCAATCCCTAAGTGGATGCGGTGGCTTCCAAGCCAGCGAGGTCAAGATGGCCGTCAACAGACCGAACCTCGGCCCCGTTCCATCCTTGATCAATATTTCCCTCCTAACCCCATAGAGCCAGAGCTAGATAATTATCCTATATCCAATTCACCTACTATTTGTCCAACAAGTCCCTCCTCACCTAACCCGCTCTATTCAGCAGCGACTCCACGTCCCCCCAATCGCCTTCGCGCACCTCCAAGTTCCGAGTTTGGTAAACTAACCGAGTCGACTATCACTGCCCTCAAGGGCCCTTCCTTCGTTCTAGACGAGCCATTAAAGCGCCCTTCCTCACGGATGGCCCAGCCAACATCAGCTAATAATCCCAAGCCTACAAAAGCCGACTTCACTCCACTACCTAATCCGCCGGACCCTCGTAGTCGCACACCATATGCCCCCCGGCAGCCGTCGCCACTCATAATCCACAAAGGCCAACCTTACAGTAGTAGTAGTAAAGCCGTATCACGAGAAGCATTATTCCCGCGCCGCTCCCCATCGCCGCTGGCCGAGCAAGTAGCGGCGCATCTTTTTCAACGATACGCCCGGCGGACGCCACCCGCGCAATCGAGGGAGTTTCTCAACACGTACAAGCCCCTCGGACCATCATCATCGAACGCGAGCGCCGCGGTCCCGGGCCGCGGGCAAGGCAGGGTCGTAGGCGACGGACGGCAGATCTGGAACATACTCGGCAGGGACCGCACGCCGTCGCCCAGCGGCGGCGGTAGTGCGAGACCGAGACAAGTTGTTACGGATGCGGGAGAGGTGGTGGATGTGCGGAGCATACGGAAGAAATCGAGTTTGCAGAACGAGATAAAGAAGTTTTTGAGCGGGAGGGGTGTTGGTAGGGAGTGAGTGATGTTGTGGGTTTGCGGTGTGGAGTGTAGTGTAGTTGATGGGTAGGTATAAAAAGGGATGGGATTGGGGATTTTGAGTAACTATTAGATTGTAGGGTTATTACTTTAGGTACCTGCTAATGAGAATTGTTAGACTGAGTGAGGGTTATGTTAGAGATATCGCCTTGTCCAGTGAGTTGATGGTAAACCGCACATTACCTAGGTAAGTAGGTAGGGTTTTCTCGGGGCGTAATCTACCTATGTTAGGTTGAGACACCATGAACTGATGATGATAGACGGCGGGTTATTAAGTTTTGTTAATATTGAGGAACATGCGAGTTTACTGATTTTAGTTTATAATGCCGACGGTATTATATAAAAGAGTAACATACCTAACATCTTAATTTTGGTTTAGGATGGTTTTGGTTGGTGGAGGTTAACTTCTAAGCTAGTATACTATGTAGACCATTAAGAAATAAGAGTGCTTATATGTATGAGCTGAACGATAACATTAATTTGGTTTGATTTTTAAGAAGCTTTAACTTGTAGTTTAGTTAATGTTATTTACAAGAGTTGTATATAACTACCTAGGGTTGTAGTTGAAGAAATGTCACTGCGGCTAAGATATGCCGGGACGTACGTATTGTACCTGACAGCAATCTGCAAAAGTCCGGGGTAATTTTGGGCTGCTGATTGGTTATATGACGTATGACGTATACTTGGCTATAATAAAGTTGCGCTGTAACCTTATGTAGGTACTATAGAAGAAAGCAAGATATCGCAACTTCTAATATTGAAGTACGGGTAGGCGCACGATGGGGTGTGATTATGTATATAGGTACATATACCGGGGGAGAGTGGGGATGCGACCCTTGTCTGTTCCCCATCCCCTCCAAACTCTAAACTCCACAGCTTTCCCTATATATTACATAGTAAAGCTTCCTTCTTACATATCTCCAGTACCATTTCCATCTCCAGCTTCGCATCTTTGCCAACACCCGCAACCGTCGCATACTTAAATAAATATAACCAGAAGACCTACATACTACCCCCTATTTTAGAGCGTCTTTGAACAACACGCACACACGCAATGGTGCCCATGACGCGCGTGGACCACGATGCTCTTGAGCGCAAGTCATTCCTACCCTCCCCTCCCCCCTCCGTATATGTATATATATCCACTCCTATATACCTATACTAACTCCCCCCCGCAGAACAACTCAAAGACACAATCCAAACCCTCACCAACGTCCTCGTCCAAGTAACCAACTACGACGCCGCCGCCGCCGCCCCCCCCTCCGGCGGTAACAACACCCCCTCCTCCACCACCTCCCCCCACAGCCGCCCGTCCCGGGACGTCATCGCCAACGAGCTGCGCACCCTAAGCGCCAACCTGCAATCCATCCACTCGCGCGCCACCGACCCGGCCCTACCCGCCCTGCCGAGGGTGCCCCCCGAGCTGGTCGAGTACGTCGAGAACGGCCGCAACCCGGACATCTACACGCGCGAGTTCGTCGAGGCCGTGCGCCGCGGCAACCAGCTCATGCGCGGCAAGCAGAGCGCCTTCGCCTCCTTTCGCAACGTGCTGGCTGGCGAGATGGAGCGCGCTATGCCCGAGCTGAGGGACGATGTGGCGAGGGTGCTGGTGAATACGGCGAGGAGGTGAGGAGGGAAGGGGGGGTGAGTTGTGGTTGGTTGGTGGCTTATGGGAGGAGGGTAATAGATGTAATATGAGCGAAGAGTAGATCTCGGTTGTATTTCTCAAGAAGGGTATTTGGCTAGCACTACAACGCACGATAGCGTCAGGAACCATAGCGTTTGATTATACCTACCTACACAGGACGATACTAATAAATTCAGTTTGCTTGGCATTAGAGGTTTGCCCAGCCTTATTATCAATCAAATCAGTCAGGAGAGCTTTTACTTAGGTTGCTACAAAGTTCTAACGTTGACTTTTAAGTTGCAAAACTTGAAATCATCGAATTTGCATTGAACGCGTCGCGGCGCATTATAAACTTAGGTAGTAAACCATCGTCGTCCTTTTCCCCTACCGGTTTTGTTTTATTTACCTGGGCCACCCCGACCGAGAACACCACTTTAAAATTTCCAGTCCGCCCCCTCCCTCCCTAGACCTTTCCTACCTAATCTTATGTAGCAAGATAACTCTAGTTAGTTAGTTAGTTAGTTGGTTTAGGTAGTTAACTAGCTCGCAAGGATCTTGGTTAACTCGGCAACGACGGCATCGCCAGTCTCCTTGGTGCCGGCCTCGCCGCCGAGATCCTTGGTCCGGACGCCGCTGTCGATGACGTTCTTGACCGCCTGCTCGATCGCGTCGGCCTCCTTGGGCAGCTGCAGCGAGTATCGGAACATCATGGCGACGGAGAGGATGGTGCCGATGGGGTTGACGATGCCCTTTCCTGAGATATCGGGGGCCGAGCCTGGATATATATCCGTCAGCCTGCTGATTACAACACAACGCTAATTAATATCTTAGCAAGACTAAAAGGCAGACTAACCGTGGATGGGCTCGTAAATGCCGTTACACCTCGACTTGCCGTCCGGAATGCCGCTCAGGCTGGCGCTAGGGCTCAGACCAATACTACCGGGGATAACGCTCGCCTCGTCGCTGATGATGTCGCCGAACAGGTTGCTAGTGACGACGACGCCGTTCAGACCGCGCGGGTTCTTGACCATGATCATGGCCGCGCTGTCGATAAGCTGGTGCTGGAGCTTCAGCTGGGGGAACTCGCGGGCCATGGTCTCGGAGACGACCTTGCGCCAGAGCCGACTCGACGCCAAGACGTTGGCCTTGTCGAGACTCCAGACGGGCGCGGGGGGGTCGCTCGCGAGCGCGATGTACGCGGCGAGGCGGGTGATGCGCTCGATCTCGCGGCGCGAGTACAGCTCGGTATCCCAGGCCTCGTCTCCGTCGCCGGCCTCCTTGCGCTCGCCGAAGTAGATGCCGCCGGTCAGCTCGCGGACGACGGTGAAGTTAGTGCCGCGGCAGACCTCGGCCTTGAGCGGGGAGTGCTCGACGAGCGAGTCCGAGGGGAAGAAGCACGGGCGCAGATTGCCGTACGTCTCCATCTCCTTGCGCAGCTTGAGGATGCCCTGCTCGGGGCGGACGGCGCCGGTGCCCCATTCGGGACCGCCGATGGCGCCGAGGAGCACGGCATCGGCCGATTTAGCGGCCGCGAGGGCTTCGTCTGTAAGGGGTGTGCCGTGGGCGTTGATCGAGCACTGTGGTAATTCCAATTATACAACGTGTTAGCTATCTAACCTAACCTAACCTAAGCTATGTTCTTCCCTTCGTTGGGTATGTGAGTGATTTAATAAGGGAGGGTGGTACAGAGCGGGGAGGGGAGAGAAGGGAAGGGAAGGGAAAGGAAAGGGAGGTAGGAGGTTTCTTGGAATTCGGAGAACGTACGCCGCCTAATAAGTGTTCTTGAAGGTTGAACTTGCCGGCAGAGGGTCTGGTGGACTCAACCGCTTTGATGACCTAGTAATGTAGTTTATATATTAGCGTAACTAGCTCTTATAATTGAGCCTGTTGCCCGTGTAAACGGGCGTCTTGTCCAGTTGGATTGTCTTCGTCTATCTCTTGCTGCTGAACTTACTTTGACAGCCTCGGCCACGACCTCGGGGCCGCTGTGATCTCCGCCGAAGACTACGATGTTGTGTGTTGCCATTTTCGAGGGCCAATTGAGTTTGTAAGGGGAATTGGATAAGGAAGGGAAGTGAGCGAGGTATACTCCGAGTTGATTGAGGAAATGACCGAGTTGTAATATAGAGAGGGTAAGTTGCTTGGGGGCTGTTCTTGCCGTAAGCTCGTAGCAAACAAAAAAAAGCTAACGGCATGGAAGCTGCCCCGCGTTAATTGCTTGTGTCTCCGAACCCACCCCGCGATTGCCGAGATCGGCCTTCTAATATTGGATAGCTCTTGCTCTTTGTCTCCCGGCGCTCTTCTCTTCGCCTATCGCCTATGAACATTCGCCATAATTGAACTTGTTTACCGATTTAGTATACCGAGGGCCGGCTTATCGGACCTCACCCGATCTGCATATACTCTACACCACTCGGTATCCACTCATATGGGTGCATTATAGCATCATTATAGTATCATTATAGTACCGTATCCACGGACAACTTATAGATTCGTATGCTTCCATTTCTTAGGATTTGTTAGGCATTTATGTGGCTATATTTCCCTTGCCCACAAACTTGCGTAGCTCAATCATCCTATATCTATAAGCCATACCCGTTGCAACCGCTTGTACATATGCATATGTAAACGATTGGTCATAAAACAATAAACACATTAAATCGGTACCCTTGCTACATAGCCTTCATAAATCTGCGCTTCTTATTGCTACTCGTCATCTATAAAATATAGATTAGGGTATCGTGTAAACGTAAAGGCCCCCAGCTGAATCTTGTAGCACTATTCTATCCCGTCTATACCCAATCCCAATGAGCGCCATTCGCATATATCCCCATTATAGATTTATCGTATCGTAACCAACATTCTTCGTAACCAACACTGCATGTTGTTGTTATCTAAACGACTTGAACGATTTGTGTGCTAGCGGAGACGTTGCAGGTACTCGGGGGTTCATGCCCCCCATACTCCTGCGTATTTCTCGACCTCGCATTCCATGGGCGTTCGGCGTGTTTGCACAAAATGCACATATATACACGCTAGGATGGGTTTGCCGCGTGATATTGATGCACTTACCATGAAGCCACATCTCACATGATTCACTGTAATAGGGTTAGTCATGGTATTGAACCGCGTCGTAGCTCGACTATATAGGGGGAAGAAAGAAAATGGTATGGGTACCATTGAACCATATAAGTATTGCCGTGGGTGTGGTTACTAGCTGTGTTGCAAACGCATCGGATGCGGTGGCCTCGTTCAGTGGACTGGCTACGGAGTTGACTAGCCTTTACAGGGGAAGGAGTTAATCTTGAGACTGGCCGAGGTATGAAATTCTCATTCATGTTCGACGCCCTCTTCTGACGGTTCTCGATAACTCTACGTAGCTCGCTTGTTGCATCGCCATAGTTACTACCGCCGGGAACGTTCATCACCGTCTCGGCCTCGCTCTCAGGATCGTCGACAGCATCAGGTTCGTTATAGTATATTCCAAGACTACTCGTACTCTGGTCACTAATACTCCGCTGAGAGGAGTGAAAGGGGAGGGACGCCGGGTTTCGTGGGTCTGGGAGAGCGAACGACGTGTTCCGGCTAGGAATGATTATAGGTTCATCATCCGTTGAGGAATCGTCATCCTCGGAGGATGGCCAGCTTTTCCCTTTGTTACGCTTTTCCTTCCGACTACGCACTGCTGTTGGTGTTTTATCCTCATCTTCTACGACTGTTGTCGTTGTTTCCGCGCGAGCCCGACCCCTTGAATCGATTATGAACTTAACCGAAGTTTGCGTTCTTGGGGCTGGTGTTTCAGGGATGGAGCTCAAACTTGATAACCGTTGTTGGTGGTTCTTCAATGGTGATATTCTTCCACTTCCGCTTATTCTAGATCCTTGGGATGCCGATCTTCCAATAGTCTGCGGCATGGGTCGTGTAGCTGGTGCAAGGTTAGGTAAATTGGCTGCCTTACTGACAGGTTTTCGGCTTATCTTCTCGCCGGAGCTTCGCGATAGCCCGGGGCGATCAGATGGCTTGGCCGGTGAGCTTGCGGACACCCGATTCGCCTTCTTGCCGGCGTTTATTTCCTTGTTGCTGGCTGAACGGCGAACAGCTCCACGCTTTGGTGCCTTGGCAGCTAATATGATAGGCTCTGGATGCGAAAAAGATTGCATCAAGGGAGGCTGCGATAGGGGGTTGAAAGAGGCAGGTTCCATGTTCGCGGACGGCGGCCTCGTAAATAGGAGACCGGGATCTACGGAGCCATTCTGGTTCATCATGGCAAAGGATTCGTCAGCCGATGTAGCGAAGGACTGGCTAAACATTGCCGTATCGACAACGCTTGCGTCTATAGCCGGTTGCGGAGGCTTTGGCGCAAGTGCCCGTTCCTTCTTCGCTGGCGGGTTACTTTCTTGGCTTTGCGACGGAATAGAAGCCGTTTCTTGAAACATCTCGTTTGACTTGCCCCAATCTATAGAGCTCATGGGCCGGTGACTAGAAGTTTGGAACATCTCCCCACTAGCAACGGAAAAATCGATATCCATCCCACCCATATCAGTATCCCAGAATATACGCGAATCCTCATAGCCCGAGGCCGTAGCTGGTGCTGACATTGGGTACCCAAAAAGATCCGTGGGGGTTGTTGGGATAAAATTGGGCATCTGCTGCGACGTGCCAGCTACGAATTCCTGTTCGAATCCGTCATTTTGCATATTGCCCGTCCGTAGCTTTGGGGCGAGTCGCTGCCTTCCTTTGTGAGTAGACGGCGGCGGTGTAGCCGTTTGCCCCTGAGCCTCTTGCGCCCCGTCTCGGTGGATCTTTTTGGACAGCTGTTGAGAAGTAGACCGGAAGCCGGCTTCGGTTGGGCTACGACCGGGGGCTAAGGGGTTCGGAGATGATGCCAGCCGTTTAGACGGGTCAACAGGCGGTAGAGGCAAATTTGGGTTCGGCGAAAAGTGAGGAGCATGGGTTGAAATTTCAGAAACAATGCTCCCGGCGGATAGGAACCTTTTATGATTTGAAGCCTGATAAGGCGTAGGGGCAGAGTATCCGGCAAATGGGGCGTGTGAAGCTTTCAGGTTACCGGGGGTGGAATTGAAGACGGAATACTCTTCAGCAAACTGAGGAGTCCACCCAGAGGAATCCTCGAAGGAGGCCCGGTTATTCTTGGGGGTTTCGAACACAGAGCTCGGAAAAGAAGCGGTGGTCGGGGTTTGCTTTGGGGTGGGAGGCTGAGCGTTTGGA